GGCGTAGTCGATCTGTTGGGGGGAGCCCCGGACGGTGAACATCTTGATGTTGGGGTCCGCGTTGGGCGGGGGGTTCCTCTGCAGCTCGATCCTGGCCCCCGACTGCTGGCTGATCCCTTTGATGGTCTCCCCACCTGGAAGACCGGACGCCCGCACCTCTTAAGTCCTGCCGCCCGCCTCTCTGGTCAGTCTCCGGCCGGCCGGCAGGGGAGCCGCTTACCTTTGCCGATGATCAGCCCCGTCTTCATGGTGGGAACGGTGAAGGTGAACTCCTGCAGGCCCCCGGGGGGGCCCATGTTCCAGTTGCCCTGCCCGCGGCCGCGGCCCCGCCCGCCCCCGTGGCCCGGCGGCCCCCCCGCCTGGACGCTCCGCAGCAGGTCGGAGATGATCTCTGCTGCGTGCTGGGCCTGGTCCGGGGGCCCCATGATCTGTGCTATCCTGTCTGGAGTGCTGCCGTCATCTGGTGGGGGAAGAAGGGGGGGGGGGGTTAGATCTCTGGGCGTAACCAGCTGTGGCACATCTGGCCGCGGCAGAGCTCGGGTCTCAGATAAGTAAAGGGTTGGGGTTATCCATCAGCCTGTCAGCGTGGTGCATGAGTTTTCATCCTAGACCGTCCACGAGCGGTAAAGTGAAGCCCGGCGGCTCGTCACCCGGTGGTGGGGGGGGGCTCACCTGGTTTGAACTGAATTCTCACGCCCGTGTCGCTCTGGATCTTCTTGATCATCTCCCCGTTCCTCCCGATGACGATGCCGACGGCAAACCGCGGAACGGGGACCTGGACATGAGGACAGGGAGTCTGAGTCCGGGCGAGGGGGGGGTGGGGCTCATGCGGCCGCCTCCCGGCAGACGGGGCGCTCACGTCTAGGCTGTCTCCTCCCCCGATCCTGGAGCCGTACTCGCCCCGCTGCTCCCGGAAGCCCTGGTCTCTGATCAGCTCCATCACCATGTCTTTGGCTTGCTGGGGAGAGAGGGAGCGGACCGTCAGCCCGGACTGGAGGACGCCACAGCTTCCGGCAGAATCCCCGGCAGAGCACAAGGCGGAGCCTTACTTGAACTTTAAAAGGTTCCCCTGAAATACGGAGTGGTTTGTCTGCCCCCGTGTTCTGGGGGCCATCTTGGATCATGACCATCTTTACCCCCGCGCGCTCCTGCAAAAGAGACGAACCGTCGATGGTCAGATGCTGGTGGACGACGGGCCACCTCACGGCTTGCCCCCCCCACACCCACCTGGAGGCTTTTGATGGTCTCCCCCCCCTTTCCGATCACAAGGCCGGCTTTGGACGCAGGGACCATGATTTCTTGGACGGTCATCCCTGGCCCGTCGTTGTGGTGGAAGGCGGGGGCCGGGCGTCCCTTCTCCACTATCTCTGTCAGTAGCCTCTTTGCAGTTCTGATGGAAGAAAGGGAATTTGTAGCCAGGTTGCATTCAATCAGCGGGAAAGAGGCTCTCAGTCCAAAGAGAGAAGATGCCGGTGCTCACTGGATCGATTCTGGCGGTCCTGTTAACGTCACCGACCTCTCTGGCATTCCTCCGCTGTCTGAATGAGACAGAGAGGGCTCTAAATTAAAAATTATACACCACCCTAAACAGAGATCACACCTCAGCATTCACAAGTGTCCCAGACTCACCAGGGGCGATCTGTATTTTACATCCAGACTCCTGCTGAATACGTGATATCTGCTCGCCTCCTCTTCCAATAACTAAAAATTAAACAAAAAATATTGATTAAATCAAATTACAAAAAAACAAAACACGAAAACAGCAAATCTTTTTAAACAAAAAAAAGGAACTTACTGAATCCGACCATTCCGTCGGGAACCTTAAATTCTTCTGATGTTGACCTGAGAATGAAAAGAAAAAAAACAGCATGAGATAATCTAGAATGACCAGCACATGTGAGAATAAAAAAAAATCAAAACAATATTAGACATTTACCTGGGGGGGCCACCCATTCCTCCCATCGATGAGAAGGCTAAAATCAAAACAAAAAACATTTCCATATTTTTGTAAATAAATACTCAAAGCAAAGAAGAACACAACTTCCAATTGCATCTTTGCGACCCAACTGTGTTAAGACACAACAGTGACTCACCGTCATTTGTAGCTACTTTCTTCGTCTCCGGTTGATCTGTGGCAAGATGAAACGGTGTAACTACCTTACAATAAGTCTGGTAAATTCTTTTATATAGTCAGAAAAATGTATTTCAAGTCCCTGATATTCTTACAGCTGATTTATCCCCAAACAAATTACATTTAGACAGTTTATCAGATACTGAAGCACCACAATACACAGTTTATGCAGTAGATTTAACATATAGCCTCAGCAGTTTTAGCCTCAAGCAACAACAAAAACATTTTTTTATAAATAGATACATTCCAAAACTGGTGATGCAGGATGAAGAAAGCACAACCTATTTGTAGCCACAAAGCATACACACACACACACCATGAAGCTGGTGCTTTTTATTTATTATTTTAAGTACAACTTAGTCCAAGGGCATCTATATAGACAGGCCTAAATTCCAAACAAAAGAAACCCATAACACATGATGTTGCCTGCAAATCACGGGAAAATTCAGCTGGAATCATGAAAATGCACAGCTGATCAGATTAGTAGTTCTGCACAGGGTTAGACTTCTTGCTGTAGATACAATGGTGGGTTAGGGACATCACAACACAGGTGAGCACAGATTTAGTAGCTACTGAAACACGCAAGCAGGCGTTAACAATAAAACACTTGCATTGAAATCGATTTAAGCCACTGACCGATATCCAGGTTAGGCATGGGAAAATACCCACCAGCGTCCTCCAGGGGCCTTTTCTGGCCTCCGTAGCCAAACTCGTTTGTTGGGGGTGCCGCAACACCGTCGCCACCGATCTTCGCTGCGATCTAAAACAACAAAATCACGCAAAAGGAGTAAGTCAGAGTCAGAGAAGTTTAGATCGACTAGTTTGCGCGTATATGGCGCGTTTGGGTAAGCACGCTGCATGTGGCCTACTTTTCTGCCCGGAAGTCGGACCAACAAAGGAACGCCTCAATTTCCCGCATCAGATATCGATCACTGCTAAATTGGCATTTAAAACCCTTTCTTCTGGTAGAGTTTAAGTATATATGTGTAGATTTAAGTGGGAACCTAAAGCAACGATAGCCTGTGGACCTGCACCGGTTTTCACCTTTGCAGTCAGGCGTAATGTTAGCCATCATCAGACTAGCTTAGCCTAGCCCGTCGTGATCAAAACGGTTAAAGTGTAAAAATGCTCTATTCCTCGGTCTGAGCTTACCGAATTTCACATAATAACCGTTTGAATAACCCGACGGCTCTTCTTACCTGTCGTGCTCTTTGTAGAGCATCTTTAAAAGCATCGTTCATGCCAGCGCCAGTGTTAGAGGACGGGGGAGCCACGCTGCTGTAGTCTGCCATATCTGCTGCTCTTCTCCTCTGATGAGCTACAAGATGGCGGGTTTCATTCACGGCCGCTCGAATGGAACGCTCGCGGTAACATGCTTCCTCTCGCGATGAAAAACACGTCTCCAAATACACATGCGTATTACTATTCTTCTCTGAGAGGCAGTTAATATATTTATATATCTTTCTAATGTTATTTTGTCTTATTTTTTGTATTTTTTTAAATAAAAAACAAAGGCAACACATCTCTCTCAACCCTTACATGAAAGCATAATGAACTTGATGGAAATGTGCTTAAACTAACATATTATAAAGTACGCTTTACTTGAGATGTCATAAAGAAAAGAACACTTATGGTTTTGCACATGTTGTTAAATTATTCATATGGTATTCACATGAAATACAGTTCTTGCTGATGGATTTCCAAACACAAAAAATCCAAAGTAATTTCCATCCAAGTACTGAAGCAATCTAGCCCAACGCCGATTAAAGTAGTTACTTTAAGAATACTGAATGATTAGTTTCTGAATGCAAAATTCAAACTCAGTTAACCATCACAGCCTTCTCTCTTTTTTTCACAAAATCTGGAAACAGACACGTGATATGCAGCTCAGTTTTATTGAACATCCAATAATACTACACCTTTACTTCCTTATGTACACGCTGGGTTTCTAGGGCAGTTATCTCACAGTACATATTTCAAGTCACCATGTATAAGATCTTGTGTATTTAGAAAATCAGTGCATGTTGATTTCATTCTCTTGGTCGGAGGTATTAAAACTTTAAACAAACTGGAACACTTCAGGTATTTTCTGAAACTTATTCAGCATCATTGTTGGACTTTTCTTCACATTTCTCAAGACTCCATGGAAGAAAACACACTTTCAAACTTGGTGGTCAGGGTGTAGTTTATCAGCGCACATGGAACAGCTCTGACGAAGCTGGCTCCCATGCCGTTATAAAATCCTCTAAACCCATTTCTCTCATATATCCCAATAAGTCCGGAATATACGCCCGAGGCAGATTGAGAGCCTGAGCTGTAAGCTGGAAAAACAAGTCAGACAGTTATGAGTAAAACATTCAATCGAGCTGTTTACAGTATGTGAAATAGTGTCAGAGTGATGACAGTTGCTACCTTGGGCCTGCTGCTGAGTTCGGATCACAGCCAGCGGGTAGCTGCTCATTTGCCCAGAGGCAAAGGCCACGAAGCTGAAGAAAAACAGTTTGGAGTCGCTGTTGTAGGCCGGATTGCTTCTCGCCCAGCTCATGATTGACTGCAACAGAGATCACGTTCAAATTGCTCAAAGTTAAAGTGCACTGGATCTTTCTGCTGCTGCTCCATCTCACCTGGTGAACTGCACACTCCACACCGGCATAGGGGATCATGCAGAGGATGCTGGGCTTGAAACCTCTATAAAAGGAGGATAACGACTCCTGTCTGTAGATGGATCGGGCGCAGGCCGTGACGCCCTGATACGTGCCGGCCTGCTGCAGGTTCAGCCTCACCTTCAGCACCTGTCAAACAGATTGAAGCATTAAGTTTACTTTTCCATTGCCATGTTTTTTTGTGTTTTTTTTTTCAATAAGAAAAAATGACTGAATTACTCTTTAACTGAGAGGTCTCAAAGTCAGGTACGTCCGAACGAATGGATTTCTCCAAAAGATTCTCAATTTCTGCACATGTCTGCTGATGTTGTATATATTTAAATCGCAGAGAAGCAGGGAAATCTTTAAAACCTTCAACATCCAAATATGAGACTAAGACCCCTATTCCCATACATAATGCATCTAAAATAAAACATTTCTTCTGTGGTGGAGGTTGATATATGTTCACTATGTCACTATGTACTTATGAGGCTGATACAACCCCTGTTTTGTTCATGGGAACGATTAGCTTAAAATGCCCAAATCATTTATTTTGTATATGACATTTCAATAAATTCGGGTGTTCATTTTAGCTAAGAAAAAATCCTGATATTCTGATAAGTGAATGATTTGTAAAAGTTTTCATATTCACCTCTTGTCACATAACTTAAATCCATTAGATTTTCAAATGTATCTGTATAACATCCCAACACCCTTCCAAGGTTGAGGTAAAACAAACAAAATGGAAGTGCTCGGACCTGCCTCTGTTCTCTGATACCTCTAATGGGTAGAAGACAGCATGAGCGACTGCTCCCGAGATGCAACCCAAGCCGAAGCGCTGCTGCACCGTCAGAGTCTCCTGGCTTCTGTTTTGTGTGTAAACCTTCATCTGGAAAGAGCAGAGGCTCAGAGTGTGTTCGGCCATTACAAAGAGGGAGCCGCTCATGAATTATCCAAATCCAGAGCCCTGACCTGTGCGTAGATGAGGCACTGCAGTGTGGACTGTGGCGTTCCCTTCAGCACATTGACGGCGTTGCCTTGCCACATGGACCGCAGACCGCCTGCCCTCATCTCCTGAAAGCCCCTCGAGAGGGTCTTGGACCCGCTGACCTGTGATAAGAAATGGGCAAAAACCATGTTGCAACAGTTATATTTAACCTGATTAATCTCTAAAAAAAACAACTTTGAAACAGATCATATACAACAGGATTAACATGTTTTACATGGTTTTAGTGTGTTGTGTTTTTTTAGTTTTTCATTTATTTGTTTGACTTTAATAATTTACAAATTTTGTGTCCCATTTAGCAAATTTTGCATCTACAGTAAATGTTTGTGGTGGTTTTAGTCGGTTACTGAGTCATTTTTTGTTTTGCAAATTTTGCCCTTTGGGTCTATGTATGATATAGTTGAAATATTCTTTACTGTTTGCTGTACTTCATCTTTGTTTCAGCAGAAATATAAGCTGTCAGAAAAACTGCGTTTACCCAGTATCCTGAAAACTGTGGTCAAGATCTTGATGGGTTGTAGTTCTTTAACAGTCCCAGATCTTATTTTTGTCATTTTTTTTCTTTTACATGGCGTCCTTGGCTTTTTTTGCAAATTTGTATCAAATATTACTTTGGATTTATAGTGAACAAAGTGAAAGTTTCAGTTCTGGGTAATCAAACTTCCTAAAATGATGACAGAACGAGACCTGAAGCTGGGTTTTCAGACGGTCTATGGGGGCTGTCACTGTCCGGGACACGGCATCGGAGAGTCCGGCTGCCAGCACAAACGTTCTCCAGGCCCCGAATCCAGACGCCTCCTCTGGGAACTCGATGGGCATCGCACGGCTCTCCCCCACATCGAAAACCTGCCGGAGCACCAGCGGACAGGTCCAGTTTATCGTTGTGTGAGGTGATTTTGCTAAAAACCGTGTTAGTTTATCTCACCAGGTTATGTTTCCAGGACAACACCAGCTCCCCGATGTTGTCCACAGGGTTTAGGATGATGTGGTGCAGGAATTCCCCCCAGTCCACCGTCATGGAGCTGTCCTTATCCATCCTGGTGACAGCGGACACAACAGAACCAGAATATACTCACCAGTATATAAAGAATCTTTCTGACCAGCAGTATGTTGTTTGCTGTCCAGTAACATCTCCAAAGAACAGTAACAATCTGTTATATGTCACACATTCAATTATTATGTGAGGCCTTTGATTAAAGAAGGTGTAGCAACACACAACATGTTACATTGTGTGAATAACAGCAAAAAAGCCAAAAAGCAGGAGCAGTGTGAAACAGCAGCCTGGTCCACCCTGTTAAAGACGAACCATCTTTAAAAGCTAGAACCTGGAGTGATAACGTTCTGTCTGCTTTTATCCGTCTCACAAATCACATTATGTTGCTGTCCACTGAGGTTTACAGCAGCCGGCTCTCTGAGTAACCCCCCCCACAGCGTTTCAGTCTGGTCTGGACTTTCTCTCCCAGATCTGCCGCTGTGTTTTGGGATCATTGTCCTGAAGAGGACCCACCTCGTGCCAAGCTTTAGCTGAGGAACAGAAGGCCTAAGCTTCATGGTGAACTCAGTGGCCGTTAGCTGTCCAGATAATGCTGCAGCAGAACCAGCCCAAATCATAATTCCTCCCCCACTGTGCCGACAGCTGCTATGAAATGTGCATTTTGTCCACTTTGGCCTTGTCTGTCCAAAATAAATTGTTCCAGAAGTCTTGTGGTTTGCTCAGATGTAAGTTTGCAGACCTAGGCCGTGCTGTTCTTATCAAAGAGAAGAGGCTTTCTGCAGCCCTTCTGAGCACGCCATACTTTTTCAGTCTCTTTCTTTAATGTTTTATCGTCTTTTTAATGTTTTTCTCTGTAGAATAACAACTAAATTCTGCTAACTTTAGGCCATAACTGCTTCTCAAGGATGACTTTCCTCCTCACTGTAGTGTTACCACACACCGGCATGCATTTTGGCTTAATTTGTGTTAAATAAATCATGAAACGGTGTAAGATGTCATGTGTTGAGTCTGACACTGTGTTCATCCAGTTTTAAGACTCTTTAAGAACCGGCTGAGCAGGCTGGATGAATGAAATCCCTGATATAAGTTAATTTAGCTTCCTAACAGTTAAGGACTCAGTGGTAGCGTCTGATATATGACGTATAATGTGTAAAGATGCCAAATTATACACAAACAAATCTCTACAGATTCTGAGAATTAGGCCACTCTTTAAAAACTGACATCCAAATATTATCAATCCATGGGGTAGTGCACAAAAAAATCTTACATTTGTATAATTTTTTTTGCATTGGGCTTTGAAATGACCACTCCTAATTCCTTAAACAAACATATGATGTCCTCCTGGTCAATCACTCCTGATCAGAGAAGAAATACACAAAATTAAAGACACATTCAGGTTTGGCTCCTTGTGATATTTCCAGCAATATATCAAGTGAGAAATGCGTGTCAAGTTCCTGCATGAGGGCAAAGGTCATTGGCAAGTGCAGGGTATAAATAACTCTCATGTTTCTGGGCCAGCCTTTTACGACTGACCTTCAAAGACACATTCTGCTAAAAAATAAATCCTTTAGTTCAGGTTTATTAAGAATGACTCCAGGTAGGAAACGCTGACATTAAAAGACATGTTCATTATGTTCTTTCTAAAAACGGGCCAAAAAACTGAGTCGCAAAAGATTAGAAAGATTAAAACCAGCAGTGCATGTTATAGATTTTTCAACTAAATCAACAGAAATTGCTGTAAATGTATGGCGTTTCTTCAAGTGGTTAGAAAAAAAGGTCACTCACCACACTTGTTCTTGTCAAGGTCATTAAAGTAAATTTTCCACTTCTTCTCTCTGTCCATCATGTAGCTGAGGAACTCTTTGTAATCCAGAAGGCCATCTTTGTTTTTGTCATATAAATTAATGATATTCTAAAAAAACACAAAAAAAAACAAGACAAGAGATACAAACATTTATCAGCAAGCTGCAAATGAATTGAGCAAAAAGGTGCATGTAGAGGTTATTAACCACCGGATAAATGACTACCTGGACCTTTCCATCCGCAGACAGGATCCCATGTTTCCTCATCTCTTCGTGGAGTTCATCCAGCGATATGAGCCCATCCTTGTTCTGGTCCAGTTTGACAAACAAGCCCCGGAACGGATCCATGCTTCATGGGGGAGAGATGCAGGAATTAAAACCTGTTTTGACAGAGTCCTCTCCACCCTGCTGCTGCTGCTGGTCCTCTTAAAGGAAGAAACAGAGGGACGGATGGGCACCGGAGAGCGCTGACCTGCAGCCCTGCTCCTCCGCTGACTCACGGGTTCAGGAGCACTGCAGAGGGACGGCTTACATCAGCAGTCTGAGGGGGGGGGGATCTCCTCCTGCGGCCCAGCAGGTGGCGCTGAGGGGTCACCTCACCATCCTGGACCCTGACAGTCTCATTCAATGCCTTAAAAAGTCATGCTGTGTCAGTGTCACATGACAAAAACACCAACCCAATATCTGAGGCTTGGATGTGTAAGTAGATGGGAGGATGCATGATGTGCAAAAGTAGATATGTTGTCATGTTAAAGATTAACAAGCATAAAAAAACAGCAAGATATGGAAGTTAATGTTTTCCAGGCCTGCACTATGAAGCAAGCGAAATGTCTACAACGTTTCTGTTGAACAGATGAAAATGTATTGATAATCTGCGTTTGTGTTGTTTTCCTTTGTTTTCTTTTTGAGTCAAACAATAATTTTGTTTCCTCCTATGAAGTTTGTGTGGATGTCAACTAGCAAATTAGACTGAAATGTATCCCTGAGCGTGTTGGACTGTGAATTGTTTGTTTTTTTGTTGTTGTTTTTGTACATAACGTGATCTTAGTGAAACGAGGGTTCGATAAAATAAATAACTTGAAATACAGCCGGTTTGATCATGTTATATCTCATGCTTATCAATTTGACCATTTCCTGTGTTCACGCACCGTCAAAGTCCAGCGTGAGGCGTCAGTTTTCCGCGATGACGTCATTCAGAGACAGCATCGCTCGCGCACAGCCTCGCGGTTCACCTGGACGGGCAGCCGGGCTCCCTCTGGTCCAGCATCAAGCTGGACCAAACCAAACCGGAAACTATTATTCTAAATAGGCTTTTGTTTCATTAAAAAACTTGTTTGAGATTCGTAAAACCTTTTTCTGCTTAGTAAAAATATCAAATCCACTGCTTTATGAAAACTGCATAAGCTACACTGCTCACATCTGGATAGAAATATTCTAAATAGGGTAAAGAGACTTCAAAAGGCATTGTCTAATTTGTGAATAGTTATTTATTTTATTTGGACCATCCAAATCCTTAACCTTGTATGGAAAATATTCAAATATAAGCTTTATCATACAGCAAATTATATATATGATATCAAATACTCTTCACAATTTGGGAAACCTTTCTTTGTCCCAAAGTTAAGTCCTCCCCTCTCCATGTTTATTTTAGTTTCCACGAGGAGCCCCTATCTTTCACTACATAGGAAAAGAAAAAGGTCATGCATTTTACGTCTTATTTCATTCTTACCCAGGACTTAATAAGTGATTGGAACTTTATTTTTTATTTTTCCCTCAATCTAAAAAGGTCATAAACATTATGAATTATAAAAAAAAATTACCAAAACGTTTACAAAAGGGCAATATAAATCAGAGCAAAGCTTTGATGCAGAAACTCCATTCAGTTATTCTATTAAACAGAAAATAAAACATACTGTGAGGGCTGTATTTTCTCAAGCTTTTCGTGCTTTAAATTTGGGAGGAAAGCCTCGGTCTGATGGCAGAAGCAGCTTGATGCCAGAACCACCGGAAGCTCCCCGGTCCGTGAGTGCGGCTTGACTTTGGCGCTGTTGGATGCAGGGGAGGGTGCTGCGGCTATTTCCAGAGGGGTTATCCAGTCACGGAGAAATAACAGAGGGGCCACGGCGTTGACTAACACCCTCCAAATGGTCCTCATCCCGCCGCCCGGCTCTCCCCGCAGATTCATCATCTGTTTGCTGTGACAACCGTCCGTCGACCAGCCCGGAGCCGGTCCAGCATCTCCACAGGGGCTCATCCGTCCTTTTTATTTTATTTTATTTGCAGCCTTTTTTGTCTGATCGTTTGTGAGGATAATGGGTAAGGATTATTATAAGACGCTGGGTATCTCCAAAGGAGCCACGGAGGAGGATATAAAGAAAGCTTACAGAAAACAGGCGCTGAAATGGCATCCGGACAAAAACAAGTCTCCGGCAGCCGAGGAGAAATTTAAGGAGATCGCCGAGGCGTACGAAGTCCTGAGCGATCCCAAGAAAAGGGAAATATATGATCAGTATGGAGAGGAAGGTAATGTGGCTGTTTTTCTTCTTCTTATCTCTTCGGTTCGAAAGGGTTCTCAGTTTGTTTCTTAAATTGGCATGTAGTGAGTCTGATCCGGTTATATGGCCGGATGACTCAATGTAAAATACAACTGTCTTCAATTCAAGTCCCACTCCGCAACCAGAAAACCAGCAGGCCCAGAAACACAGCTGTTCAGCAGACCGCAGGCCCACAGCTCAGTGAATTTTATTATAAGGATTAGCCTATTACATCATTTTTTCTGATGTAAGATGTTCTTTGTTGGGGATGAATTGGTGTCAGGCTCAGTTTAAGCAGGAGGTTTTCACACAAAGAGGTGTTGTCCTGTATGTCAAAAGTATTTGAATCACATAAACTGCCTCTCTGTAAGATCTGTATCTCCTGAGAAGTGTGTGCACATACATTCTCAGCCCAGATGGCGATGGGTGGAACCCCATATTCTGCAAACCGACTGGGTTTCTGCCCGTGATTTGCCCAGAACGTTACCGAAAAAGGCTCTGCGTTTGAGTGAAAGGGTGTGAAGTGTAAGCAAATGGCTTCCAGTAAAAGCCAAACCTTAACAGCTTAAAAGAAACACCAAGATTAGAGAATCTAATAGTTCCTCATTTGTGTTTAGATGCACTTTGATGGACTAACCTCTCATTTGAGTGAAGAGATTACGCATAAAAAAAGCATTCAAGTAGCCTCTACATCCCATTTAAAGACACAGTTATATTAGCCTGGCTAAACCTGTCTGTTTGATCTATCTTTTGGTCATTTAGTTTGTCATCTAGAGTGTTTGGGACCATCAGGATAGCTAGATGACAGTTAAGGTTAGAAGGAAGAGCCAAATAGTACGAACACGGGAGGAATTGGGCTCTTAAGGACACCTTTCAGCCCTGCGTATAACAGATGGCTCGGCCTTTTTTTGCCTGCACGCCCCACGTTTGAGCTCTGTGCCACGCTGACAGTTTTAAGGTCTGCAGCTTTAAATCAAATAACCGGCAGCATCGTGGTCCTGGAAGCATGCCGTCCTCTTCTACCTGTTGCCACGGTAACTCACGCTCCTTTTCAAAGTTGTGATGTGTCATGTTCACATGGAGAGGCAGCCGAGCTGCGATTTCTACCAGAGTCTTTTGCTCTCAGTAATGCAGATTAACAGAAAAAAGGAATCCCATAAATTTCTTGAGATTGGACCTTTTGTGTCAGTAGATGCTGCAGATCCTGATGAATAGAGTCTGACAACCAAACGCTGCCAAGTTTTTCAGGATAAAAAAAGGCCCCGAAAACACGCTTTATGATAAATAAAAAGAATAGGAAATGAATTCTGACAAACTCACTCTTATTTCTGTGTTATGAAAAATAAAGTTTTTAAAAAGTTCAATATTTGTGTGTTTCCCAGATTTTCACTTCAGTTTTTGGCTCAAGCAAAGAACCGGGAGATGACACGATTTGTACCACAGGAATTTAAACCAAGCTGGTCTTTTGGGTTCAAGATGCATCTGACGATGTTGTTCAGTTAGCAGACCACACATCAGAGTACCATTATGGCCATCAAACTGAACGAGTGGACATGTTTGTTTTTGGTAAAGACTCAGTTCACAGATATTTAAAGATTAGAAAAACATCAAAAATGCCAAATACTCTCCATCAAGGGACTGGAACCTGCTGATGTTTGATATTTGGTTCAAAATTTAGGCTTGGAACTCGTATAAAAATGTGGATCAGCCATCTTGTGGCCCATAATGCCATTCTTCTATTCAGGGGGACATAATTTACAACAAAAAATATCTGTAACTTGTAGTTGATTGAGCTGTGAGGGTTGATCGATCATTCCTGTTGTCCATTAGGTCTCAAAGGGGGAAATGGGCCCACGCCTGATGGACAAGGCACCACCTTCACCTACACCTTCCACGGGGATCCTCACGCCACCTTCGCTACCTTCTTCGGTGGCTCCAACCCCTTCGAGATGTTCTTCGGGCGCAAAGCGAGCGGGCGGGACGAGGACGACATGGAGGTGGACGGCGGCGACCCTTTCGGCTCCTTCCCCAGCTTCAACCTGAACGGCTTCCCCCGGGACGGCCACGCCGGCCTGGGCGGGCAGCAGCGCCGCAAGCAGGACCCCGCCATCATCCACGAGCTGAGGGTCTCCCTGGAGGAGGTCTTCCACGGCTGCACCAAGCGGATGAAGATCTCCCGCAAGAGGCTGAACCCGGACGGCAGGACCATGCGGGCCGAGGACAAGATCCTCACCATCGAGATCAAGAGGGGGTGGAAGGAGGGCACCAAAATCACCTTCCCGCGCGAGGGGGACGAGTCCCCCAACACCATCCCCGCAGACATTGTTTTCGTCATCAAGGACAAACCGCACCCCCAGTTCAGGCGCGAGGGCTCCAACATCGTGTATCCCGTCCGCGTGAGCTTAAGACAGGTGAGGCTCGCTCCGTCTCCGGGGGGTGAATGTTAAATGGTGGATTAGTCACACACAGGGGTGTCCGACCAAAGTTAGCTTTGCAGCATAGGCTCGGTGGATCTAACTCTGAGACATCCTGGTCACAATCAATAATTGTAGGTAGTCTTCAAATGTCAAAATACCAAATGAAACCTGAGAACCGGACTGAGCCGCACACACTTATGTAAAACGGGATTATCAGGTCTGAGAAACAGGAGCTGTATCACAGTGATGGCAGACCGCCAACCGAGGCCAAGATGCATTTTTACGGTTCCTTCCTCTCTCCTCAGTGTCTGATCCAACTTAATCGGATCAACATTTGCCAACAACTCCTTTATCAACTGCGTGTGATGTGGTTCAGGCAGAGAAATTACTGTTTGATTTTTAAAAATCACAGCGAAGTCGAGCTTATCTGGTCATTCTGTCCTGACACAAACCTAACGAGAGGGAAATCAGACCTCAAAAACGACACAAGACATGTGACACGACTGCATTATTTATTCCGACCTGTCAGCACGGAGGTGGAGAGCTCATTATTTGGGCTGGCTCTGCAGTCTACAGTCACTACAAACTCCTCTGACACTGAAGTGTTGTAGGAGTTTTGGTGGGAACTGTCTCACCATCAGGACAAAGTCTGAAAAAGTCTATTTTCTTTTTTTTTATATTGCAGCTCGTCCATAGCAACAACTTTTATAGCATTAACAGCTGAAGGAACTCAGAAGCCCGATTCAGATGAATTACTTCTAACAACTGGTTTTCTCCAAATTAGAGCATCTAATAATTAGGTAACAACAGATGTTGGACTGAGTCTGTTTCAGCTCCAGCTCAGTTCAAGTTTCATAAGTTATAATCTTTCAGTTAACGGGGATCTGTGTGTGATTATAGGCGTAAAAACCAAAAACACAAGACAGGCTGACACCGTGGGCTGAGTCATCCACTATTAGCATGTTCCTAATGAGCCTCGGTGACGATTTGGTGTCATTGTTTGTGCGGAGGAGGCAGACAGCTGAAATGATATGTTAATAAATGCATTTTTATCAATGCCAGCTAGTCACACCATGACATATTTGGATAATAGAAGATGTACACGTGTGGTGCATTTGCTGAAGAGGGCAGCTACTGCAGTGCTGCTGAGAGGGGGGAAAAAAGGTCGGAGTTTCTTTGTGCCTCTCATTTCTGTGGTTTGCGGGTAGTCACAGAAGAGAAAGCTGCTTTGTTGGAGCTCTCTTCGGCCTCACAGGGTTCATCATTTTGGGCTCCTGAGTGCAAGAGATATTGTCTGAATTTCTTCTGAGTGTGCGCATGAAATAAGATAAAAAGCTTAAAGGGTTTTCTGGGTGGATCTCAGACGGCTGGCGGATGCTTGTGTTATTCTTCCCTGCTTTGAAGCACGCGTGGGCTGGTGGGCTCTCACATGTCCTCGCTGTCTTTGCAGTCTCTGTGCGGGTGCTCGGTCACCGTGTCCACGATAGACGGGAAGACGTGCAACATGAAGGTCACCGACGTCATCAAGCCGGGCATGAGGAGAACTGTGGCCGGGCAGGGCCTCCCCTTCCCCAAAAACCCAGAGCAGAGAGGAGACCTGGTGGTGGAGTTCGACGTGAACTTTCCCGACACGTTGCCCGGCAACGCCAAGGACGTCCTGAAACGGCATTTACCCACTTAGGATGAAGGACATGGACTGGACGGGGGGGGCAGCAAGAAAGCAGCACAGACGGACCCCCAACTGATGAATGTGCAATCTCTATTTTTGAGCTGTTTGTTTTTTTCTTTTCTAAATATCATGCATGCTGCTGAGCCGGTGCAAGTGGAAGACAGTCTGGAGTGTTAAGTCGAAGTACGCGCTTTCTGTAAGGGGGTTCTTTGCCACATTTTTTATCAATTCTTTCTTTTTGCTGGTTGGAAATGTTTGATGTTGATCCCTGCAATCCTGGGGAAACTTCAGCGCCGAACAGAACTTATTTTTCTTTCATTTTGATTCGATGGGATTCGTAAGCAACCCTTTTCGAAACTTCTCTCGTGTTTATTTCATCAGGCTTCAAAGCAGAGACCTTTGATTTCTGCATAAGTTATACAAGAAGAGCAAAAAGGCAGAATGAAATGACCTTGTGCAATGCGTGCATTTTAGACATTTACATGTGAAGACTTGAATTTTAAAAATAAATATTTCCACATTAAACTGTTCTGAGGTGTTTCAACATTTTAAAAAATCTTAAAAAACGCTTCGATTTTGATAACTTTGAACCTGCTTATATTATGAAAAGTAAGATTTTTAATGGCCTGCCTGGAAATATTATATAAAAACAAGGTTATTTTCAGACCCAGGAAATGCAATGAAACTATATTTAGATAATCAAATGTGAATATTTTGTTGTTGTAAAGCATACATGGTTACATCTCTGATGTCCAAAGATTAAAGTTAAAAATATCTCGACTGGATGTAATTTAACAGGTCACTAATGGCAAAAACATGAGTGTGTAAATATAGATGTCTGGTCTCAGTTGCACACACAAGAGGCCTTAGTGCTTTCCCACCAGGGGACGCCATCTTACTCATCATGACTCAGGGGCCGCTAAAGGGGAGGGCTGGAATGATGTCAACAAAGGAGGCCAAGTCCATCTTTCTGTCTGTTTATCTATCAATTCACTGAAGGAAGTGGCTGAGTGGTAGACTAATCTCTCCCCTTGTGAGCAAACATTTGTATCAAATGTTGCATCTGTCCCCGAAATACTTCTTGTGTGTACACCAGAGTAAGTCTGTGCAAATGCTGAGTCACCATCAACCAGGGAGGCTGGAGTATAAACACACCTGCTCAGTGTGGGAGCTTTCCAGCCTGCAAACCTGTCTTCATAAAAGTAAAACTAATGCTTATCTAGTCAAAGCTTCTGTGAGTGAATCATAAAACAATAATACCAAACTATTGCGTAAAAGAGCGTGCCATTTTACAAGGTTGAGATTAAAAAAACAAGTGTATATGTGGAGATCTGTTGGTCAGTAAGACTGCATTTTTCATTTGTGTGTTTAGATCCTGCATTTAAAATTGACATTGACGACCCATTTTTTTCTTATTAGAAAGTTAAAAAAGGCAAACATTCATGTCCTACAAAATGGGCCTTCTTAACTAGATTTCAGGTAAATATTAGGGAATAAAACCTGATAACAACTGGGAGGAGTTACATGTTCCAATCGTAACTTTGTTGTCAGGATGTATTTTGAACAGGGACCCCTATTAAAAAGCAAAAAAGAGACAAAGGTATAAATGTGAAAAGAACACTCAAATATGTATGAAATATAAACATACATATTTTCACACTGTCATCTCTGAAAGATGAGTGATTTTATAGAAAAGGAGTGTCATATTTTGTTTAGCTTATTCTTTTGTATGTTTGTATGTTATAATAGAATAAGAACATTTGGAATAATCTTTTCTCAAAGAATTCTCACTTTTGAACATAATTTCAGGGCAGGACACATAAAACTCCTGTCCTTTTTTCTGGTGCTTTTCTACTGTGTGGCTCGTGGAGGTGTACAGGTGCATTTCGGGGCTCTGGCCTTTTCGATCCCGGGTTCGTCCCACTGCGCCTGCGTCCGGCCGCACGCTGATTGGCAAACAGAGGAACTATTGTTAGTCGGGACGGGCAGCAGCAGGGACAGGTCGTCTTAGAGCCGATCCTCCGGTCATCCCCCAACCTGTTGAGTATTTACATCATTTATCTACGAGTCGAGCAACTGCTGAAGAGCTGTGTCGGAACTAGTCTGTCTGCAGGTGAGCGAGAAGGAAAAGTGTTGGCGGAAGGAAGACATTAAGGAAACGAGGAAGTAAATAAGGACGGCTCGAGCGCTGGGCTCGGTACTCAACAGGTCAGCCACTTCAATGTTGTAGCGGCGGCTCGGACCTTTTTTTTCTCCCCCCTTTTCACGTTAAAAAAAAGCGAAGATACACAGAAAAAATGCCGCTGGGACCATGGAAAAAGAAAAACAAGTCGACGAAGGAGCATTTGGTGGAGAACGAGGAGGTCAGCGGCGGACACGCAGGTGCCGGGAGCTTTGGTAAATCCGCCGTGAACGGCGCGGGGCTCCCGCCTCCACCTGCCAGCCAGCGGCCCAAACTGGTTTTCCACACGCAGCTGGCGCACGGAAGCCCCACCGGCAGGATCGAGGGATTCACCAACGTCAAGGAGCTGTACTCCAAGATAGCAGACGTCTTCAATATCAGCCCACCTGAGGTAAAAAATCCCACCTGTGGTTAAAGCGAGGGAGAGAAGGGTGTCAGTGGCGTAGTGCTGCGTTCAGGTGTTGAAGCTTGATTTTCCACAAAGTACGTAAAGTACTCATTCAGGGATATTTGTCTCTAATAATTAGCAAAACCTTAACGGTGTTGTTGATTGACATTAAATTAGATTTTAGTGTAGTTTTTCTCTGTACTTTGTCTATTACTGATAATAATTTGAGATGCTCCAATTAGTTGTAAAAATTAACATGAACAAACAAAAGACACAAACACTAATTTAACAGTTTTTTTTTTTTTTTTAGAAGTACATATTTATTTTCTTTATAACTTCTGTTCCTGATACCAACAGCAACGCCCATGAATAATTATTGAAACTTAAGCTATACTTAAGATTTAGCACATTTACCTTCAGGAGGTACACAAATTGGTGGCAATTAAATACTTTCAGAATGAATATCAGATACACGGGTATCAGTTTTTTCTCCATTTTATGTGGTAGTTTTTCAACACGATTCTTGATTCTGACCAAAAAGGTTGTGTGCTTTGAATGGATCCTGTCTTGATGGAATACATGATGGAGTGATTCAATCAGAGAAAAAACAGAAGAAATCCAAACCAGAAACACAAATTCAGTCCTGCGTTCTTAGAATGAATTGAATTTGAGATTGGGTGGGAAAACTAAACTGTAAATTAAAGTGATGAATAAGGACTGATGATGAACGCAGCATACTAATGGGTTCATATTGAAGCTTCATGTATGTTGTCAAACTTGTTGTCTTGATCCCAAACCACAAATCAAAGTCTGACACGGCTGCTCTGTGCAATTTGAATTGTTTAAGAAAGAGTAAAACAGTTTTTTGTCCTTGGACATATTTCTTTCAGTGCTTTCTGTTTTCGTGGCCATTTGACGTCATGTCCCAAAGACACTCCCTGTCAGCTCTTTACCGACCCGAAAACATCTTTGTCTTATGAGCTTGATCTGACCGGATACCTGCCATATTAATGTGTATCTATAGTTCGGAGCAGCCTGTAAAGTTCATTCAGCATCATACTTCCCGGCCTGAGAACAAAAGCAGGTTGTGCGTCTTCCTCTGAAACGAGGCTGTTGCTTAAGCTCCTCTTTTCAAAGGGGAGCGTGAGTGGCAGCTTTGGCTTTTGTCTGCTTTTATGTGTTTGAGTTGTAGACGTGAGCGTCCTCCCCCGCTCAAACTTCAGGGAAACTGTGGCTTCATTCAGCAGCAAGTGCAACAATTGGAAAGGAATTTGTGTCTGTGGCGTCGGTGTACAGTGAATCACGCACTCGCAGGCTTCACGTGGGGCCCCGGTTAGCACTGAGCGACGCCTTTAAAACCAGCCACTGTTTGTCTGATTTAATACCAGATAATGTCCTTAATGAGCCTTGGGGGCTGCGTTTTCGTTGTTCTGTTTGGCTCGACTGGGACAACAGCCGTATTCTGTGGGTGCTGGTTCCATGGCGGCTATTAGTAGCGCTCATTAGGAGTCTTCTGTCTCTGTCTGAACTTGTTTGATGATTAAAACAGCCTGCAGCATGTTCTCTCTTTTCTAATGACAACAGAACACTTCAGAGGACTTGGTAACTCCAAAAGTAGCTATTTTGGAAGAGTTGTGTTGAAAAAAAAAACACGAGATGCCTTTGACGAGGACAGATATCAGGTAAAGAATCAAAATGGAAAATGTTTTCATGCTGAAACTCGGAGAGGAAAAAGTAATTTCCCACTTCAGAGCCAGAGCGAAAGTAACATGCCAAATATCAGCAATTATTCCTCACTCATTTAGTCATTTAGGGGATTTAGGGGACTGTTTGACCCATTGACCTGACCCCTCCGACGTGTATCAGATGAGACGGAGACGCCCGCACGGTGGGTCTGCGGTACGATAGCCCTCGCTGTCAGGCTTTGCAGGTCTGTGCCACAGGAAGTCCCCGATGTCCGGCTTAGTGGGCACAGCCTCAAATCCAACCACATAACTGGTCCCAGACAGAGCCAGATGCATCCCGGAGGACCCAGGGAAGCAGATCAGCCCCAGGCCTCCTCCCTTCATAAACATGGCCAAGCCTCTGCCTTTTCCATGCCAAACAAAAGATGAAAGCCAGTTTAACGGCGCACAGATTAGTTCGAAATGTACTTTACACCATTAGTGGTTATTGTCATGGTCTTCCATGAATAACTCCCTCCTATATATCAGTGTTTTAGAAGACAGGCATTGACTTTTCGAATGTAAAATAGAATAGAAAATGATCTGAGGTGTGGCTGCTTGACTCCTTTTCTCCAGCTTGTATATTTAATATTAGAATAAGTCTCTGTTGAAAGAGGGGAGGAGGAGATACCCCAGCACTAATACAAGCTTTGAGAGTGAGAAATCCACCCTGAGGAATGAAAAGGAGCAAAGATGCTGTCCTCACACCTGATACGTCAAATCAGAAACGCTAAGGTTAAATTTAGTGTGACAAGCCTCCTGCTGGCCTCTGAGGTGGTTTTGCCTTTTATCCTGATTAATGAAACTAAATGCTACAATACTTTTTCACTAGCCTTTTTTAAGTTGAAAGATCTTTTGATTAATGATTGTATGAATAGCATCGAAGTTCAGTGTGTGATTCTCCTCCGTCTGAGACGGATGTAGTTACTAAACTGGTCAGTGTTTGTGTTTCCCATCAAAACAGAGCTGTTCGACGTGTGTTTTCTGCAAAGCGTGTCAGGGGTTAAGTTTCTTGGAAATGATTCAAAGTGTCAAATGCAGTCTTGATTAAATTAAAAGGCTAATTTTTCTCTGAGCAGCAGGAATTATTGCACATACGTACCATCTGCCGCTGTCATAAAGCTGTAATGTGGCCGTGGACCTTTGCAGCCTGTGAAGAAGATTTCCTCTTGCATTTAGACACTTAGTTTGGTCATAAAAAGGAGCTCCGTGCCTCAGAGCATTAAACCGATAAAGGCACACTTTAGAGTTATTCTTGTTTTACTTCCAGCTATGCAAAGACATTTTTCAGGGTTTATTTTTCCTTTCTTTTCACAACTTTATGAGGTCTTTAAAGCAGTAGCTCTGACGATGAGATCTGAATTGCTATCATAAAGACGTGTATTTTCATGCCCGAAAACGTCCTTCCTCTAATATTTATGCAGATTTCTTTGAAAGCCGAGGTCAGGGTGTCCTCAAACATGTCTGCATTCATTGGGTGTCTCTTGTGGGTTTGGATCTTATCCTTAACCAAAGCTCAGGGTCACAATCACTTCAAAACGGGGCAGTTGTGATCTATCAGTCCCAGATGTGCGCTGCTGGAATGAGCTCCACTGAGCTTACTGCGTGCTCCCTCTGCTCGGGTCAAAGTCTGATTATTGACCCTTCAGCCGGAGAGATTCGGGCGTGGCTCGGTGGCTGCACCTCACCTGAATTTGCCTACGGTTTGAATATGTGTTCTGCGGCGGGGCCGGGGAGCTGCTGGTTGTTGTGCAGGACTCAGGGAGCCGTGCGTCAAAGCTCACAGCCAGACATTTCTTAACTGGGGGTTGTTGGGGATTAGGTGAAACAATCTCATTTGGTGGGGCTTCAGACGGCTGGTTGCAGGAGCCAGTCTCCTGGGTTCACTTCCCTAGATAAAAAAACCCCCACACAACAAGCCACGTCAGGAGGAAATGCAGCTTCTGAGAGTTCAATATTTAAAGCAATGCGGTGCGTTGTTCAACGCGGTTCACCAGTTTTTTGTGGCTGCTTTCCTTACCTATGAACTCTTTTTGGCTTAGGATCCAGTTTTACTGGCAGAGCTAAAAGATAGCAGGGCACTTTGTGGGTGGACGTAGAAAGAGTGGGACATAGTGAAATTCTTCTGCCCACGATCCACAAAACTGGGCCAAATCACTGGAGGTCTACTGAATTCCTCAGAAATGTTAGTATTAGGAAATCACCTTGACTCAGATTGACTTACTGACTGAGAGGTTTGGATTGGATTTAGTTAAAGCAGTTCAGGCGGTTGTTTACCATCACAGAGGTGGCCTCAGCCTCCCCGGGAGCTCCCGGAGGACCAGCCCGGCCAAAACAACCGCGGGTTGAGTAAAATCTGCGCTCCTAAGTCAGCCTCGGGTTGTCACCCCCCCCAAAGAAGCCATTTTTCATATTTGTGGCATTAAAACATTATGTTTTATGGAGCACATTATGGAACAAAACCAACAAACGAAGACATAAATCGGCTGATTTGGGGCTCGGTCTGAATCTTGATGTAGGTCTGAGTGACCCTGAGAGGAGGCGTATCCCCTTCAGATTAGTTTTCAGACATTACCTCATAGATTTTCTTCTCCAGAGTTCAACCGGACTGTGAACGGGAGTCCATTTGCAATGCAGACAAAATAAATGACTTTTTCTATTTTTTTATTAAAGCTGAAACATAGATCCCAGCTTGAATGGTTCTGCTTCCAAAGAATTTCATCACAGGAAACACACTTGAATACAGCGCAATTATTCCAAAACTGTTTCGTGCTTTGACTCTGACCTCTTCCTCTCATAATATTGTTTTTGAAGCATTACTATAAATCTGCCTGCTGAAACAGCAGAGGACGGCGGGTTTAGGTGACTTTGAGCCTCTAACATCTTAAATATTCAGTATATTTTTCTAGCTTCATCTCATAGAGGAAACTGTTATTAAGATCTGAGTACTGCAACAACTTTCAGGTTTATTGCTGCTTTGACCATGTTGTTTAAGTTCATATGTCTTTAAGACCTCAGGCTTTTTCAACAGAAAATATTGTTCATGTAAGAAAACAAACATGTTGATTTTACCTAATTTAAGAGTGCCCAACCTCGGCAATCTGAAAATAATATTTTTTATTGTGGTTCTTAGAGGCATTTGATCCCGTCTGTGTCTCGCTGCAGCTCTGAACGATGTCGTTTATTTTGCTGGCTGTGAGTTGGCTTTATCAGCGCCGGTGTCCTCCTGTCGACGTTTAATGGGATCAGTGCTGGGTTTATGAAACAAATCCATCTTGGTTTGGTTCGCGGCCGACTGTCTTCTGGCAGCGCGCTTCACCTGATTGAAACAACTTCCTGAGACCTTTGTCAGCGCGCCGTCCTGCCGGTTCTCCCGTCAGCAGACAGGTGAATGATTATCCCGGGTGAAATGCTGATGGGTGTCATTTCCTGTTGACAGTACGGCCACGCCACCACACACACCGCTGACATCAGCATTAAAGAGCATTAAAGATGAAACGCAGTATTCCACAGTATTTGAGCAGCCTTGCGTTTGGGGGATCGGAGACCACGAAGATCAGAAAGATGTGACTCAACAGCTGTTTCAAACCTGAAAGTTCAAAGTGATCGATTGCCATTTTTTCCAGATTTGATTGAACATTGTCGATTGTCCCAGAGGATAAAGTAACCCCCTATCGAAAAACTCCCTCCATTTTCCTTTTGTGGATGTCCACCACAGCGCTTGTTTCCTTATTCACAGTTTGGACGGCTACATCCACAAAGCAGTCAATTAAATAGAACCTTAGTTTCCATTTTTGCAGATTTTTAGCAGATCGAGAATTTCCTCATCAGAGAAAAAAATACTTAAAAGTACCTTTTGGCCTCTCATACAGGAGTCAGAACGGGGCAAACGGCCATATGAGGTCACAGAGGCAGGACTCCTGCCAGGGAAATAAGTGCCAGATTAGTTAGATTTGATTTAAATGGAGTGATAATCTTGTAAATGTTTAATTAAAATGGAGAGCTGGTTCGTTCTTTAGTATTAGCAGGGACACGTTCCCGTCCTATCTGTCAAATTCTACGTTCTCGGCAATTTCCTGCTGTAAGCTCCGAGCTTCCAGTTTAATCTTTCTGACCTCCTTTGGTGCCATTAAAGAGCAAGTAGAAGAGGCTGCAAATTGGCAGCAGTTTAGTTGCCTAAGAAACGCGTCTTCCGAGCTTTTAGTCGACGCTCTTTAAACAGGGGGATTATTTCAAAGCCAGGTGCAATTAGAGGCTGCATTCATCAAACTGAGGCAGGAAAAGTGAACGGCTGTTTTACAGCGTACGTAGGTGGAGATAGGAAGGGGTTAAAAGCATGTTCACTTTATTATTATCGCTGTTATTGATATTATTGATAGTGTCAGCAACATTTTGCACTCACATTAGACAAAAGTGTTTCATTGCTCTGTTTTATGCCACGGTCTGCTCCTCATAGGGCAGAGGGTTATCTTTATTACTTAAACAATGAAAAAAAGTTTTTTTTTGTACTCACAAATGTAAGCATTAAGTCTAGAGGTCATAAAAAGAAATCTATTGAAATTAATTTGTGTTTTAGTGTCATTGACTAAAACAGAGATCAGAGCCTAAATATAGATGTTGCCTATTATGCTGACACGTCATTTTTCTTAATGTTCTTGACTTCTTGCCTTTGTTACCAAGTAGACCACAAAAGAAGCTCCAGCACACAAATAGATTTGTGGTAAGACGTTGACTCTGAATCTGCAGCAGGTTCACTGGGCGGTCTCCCACTCTCGGTCTCAAAGTCTAAAGAAAAAATGCTCCTGGTTTCTGTGTTGCATAACTGGAGGGAGGCCTGGATGAGAAAAAAAAAATCTATATCATCCGATTCAGATCAGAAGTGAATTACTGTGGGCTGATCCAGCTCGTTATGCAGTGGTAATTATACCATTCTTATGTCCGTCTTTCAGCAAGAGGATGGTTTTGTTGTGATAATGTCTGCTTTTTCTGTTTTTGTCCAGATGATAGGTTTATGTAATTTGTTAACGCAGCTGAGAGAAGTGTGTTTCCTTCTCGGCTCAAACAGTGGGAGGGCCTGGCAGAGGCAGTTGGCTTTTCTCCGTCTAAACTCAGAAACACGGGCAAGGCTTCGGCTTAAGATGGCATGTTATGTTTTCATTTCAAGGAAACTGAGGGGTTGATCTGTTGAGATAAGATGAATTGACCCCTGATTGTACAAAAACAGAATTATCAGCTTATCACAACGGCATCGGAATGAATCTGTCAGTTTTCGTGCAGGACTTAGGTCCCTGAACAAAACGTCTGAAGTTTGTTTGGGCTTATTTCTGCCTAAAAAAACGTTACAGTTGGACACTGGGATTCCAAGGAGCACTTTGAGGGCATGCAAAACATTCAAATGAGTCAGACATGCTGGTCTCTGCTCAAATCAGCCCAGTCCAGGCCCTCACTGAGCGCCTGCTGCATTCCTAAGCAGCAAACACCCCAAATGGAGTCAGTCAGTGTAATACATATATATATATATATATATATATTTATTTTGAAGAGTTATCATTTATGTAGATATATCAGTTTATAGTATATTTCCATTTCATGTATTTATAGATACTTAAAGCTAAAACATATGAAGTGTTTTTAAGTTCAGTACTTAATCGTGTATTTAGTGTGGCCCAGATTGTTATTCTGTTTTTAAAACCTGCAAATTCATGTGTCAATATTGGCTGTAATTCCAGTTCAATTCAGCTTTCGTGTGTTTCCAAAGCTCTGATGCGTTGAAGTCGGCTCCTGGGTGTGTTGTAATGGAGGTTTTGGTGTGTGTCAGCGGCAGTGGGAAGTGTAGTGGCTGTTCTTGTGAGTCAGGGTGTTGGTGGAGAAGCTGGTGCTGCTCGCTGCACCTCCAGTGTGAACGCAGCCCCTGGCAACCGCGTGTAGGCGCCCGCTGCTGGTCCTCCCACCCGCCAAGACCAGTCGAGGCGTCTCTGATGGAGAAAATATCTAAATCATCTCCTCCTCCCTCTCCTTGGACTTTATTTCCCATCTTTCTGTTGTGGCTTTGACTCTCGGGCTCTGCTTGCTCCAACACCGGCCTCCGTGTCTTGCGTCTCAGTCCACAAAATGAAAAGTTTATGAGCAAACTGATGTGCACATACGTCATCCTGCTCACAAACCAGTAAAAATCAGCCCTTTAATAGGAGGTGCTCACAGGACAAACCCACTCTGGATCGTCTCTGTGGTGGAGCGCTAATATTTGAAGTCTGCCGTGGTAGGCTCTCTCCGGCCTGGCGGGACGCCTCAGGGAAAGGTGTGAAGCCACATCTGAAGCACAAAAGGAGAGCGAGCACGGCTTTGTAAAGCCACTAAACTGACAGGACAGGGGAAGTGGACGTGTGTAACTGGAGAACCTGGTGATTCCTGTATTTAGCGGTGTAGCATAGACTTTCATTTTTAAATCTGTCTCAGTTTTCAGGCTGGTGCTAAAAACAGAAGTTGGAGGTGTTTCCTCTTCGTTTAGGCTGTTATTTCCATCTCCGGAGGTCATCCCGTGTGTATAGATCTAAGAGCGCTGCCACTTCTGTTCTCAGATCCTCTTCTGCACCCTCAACACCCACAAGATCGACATGGAGAAGCTGCTGGGGGGCCAGATCGGCCTGGAGGATTTCATCTTCGCCCACATTAAAGGGGTCAGAAAGGAGGTGGAAGTGCACAAATCTGAAGACGCTCTGGGCCTCACCATCACCGACAACGGAGCAGGCTACGCGTTCATAAAGGTAGACCCCCCCCCCAACTTCTTCTTCCCCTTTTCTCTGTTATTTCCCAAAAGGTTCTGGAAAGGCCAAACAAATCAACAGAATCAACAGATAACAAATTAGTTTCTGTTTTTCTTATTAAACATTGGAAAAAAAAGTCAGATTTCTTTCATCATTCAGTGTTTTTTAACATTGTTTTTTGGATTGAAAAGAAAATGGAGAGTGATCAGCTTTCTTCTGTAAGTAAAAGTATGCCTTGTGTACTGAAACATGAGAAAGAAATCCTCTTATGGTTTCAGCCGTGTTCCCACATGACTTTACTGAGTATGACTTTACTGATCAGATTTGGTCTCCCTATCCGTTTCCTGTTTGCTGTTTTTTTTTTTTCTCCACTCTCACGGCCGTGTTTGTCGTGGTGGTAATTCACCCTGGTATGTGGCTCCTGGTCTAATGAGCTTACCTGCTCTGCGTGGTGGAGCAGCACCGGCTCAACCTGCTCACATGTGCCATCATGTGATGCCCCCACAGCACTGCATCCTTACCTCACCTATCACCACAACTGTTCCAGGACACACACGTTTCCTCTGTTTTCACACGCCGGGCGACAGGACACTGACTCCTTTGTCCTCCATTAATCTCCACCTCTGTTCAAACAGATCAATTTAGAGCGAGGAGCTCCCCCCTCTCCTCCTCTCCCCTAATCACTCTCTGCCTCCTTTAGGATCTATGGGAATACTTATATCCCATGGGTTATTATAAAGATATAACTGAGCTCTACAGGTTAAGAGCTCATACTACATTTCCCATATTTGTGGTTATTCTGTCAACACCTTCTGATTCCTCTTTTTGGCACAAACTCACCAGGAGCTAAACAATAAAGTTATGCAAACGTGCATCACAGTTCTGAAGATATTAGATTATAATTACTGGTTGAGCATTTTTTGCTCAAAATTCTCCCTTTACTAAGGGACAGTGAATCCAGCACCTGATGTCGAAATTAGGTGGAGATAAAGACGGAGGAAGCTGGAAAACCTACAGTTCATGTTCAGGAGGCTAAGGTTTTTTTTTCCAGAAAATGTCCCCTTTATCTTAAAGCTCTGTGCTTTCAGTTGGTGTCAGTCCCAGTTTTTATGTGGATAGGACAAAAGACGAAAAAAAAAAAAAGACTGAAATCTCTTCCTCTCCAACCTCTACTGTCCCGTTCCTCTTTTGCCCCCCCGCCTTCCCTCTGACCGGCAGCGAATCAAGGAGGGCAGCATCATGGACGGCGTGAAGGTGATCAGCGTGGGCGACCACATAGAGTGCATCAACGGGCGGAACATCGTGGGGACGCGGCACTACGAGGTGGCCCGCATGCTGAAGGAGCTGCCCAGAGACAAGCTGTTCACGCTCAAGCTGGTGGAGCCCATGAAGGCCTTCGGTAAGAAGCACCGCACTCTGAGAGGTCGCTCCGGACTTTAACAAGGAGGCTCATCAGGTTTTTTCAAGCTTATCTGTTAAAATCTGAAATATTCGTTATGTTTTTAAGATTGTTTTCTTAAATTTTATGAGTCTACCAAGCAAAAGCAGATGAGAGATAAAACAGAGCAACTAAATGAATCTTTGACAAAAGTCTAGTGTTTTTTTCCTATGTGAGTGTAACTTTACCTCCCAAAGAGCAGAACGTGGCCTCTGTGTGTTGCTCTGCTTTTTATTGACCATCGACGAATCACAGCAGCAAACACGTCTCTACTTTGTTGTTCTGGTTCTTTTTGTCTGCGGCTGCCGGCCGTGAACACAATCGGCTCTTCTCAGTAACGCTGTCTTCCTGTCCACAGAGATGCTCGAGCCGAGGTCAAAGGGCGCCAAACCTGCCAACGACAATAAGATTGGCACAGGGAAGGGGACCCTGAGGCTTCGCGCCAAAGGCCCGGCGACTGTGGAGGAGGAGGTAAGGCTGCTCCGGCTTTTTATTCCCTCTCCCCCTCAGGCCCAATGAGACACCGTTTGTTAAAAAAATATACAAATAAAACCTAAAAAAAACCCCTCCACAATTTTGACTCGCTGCTGCTTTAAGGGCTGTGCGGACGGCGCCTTGTTGTTGAGCCTTTTTCTAGAAATTGTAACTGACTTCGCAGCATATTTTTTACAAAGTCTGCATTTAATCTAGATGTCAGACTGTTTTTAAAAACATTTTTTCCAAAGCTCTCCCATTAATGCTTCAGATTAGCTGCTGAAATGGATCAATATAACAAAATATAAACAACAAAAGTGGAAGGCGGCGACTTCAGCCTGTTGCTGCCCCATCCGGGAAGAATTATAAGGCTCTATCTTCTCTGATGCAGCTGTTTTTTCATCGATTATTTTGAAAGTAAAAAACGTGCTGAGGCTGAGCTTGTCGGACTCACATGAGCTGGTCTGTGCGTTCCAGCCCACTGAATTCGAGGAGAAAGCCCTAAAGAAGGTGGACGACCTTCTGGAGAGCTACATGGGCATCAGAGACACTGAACTCGGTGAGTTTTTAGTCTTCTTTCCACTGTGAAGGTTGTTTGTGGTGTTCCGCTTTGTGTTGTGGGCTCATTGGTGACGCAGAGTTCTAGTGAAGGCCGTCTGATCCAGAACAGAAAGCCACAGAGCGGATCCTGATAGAGAGTGTTTGTCTGCCTCCACCGGGAGTCGGACCAAATGTCCTGCGGCGGAACAAAAACCAGACAACACGTCGGGGCGCCGGCTTTCCGTTGAGACTAAGTGCCCGAGCTTTTTCTCCCCAGCCGCCACGATGGTGGAGGTCGGCCGCGACAAGAAGAACCCGGACGAGTTCGCCATGGCGCTGGACGAGACCCTGGGCGACTTCGCCTTCCCCGACGAGTTCGTCTTCGACGTCTGGGGGGCCATCGGAGATGCCAAGCAGGGCAGGTTTTAGGTGCTCCAACGCCGCCCTCCTTCAAACACACACACGCACACACACTCCTTCCCGCCCCAGAAACAGCTGGACAGGCAGCAGCCGGAGGGCGGCTGGTCACTTCTGAGCAACCTCCTAAAGTTATCGGAGAAAAGCGGAGCACAGCTTCTGACCCTGGAGCCGAAGACTCTTTGATTCCTTCCAGATGTTCCTCCTCAGAGACAGGCTCCCAGCGGTTCCACAGCCGTGCCACTCTGGGTGTGAATAAGGCTCCAATTTAAACACGGATGATATCTTCTAGCTGCGTCTTTTTTTTTTAAAGAAACAGATGTTTCCCATCCTTTTATAGAATCTTTTTACGTTGAGGCGCTGCCTGTTTAACAGCAGCAGCGTTGTGTAATTAGTTTAGTTACAGTGATTGTAGCAATATTTCTCTTTTTGGAAACTTTTTAATGTCTTCCGAATGATAACAGTCCCTCACATTGCTAATGGTCCTTCCTCCAAACTCCTCCGTGCCCTTACATTTCTCAGCTGGAGCCTTGCTTCCATCTGTCAGACTGAGCTACAGAGCAGAGGGTTAGCTTGTTTTGTTTTTGTTTTTTTTGTCTCTTATTGCCTTTAGCCAAATTACCTATACACATTCCTTTTGTTTCTCTGGTTCTTGTAGTTTACCACTCTTCCTGTAATTTATTTCTTCATGTAAAATCACATGCTGTCAGACGTTTTGTGTGAAAGCCCTTTTGAGGGTAACGTCTGGATCGGGATCAACTGCAATGTCTTAAAGAAATGCACTGGCATCAACGTAACTGCACTATGACACAGTCAGGGTGAATTTAAGTAGAAACTTGATCGATGTAAACCACCTGCAGCAGTTTGTTTTGTTTTTGTGGACAAACCATAAGGGATCACTGTTGTTGCATAGACAATAAAATTTGATATTTGGTGTCTGACTCCATCCATCAATACAACAAACTTTATTAGCTCACTCTGCCTTTGTACATGTAGAAAATACATCAAGACGCTGAACCAATGTTCCCATCACTCATTTTACGATTATAACAAAGCTAGTTTAATAATAAAAGTTGTGTCACTGAACAGGGAGGACAAATGTGGAGTTTATGAATACAAACTGAGCAGTCAAGTGGTACAGATTCAGATTCTTTAGTTTAAAAATGTAAAACAGAGAGAAAACAGCCAGAGCAAAGCCGACCAACCAAAACATTTCACCAAACAGAATCAGTCAAACAGGGCTTCACATCAGCATCTTGTTTTCAACAATAAGAAAATTTGGATTTCTCTACACCGAAAGGGGTTGTAATAAAGTTTAGATGATCCCTGTGATGGGAAGCGCCATATAAAACCATAGATGAAAAGCTCCTGGGGGGGCGCGGTGAAAATCGTCACAGATTAAATAATACGGCTGTAGAGGATCTTTGGAAGCACGTTACTAACTGTAGAAATATTTACTGACCCAAGTTATTAGATAAGGCCGCCAGCTGGAAATCACGAGTTAACTGTCATGACGTACAGCTCATTTTTGGCACAAAAAAACAAAACAAAACTTGTTTTCTTAAGATAAAGAGCGATCGGGAGAAAACAAGGCCTTGTTCTCACACTATAATCTCCAGATGTGACCCCAACCACTTTACAGCTGACATCAGGGTTCAGGACAGGAGTCAGCCTCCCAGTTTTGCCTTGAAAAATAATCAAAAGCACTTCTTTAGTCTTATAGCGTGACTGAAAGCGTTTGGAAACGGCCATTTAGTCACGCGCGAAAAAAAAGGACGACTTCTCAAGATAAACTGGACCTATCGACATTGAGAATTTAACGCAAATAGAAAAAGCTGCAGGCACACCCCTCCGCTTTTAGACTCCTGAAACCAAAAGGACTAAATCCTGTCCGGTAAGATGATTTTGTGCTTTCAGAACTAGATGAGAGAGGGGAGAGGGCATTTGACGTGGCTGGCTTGGGTTGGAGTAAATCCTCTACAGCTCAGTCCGTTACATGGCATTTGGTTGTGGAGAGTAACTTACAGATAAACATGATTTAAAACGGAGACGGTGGATGGGAAAGCCTCAGGAGGGAGGGGGCAAACGCAAACACTGGAGCACAGGTGCGGTTGAGGGTGGGCGTGGTCCTGGCGGTGGGACGGAGCCCACTGGCAGAGGAGGTGTAGCCCTTTGCGGCCGGCGCCCGGATCCGCTCGCCGCTCACAGCTCGTCTCCGGTGTGGCCCCGTTTGTAGGCGTCGCCCGTCAGCTTCTCCTGCGCGTCCTTCATGCCCGAGACCACTGAGGGGGTAGCAGGGAGTCTGTGAGCCACCCGCAGGCCACCTCCAGCTCTGTGCGTCCAGCCGGGGGGACGGAGCCTTACCTTGTTCTGCGCTGCTGTAGAAGTATTTGTAGTTTGGGTTCCCGATTTTGTTGGAGATTTCAGGGTGAACTTTTCCGCTGGGATCTGGGGGCAGAGGAACAAGCCGGATTAGCTGAAACTGAACAAACTTAATGATCAATAGCACATTTTTTCCTGACAAACAGACTCACAGGTGCCTTTAAAAGTCTGATGCAGTTATAAAGTAAGTAATGGAGAATCAGAAACAGTATTCTGCAGCAACAACTATCCAGACGAGACACACACAGCCGTCGGTACGTGTCTATCGTGCCTGTGCTCATGCCTGATCTGGTTTGCGGGTGGCGGCAGGGGGGCCTGATAACCACATTTGTGTGGGTTTTTGTAAACCAACACAAATCAGGGGGATCATTTCTGCGCAGTGAGTGGAGGAAGAACACAGCAGCTCCTTGATTTTAACCAGGGAGAGTTTGTTGGGAACCCCCCCTCCCCCACCCACCCCCATCTCGTACCGAGGAAAAGAATCCGAGGAATGTATCCACCATCTGGGCTGAAGGCCTCATCCTTTGGCTCCTCTTCATCCTGTTTTAATGAAGTTCAAATGAAAGTTTACCATTCTGGGGAGTGGCGAGAGCTTTTAAAAGGCAGACACACCGATTACAATAACCTCTCACCTCCAAGTTGACCATGATAAAGTTGTGTGCCAGTTCGGAGATTTCCTTGGATTCAGCAAATTTGGGCTTCAGCGCTGGGTGCATAAACAAGAGTCCAATCACAGCAGTTATCGCTACGGTTACTAGGCTGACCGGACCCAACCAAAGCTCACGCCAGCTTAAGGGAACCAGCAGAACTCCTTTGGCTCTCACAGCGTCCACTCATCACTTCCTGCTCAGGCTGTCCGTCCTAACTGACCGTAACAGAGAGCTGGCCGACCTTACGGGACGTGCTTGGGTTGTTTATTCACCGTTATACAGAAAGGTTTCACTTTCTGCCTCAATACGGCAGCAGCTCTCAGCTAAAAGGTGGAAAAACCTCCAGTTTAAGCTGCCGTTCCAGCATCCTGTTTCTGTCATTTAATCCCTTTAAATGTTACACCAGCCGATCCATTAAAAACTCGATTTCTGCTTCAGTTCAGTACATCAGAAACAGAGGAGACTCGTTCTGCTTTTATGACTCTCAAACGATGCGTAATAGCACTTCCTGTAAATGCTTTTGAGAAAACAGACAACTTTCTGAGATTAAATGGTGAAAAGTGCAACACTGACAACTCAAAATGACCACGTTTATAACCTCTAAACAGCATGAAAAGATGCTTCAGCCATCAGCTAATTATTGAATCCGGACACATCTCATACAGAAATAAATCCACAAAAATCTCTTTTCTATAAGCGATGTGATGTTTGGGCTCTAGTAAACTTCACAAATGGCTGTTTGAAGGGGTGCTTACCTTTGCAGGCTCCACACCAGCTCTTGTGAATGATGACCATGATGGGCAGCCCACTGTCGAATTGACCACATGAGAACGCATCAATATCCCTGATGTGTGTTTACAAAGTTCCAAAGTGCTGCACGCAGAAAACTACACTCAGCCGTAAACGATAAATAATGATCGGTCAGCTCTCTGTGGACGTGAAGAGGTGGGAGCTTCCCGCCGAGGCCTCAGCCCACGCCAGCCGTCTCCCCCATCTCAGCTCACCTGGCGTCAGCTTCTTTTTTTGCATCATCCAGAGTCCTCCAGTAGATTTTATCTCCAAATCCTGCAAGAGAGACAAAGCGGTGAGCGCGCCCGCATTGTGTGAGGGGTGTTGTGTTTCCACTCAGAAGGGTGGATCTGCCCTAAATTCAGGGTCAATACAAAGAGCTGTAATACAAGAAAACGGCTGGAAAACAGTAGCAGGCGGTGCCGTAACCTGTCGGGTACCAGACTTTTACTTTGTTTGGTGAACAGGTCACTAAATATTAGTGATTATTAAAGTACTTCACTAGTTCAATAAGTGATATTAGGGCAGCAACTCCTTCATCCCAGTTCGGACTGAGATCCACTTCTTATAAACTTGACATGACACCCAAAGAAATATAAATGTCCACTCAACTCCGAGGCCCTGTTAGAGCCGTTTACTCAGTAACTATTGTCTCTTTCTGCATTCTTCACCTCTGTCGCAGTTACTTCATGTCAGTGCCAACAGTTCGATGAATGCCTCTAAATGGCAGTCACTTAGTTTGCTCTGTTAAGGTAAACAGGGAAAACAAATACTGCAGCATTTACTTTGGCTTTTATGTGCAATAACACACAGATAAAGATGAAAGATATATTTTCCTTTGTAGCGTAGTATGGACTCACTACTATACTGCGAGTCCAGTCGATGTGAATAATCCCTCAAACTTTAAGATTCAGGCATAAAGAAAAAAAAACAATTAGGGGTCTACATCAGTCTTTCTATTGTTTGACTTGATTTTTCTCAGTTTGATGTCTCTTTTAAAAATAAATCTGAATTACTGTATTCTCGTTTCTAATGATGAACGACTTTTTTTTTTTGTCTCACTGTTTCCCTTGCATCTTTATAGCTTTGTTCTCCCAAACTACTTCTCATTTCCGCCTCTAAGTGTTCCTCTAATGCCCTCATGTGTTGGTATCATTTCCAGCACGTCCATTGGTTCTTAAATACATTTCTTTATTTCTTCTAAGCACCTTTCGGGAAGGAAAATATACAAAACTACTAACAAAAACAATTAAATTCCATATAAAGCAAAAAAGAATCTCCCTAACACAAAGAAAAAGACAACTAGTTTGCTTCGTAATGCCTCTATTGACATACATTTGGTGTTTGCTGCACATCTCTTTTCCTAACAGCCATGAGTTGATATTCTAGGTTAATAAGTTTTTAATCTTTTAGGTAAACAGTCATGATTTGTGAATCCAGAATGTGACGCTTTGTTTTACCTCAGGACTACCTGGGTCTGCACAAGTATTGTCGGTTAAACAAGTTAGTTAAGAAAACCTGAAAAACTGGAAATAATGTGCGCTCGCCCTTTTGACAAATCACGAATTTCCTACAGCCTTTGAGAGGACGCAGACCCTTTCTGATCCAGGATACTGGCACAAAGACACTCAGCTCTCCTCTGCTCGCCCTGAATGAGGCTAAACACTCATTTCTGTCTCAAATACATTACTGTTAATGCCCACTCACCTCGCCCGCTGGCGGCTCCGACAACATCCTGAAAACACGACAAAGACAAGAAAACTTGCAACACTGAAAAAAGGGCGATATTTAATACGGGCGGCTGCATCTTCACTGCCTTCTTTCCTCACAGCTGCAGCCAGTTGCTAATGGCAGTTACTGCTAAGCTAACCGGTGACCCGGATGTTCATCCGTCATACGTCACAATCCAGATTTAGTTCGGAGCAGCGTGAGTGGGGCAGGTGCTTGTGTCTGCGGCTTCTGATTGGCCAACAGGAACTTGCATTCCATTTTGAGGGCTATTCACGTGACATCACATCCACATAACCTCGTGCTCCTCTCGTTTGTGTCAATGATCAAGCTAGACAAGGAAAAGTCAGCACAAAACCGGAAATTATTGAGACTACAAGACTTTAAACGCGTGACATTATCAGAAAAAAACAATTGCTTTAGAACAAGTACATTCGGTCTGTATTAGTATAATATATTAAAGCACGTTTGATCTCTGCCATTTTAAAATTTATTGAAAAATAGGACATGCGTCCACATATTTTTGGACGTGTATGGTTTATTGCAGAAATCATAACCAGAAGTGGTCTTAACTGTTGCTAACTTAATGAAGGCTTAAGTCTAGCTGCTCCACTCGTAGCGAGACCAGTTCAGCGGACTGTTAATCCCTAATCACAGGTAAATACATCATACACATCTGAAGAAACTCTCTCAACATTTTGTTTAGCCACTTAATCCAGTGTAGAGTTTACGTTTGGGTGTACTCAAGAACAAACTGATGCTTTTATCGCTTGTTAGTATAGCCATTGCGCTAGCATTAGCTCAATTAGCCCACCACTTAGCAATTTAAGCAGCTGCACTTTCGTTAGCCACTAATGTAAGCTTTGAAATGCCACGTAACATTAAGATATTTCGGTGGGTTATTATAAGTTAATGTCAGCTTTTGGTGTTATTAATTGGGCTGAGACTGTTCTCCGAGCCGTTAGCATTCTGCCGGCCTCCTGCTAATTGCAGGTATGGAAATGATGGTAGCTCCTGCTGCCTGACTCATGCTGCGCGGAGCCGCACATGTGCCTCCTTATGCGGTCACTCGAGCAGATAAAACCCCCGCACTTTGTTGTTAACAAGTGGAAACGTGTTAATATGTGCTTGTGTCTTAACTTGTTTTTGTTTTTTTTCCGCAGAACACTATGAATCAAGAAAAACTCGCCAAACTTCAGGCTCAGGTCCGGATAGGAGGAAAGGTAAGATCTGGTACCACATTGAATGTGTTATTTTCTGCTACTTCGTGTGTCTAGTTCTACATTTTGAAGCATTGAATTTTGACGTGTTATGTTTGTGTAGTTGTTGCATTTTTTTAAGGAGTGTGGGCGTGCTTGGAATTTGTTTGGTCTTTCCTCCTGACCTCAGCATTCCCTTTATGAGGCAGAATAGTGGCCCCTGGCTTTGTTCATGGCTTCTGTGAGGATCTCTTCCACACACTAGGTGGCAACATTAGTTACTTTACCACCTAGAATATAGAGCTCTTTACTTGCATGAAGAAATGGAATCCATTCTGTATGAATGTTCTCTCACAAGAGCCATACAAATACTTATTAGTGTTGTTTTGCCATGAAAATATCAACACCACCAGCACTGTTTTTGCCTTTTCTGTACATAAAATGCAGCACATAGCCCATTAAATCAAATTAATTGTTTTTTTATATGCAAGTTGATACCCTAAATAAATGTTCGAACTGTGAACTTAAAGTCTAAATAACCAAAACTAAGTGTATTCTTGGGTTAGTTTTCTTTCTCCAGACTTATATAAAGTTTCAAGTCATGCAGCTTCTACTGTAATAAAAAAAACAACAACAATAATAATAAAAGTATTTCTTTCTTTCTTTGTTTTTGAATAACCCCTTTTTTGTGGACAGTATTTTGTTTACTGGATCAAAATGATCACCTGCTTTTTCTTTCATAGTTTATAGTAGTAGTTTAAATGTTGCCTCTCTAAATTAAAATTTGTTTAAAAAAAATGTTTTTAGTCCTTTTACTTAAATGTTGCCTAAAACATAAAGGTCTGTTTAAAATTATTGGCAGATTTAAAAGCGAAGTTGTTGTTTTTTTATTCTAAGTATTGGTTACAGAATTTGTGGACAGACTTGCTCATTTTAGTATAGTGCTTTAGTTTTTTTTTTCTTTTTTTTTTCCCTATGCTTTTGGGTTTAAATAAATAAATAAGCTGTCAAACGCGAGCTGCAAAGTGTGTCCTGTGGGTATTTAATTGTGTTTGACATTTTAGTTCGGCTTTCTCATCCCTTCCTCTGGCACAACACCTGTTCTTTCCTCAGGGAACCGCTCGCAGGAAGAAAAAGGTTGTTCACAAAACGGCAACAGCTGACGACAAAAAGCTGCAGGGCTCTCTGAAGAAGCTGGCAGTGAACAACATCGCAGGGATAGAAGAGGTGAGCCGCCGTCACAGGGTGTTCTGATGTGCTGTTGCACATCCGAATCCTGAATCTTTTATCAGTGGCGTCGTAAGGCATGAGGACAGATGAAAGATGGGGAGAGCCTGAGTGAAGCTTTCCGTCTTTTATCTGCTCAGGATGTATTTTTAGACGTTTTCCTCAATATATTTGGGTTACATCACAGTACAAACAACATACTAACGTGATGTGCACCATGAATTTAGACTCGTGCTGTGCTTCAGTTTCTCACTTATGTTTATTATTGATACACTGATTACAATAAGAGCAATTAAACCCAACAGATGTGTTCTTTGGTCTGTTAAGCCTTTTGATTTGTGCAGATTTGTTGTGAAGGAGTTCCTGTTTTTTTAAAAACATTTTTTTTAATGGATCACGTTCCGCTGTACTAGATGTTTTATTTCTTTTGTTTTCGTTTGCCTCTCAGGTGAACATGATAAAAGACGACGGAACAGTGATCCACTTCAACAACCCCAAAGTCCAGGCCTCTCTGTCCGCTAACACCTTCGCCATCACGGGCCACGCTGAGACCAAACAGCTGACAGAGATGCTGCCAGGCATCCTGAGCCAGCTGGGAGCCGACAGCCTCAGCAGCCTGCGCAAGCTGGCCGAGCAGTTCCCACGGCAATGTGAGCGCACACACACACACACACACACACACACACACACACACACACACACACACACACACACACACACACACACACCCACACCCACAAACCCACAAAGAGGCCCTCAGACACCAACAGTCACGTTCTCGTTGGTTTGCATTGTTCTGGTGTTTAATTGCTGTGTTTTTTTTTGTTTTTTTCTTCAGTTGTAGGGTAAAAAACCAATGATAGGGCGACAATTATTCAGTGTCAAAATGTGAGATAGAGAACCTCAGGCACTTGGTTTGCCTTCGATTGTCTCATCTCTGGTTGCCTTTTTTTGTGTCGACTCTTTGGAGGTCTCAGCTCTCACACTGAAATACGGTGATGGATAAAGACTGCATGGTTGTTCCTGATCCAATTTTTAGTGCTTAACAGAAAACATTACTTAAAGGCCTATATTTTTGTGGCTTTTTACTTAAATCCTTTTGCTTGTCTGTGGCACACATTGTAAAACCTATTTAAATGAATTTGTCCACAGGGATAGTTTGGAATTGGATTACTTAATTGATTGGTTGTGACTCATAGTTCTGTGTCCTTCATTTAGATATTTCTGTCTGACCTTTAAGTTGCTTTGTTACCATAGAAGAAGAAGGAAAACCCCATCCTCTGATAATGCGTACAGTCTCAATCTTAAAGTCTGAGATGAAAACATCTGTCCTTTTCTCTCCTGAGATTGTATCCAGTGACAGTCTCTGGTCACAGCATCCAGACGGTTTTCTCTGATCAGGAGCTCAAAGTCGATTAAATCTCCTTCACCAGCTGAACTCCCATCCCAGCGTGACAAACTTAGACTAGATATGAGGTGTAACGCACATTTCCATGCACCACGATTGCTTAATCCTGAAGAAAGCCTGTGAGGATGGGAAAATGCTCAGAGTTCAAGTGGGTGACACATATTTGTTTCTCAGAGACACACTCCATAAGCACACAACTGACTCAGAAATCCCCAGCTAGTCTTGACTGGACAAACAAATGGATGGGCGAGTGGAGACTCCGTAAAAGGCTGGGGCTTCACATGACAGCGAAAGGAGCCTAGAAAGCCTCCTCCTTACCTTTTGTGTCACTTCATTTCAGCAGCGATGGACATGAAAGCTGTCAAGGAGGAAAATGCAGAAGAAGAGGACGACGACGTACCAGGTAGAGGCAGTTTTTGCTAAATTAGGAGTAAGCAGGTGAAAGAACGTACTGGCCCACGATTGTTTTCTTATTTTAGCTTTATTTCGTGGGTTATTGCTGTCCACAGCTGTGCAGTGTGACTCATTTTAGAAGTTTTTGGATGGGATCCCTGAGCCGACGCCGTGCGTCTGCATTCGAAGCAAAAGTCAAATTCTCTCTCTCCTCTTTTCTGCCCCGCAGATCTCGTGGAGAACTTCGACGAAGCCTCAAAGAACGAAGCAAACTGATGCATTTTCCTCCCCTCAGTCAACCGTTTTTAATCCTCTCGCGGACTCACTTAAGGGCATTTCCTCTGGAGGGGGAATGGTAGTCCAGAGTGTGTCACTCCGCCTCCAGAACGAGAACCTCCAGTTTCTTCTGCCCCCCAACAACCCAGAAAGGCCCCGATCCCAGCCAGTGGTGGTTTTTGTGGACAGCTGTCTGCACCCAAAGGACTCAACCAACTTCAGAAATAAGTTTGTGATATAACCCAACACAGCTGGTATTTAAGAGATTCTTTATTGATTTACAATTAAAGTGAAATAATGGTTCGCTTAGCATTATAATGGTGGCTATGAATTTAATAAAACGTTTTTGGGCTACTTGTCTTTTTTAATTTTTTTTTTTTTCACTCATGTCATTTGTTGACATTTTTCTATAAAGTCTCCACTTAAAGTGCTTTTAAGAATTAATTTCCTCTTTTGCTTCAAAAGAAGAGAACTGAGCTGTTGTGGTGAGCAGTCTTCTGAAGGGAATAAGATGCTTTTTGCTTCAGTCTGCGATAATTACTTCTCGTTTTGTAAGAAAAAGCTAACTCAACTCACTTAAACCCAAATGGTCTCTCTTTAAACTGCCTCAGAGTGAAGGTTAAATAAGTTAACTTAAAAAAAAAAAAATCAAACTATATTGGAGATTAAGAATACAGAGTTAAGTGAGCTATGGAGAAGGAGCTTAAAGGCGGCTGATCTTTCCACTGGTGGTTTAATACGATATGATAAAAAGTACAGTTACCAGCACAGCAACATTTAAAAAGGTCAACAGGGCTGCTTTAGACTGCGTATTACTGAACTATCTCCTCACCTACCTGGCATCATGAAAACTAAAAGGCTCAAACCTTAAGCAGACTGCTGTTGACAGTATTTAAACTGGAAACTGGAGTCATCCTTTCTGGTCAAATATCAAGTTAACTATGACTTGACGCACACTGAAGTAAAAATGAGAGCTAAAATGTGAATACTATCACACTAACTTTGACAACTGATTTTCTTTAATAGAAAAACTATACTTTCACATTTTTTCCCCACAAATCTTAAGGAAATTGGACACTAAGGATGATAATGTTATGATAGTTTGCACTCTCATAATTGTTGCCTACGTCTGCTCTTTTCTGGTTGTGTAATAGTGGAATGGTTGTCTGTTAGTGGGTGGCGTTTACGAACCACGTCCCGTTTCACTGACCATCCTTGACGTCCTGCTCTGATGCCAATCCTTCAGAGGCCTGACAAGGTTAGAGGAGATGAATGAGCCATTTTGAGTCGGGGTGGGGTGGGGTGGGGGGGGGGGGGGGGGGGGGGGTCGTGCGCGGGAGCGGGACGGAGCTGAGGACCCGCCCCGGGCTTCACCACATCACCGTCCGCCAAAATGTCCCTCCTGCGGCGGCTGGACCTCAGAGTGGGCAGCAGCAGTGAGATGGAGCTGGACAGAAACAGCTGGATCCAAACCGGAAACCCTTCAACGACCCTAGAAAATAAAAGCACAGCAATGAAGCCTCTTGAATAATGTGATGTTTATTCTGTGAATAAATATGCCAAGTTTAAGTTTAGTGATAACTTATGTTGAAGTTTAGATTAAAACATTTGGATTATAAGAAGCCCTTTAATATACTTTTCCAAACTGAATTTGTCAATAGTTCACATCTTTCAAGCGAAGAATTCTTAGTTATTAGATCTTATTAGAATGTCATAGGTGGTTAACCTATGACAATCAACCCATAAGATCAAACAAATAATTTTTTTAGACCTATTTGTTTTTCTATTAAACAAATACTTTGTCACACAATATAAAGATAATTTGCAGTTCAAAGTTTCACTGACTCATGACCCTTTTAAAAGAATGATTTCAGATCTAACCTTCTAATTCATCATATTTTAGAATAAAATAAAGAAAAATAGAGTATTCTCTGCAAATACAAGATTGATTTCTTTGTGAATGGATTTGAAATGAAATATTCAATTGGAGACTGACTCTAGGACCCTCAATTGACCCTATAATGGACTGGCAACCAAGCTTTGCCCCAATGAAAAATGGGATTCGCACCAGCCACCCTGCCCCCCTTCTTGGATCAAGTAAAAGAAAAATGCACTGATGGATGGATTACCCAACATGGTAAATCCTGGGTACATGGGAGTTATATTTTGAAAGGGAAGACCGGATGTTGGGGATTTCCATTCTGGCTGAGTTAACGTTACTTCTTATTTTCCCAGTATCAATCCTTGGGGGAGGGATCCTTGAGTACTGTCGCACAACTACGGTAGGCTAGAAGCTGTACTTTCCGACTAGTGCAGTTTGAAGCAGGCAGTCCGCGGAGGGTCTAAGAAGAGGATACTCGCAAATAGCTCCGAAAGGCGATTAGCGATGACGGGCGCTCAAGAAGAGGCTCCGCGGGAATGCACGTAAAGATGAGGATTCCTCCGGTGAGTAGCTGGAACTGTTTTCACTCCGTTTGGCCGCTCTGTTGCTCCTCTCTGACGCCATTGTAAGGGGCAAGTGTCCGAGCCGCCACACGGAGGGGTGTTTTTGTTTAAGCCCCGTGTGGCCCCCCTCCAACTGTCGTGGAATTCCAGAGATGCTGCTGCCGTTAACGGTCACTCCGCTCTCTCCACGTCAGTTACACAACCTCTCCGTTTCAGACGTGCACTGAAACGTTGGCGGGGCAGCCGGGATGCACATACTTAGTGTGTGAAATGGCTCTGAGCTGACGTGAGGAGGAATGCCTCAGCGATAAGGCGTCATTCCCGCGGCTCGCCACGACCGTTAAAAACCCGCCACCGGGCCGGTGACGGCACGAGCGTCCGGCAGAGCGGCGAGTCACTGCCGTAACTCGGCTCACGACTGACCGCCGAACCTCTGGGGCTAGCACCGGCCCCGTCCCCCCCCCTCACCACCACCACCACCGGCACAACCTGCCGTCGTCAGGGGAGGGGGGGGGGGGTTATATTAGGCGTCGAAATTGAAGGCTTCAGAAGTCCGTAAAAAATGACTTTATAGTAACTCGTTTGCGTGGAAACTTGCTCGTGGCCTTTTCGCGGCTTTGGCGTGAACGGGGCTAGCAACCCGGCTAACACAGCAGCCCAAGTTGTGCAGCGAACGAGCCCCAGCTGTGGGGCTTTTTCTGGGGCCGGGCCGGGCTTCCACTGCTCGGTTTTAATGACACCGAGTCGTTTTCGGCGTGTTTACCCAGCCAAACCCGTGAATTAAACCTACCCAGCGAGGCTGTGTTTGGCCTGGAGGCAGCAGGCACACTACCACTTATGGTTGCATAACCCAAGCTAATGGTCACCTGTCTGAGTTGGTTTATTAGTGCCACGCTTTTTAATGAACTCCCAATGCGGTCTTCAAACTTTTGTTAGCGCCCAAATGCAGGATTCATGGAGAAAAATGACCCAACCCTGCACTTTCTTGATTAGTCATTAGCAGAGAGATAAAAAAAAAAACCTCACTAAAATCTCCAGTAAACTCTTAGGAGTAATAGCACCCATTTCCAATCTGAAATGGGTTTGATTTTCCCCCATCTGAACTGATTTTTACCTGGGTTGGATGTGAAACATGCTGGATTGTTGATATGGGTTTGTACCTGGAGGAAGAGGAAAATCCATCCCTCTCCCTCTTCACACAGAGCCTCTGATTGTGCAGACAGATCCAACAGGCGCCCATGTGTGCAGAGACATCCCAGATGTAGGTTACTGTACGCTTTCAGAAGATATTAAGAGAAGGTCCCAGATGGCAGCCCATCTCCCTGTGCTGTTTCTACTGTCTGAGGGTGGCTAAATGTAGATCAGAATCTAAAAGAGAAAAAAAATCTCATAATCATTTCTGACACTTCTCTCTGATGCTTCTCTTTCTACTTCTCTTTACCTTTTCCTCCTCAATTCCCGGTGGATTTTCCTCAAAAACCTCTGCTGTCAAACAACAATTTCTCATATTTGTGGGAGCGTGACCTTTTAGTGGAGATAAAAGTAATAAAATAATGTTTTTTCCGTGTGTTTTCCCGTTCATATTCATCTCCAACCGTTCTGTTAAGTGTTTAAAAAAATTCAAAGAGGAGGTAGACGGCTCCCGGCGTCCCCCCAGTCGGGGCGTTAGACATTACATAATAAACTTGTCATTCAGTCGGGAGATGGTGTTGTTAGAAAGTGATGTCAGTCCATTCTTAAAGAGAGGAAGTGATCATTTGAGGTTTCCTGTGTTTTTGCCTTGGGGAGCATGGCGGCGTTGGATTTGGATCTAAAAGCGTTGTAGAGTGGATGTGAACTTTAGTCCTGGGAAGTTAGTATGGGGGGGTGGTGGTCGGTGTGCAGATTCCTTGGCTCAGTCCCAAATCCTCACCTTGCCTGTGGCACATGACCATATCCCTCTGTTTTTCTTTAGAAATGGCTCACAAAGTTTAAGGGCTATACGGCCCTTAACCCCAAAAAGAAAAGCCTCTCCACAAAATAGCGAGTGTTTGTGTTAAAATATCTTAAAAGCAGGATATTTATTTGATTCAAACCAAAGTCCTCAAAAATGGTGGCAGCCATCCATCTCTTTCCTCATGTTTAGTTAAGGAATGTGAAAAATGCTTTTTTTCCCTCCTCATATTAATGCATTTTTATTTTGCTAGTTTGAAACAAAAATAAATATTTATTCTAGTTAAGTTTTTGGCAGATTAAAAAAAATAAGAAAAAAACGTGTTCACATTGATCTGGTGTTTTGTCTCTTTTTTCTCTGTCAGTTGGGGACTGTCCAAGCGACAGTAGTAACCGGACCTCCTGAGCCCTCTTAAATACTTTATGAATGTAATGGAGGACATTTATTCTTAACTTGATGAGTAAATTTTGGGTTTGTCTCAGTGTTTAAGAAAGCTGAAAAGCTTGCTTTTCAATGACTTTTTTATTAGCTGCTTCTGACCGTTTAGACTTGTTTGGAAAGCAGTGGTGGACATAATAACAACATTAAAGATGACATAAGTCAGCAGGGGCTGCACACACAGACGGAAAACATCTTAAAATAACAAGGTACTGAATTCAGGAGATCTACATTTCTTGAGTGTGTGTGTGTACATTACGTAAAGGCTTTCCACCTGATATGGGAGGAAGTGAATGCAGCCCTTTGGCAGGAAACAACAACAGGAAACCCAGTCTTCTTCTGACAGCGTGGACTTAATGAACTGTTTTAGCATTCTGCAGCGTCTGGGCCCCGCCGATGTTTATGCCCTTGTCTTATTGAATATAGCCGCCATACCAGAGTGTCCAGTCAGGCATGCTCTATCGTGTTAGTGGCGTGTTCGGCCACTTTATGAGCATGTCCGACTCACACTGGAGCCTCTAGCATGACCCTTTGTTAGTGCCGTTTGCCCTTTAAAAAGTATTGTCTTTTTAGTGTCTTATTTTTAAAAATACATAAAGATTTAAGCCTTTTATTTTGAAATACTCATACATGCTTTCTATTTACCCATAAATATAAAAATGTTATGGATTAGGCACGCTTTGTCTGATGAGTGTCAGAATTGATTAAAGTTGAGTAGATCGCAACCCTGTTTTTTAAGCATTATAGCAAAAATTGTCTGTTAAATATTGGACAAAACGGTATGTTTCAGGTTTTTGTGTTGTGTCCCAGAAAGTTGATTTGATATATATTTTTTATCATTAGTACCAAGCAGACAGATTTTAATAATAAAATCAAGGATTCCAGTCAACTTTAAATTATGCATTGTTGCAGGAAATCGTGTTAAAGTGATGAAACGTACTTTAAATGATTAATTAGTATTGAATTTGATATAAATTGTTTTAGGAAGTCTTCAGAGTTGACATCCATCCATCCATAGACCGGTCAAACTGCAATCAGGTACGATGGTGGGCTCAAACTTTTGTTCAAATCTTTGTTGAGAAGCTTGGTTCCTAACCAAAGGATCATCTTACGCAGCCTGAAGGCAGGTGCCTGCATGCTATGTGTGTGGGTTTTTTGGGGGGGGTGTTGTGGTTATCAGGGGAGCTGTTGGTTTATGAAGAGTCTTGATATTCCTGTTTTTCTGCAGGCCACATCACACGGCTGCTTCTTTAATGGTTTTTGACCTGTCATTTGGCAGATGAGTTTCGGCTCGTCCGTACACATTTAGTTAATCTTATGTGGATGCTTACAGGCTGTTTGACTGACACCCCCGCGCACGCTCGTCCTCTTCAAAGCATGTTTCCAAGTTTATGCGTCTAAAAATACAACTTCTTCACGCACTTAGACTTAAGATGCATTATTCAGCTCTCCTGCAGAGTAATTAAATCTTAATCTGGGATGGGCTCCTGTCCTTTTGCAGACATATCTCTACGTGTTGGAGTTCTGAGGGTTCGTTCAGGCTCCTCAGGTGCAAGTCTCACCCCGTTTACAGGGACGCGTCTCATTGGGGAGGAAAGGGGTCCAACTTTGGTGCTTAGTGTTGTTGATTGTACTGATGATGTGAAAGTAACAGTCTTCTCTCAAACTCCACACAATCATAACTACAAATTACTACTTTGAAGTTCAGTTTGATATATTACAATTGAACAGTTTTGTCACAAACTGTTTTTTCTGTGTAGGAACATAAAAAGAACTGAATGACAGAAAGATTAGAACAGGAATTATTTGGGTATCTACTCTCATTTCAACACTGATAATAGTATCCACAGTAGGGTATGAAATAATGTGATAATGCACTAGTTATACAGGGTTGTTTATTTATTAAAGGGTAAGTCCAATGACAGCACAGCAAAATGTACTTTACAAATAATATGAAAATAGCAACGGAACTGTTAACAATTCATTGATTCATTGCACAAATAAGAGTTTTCATCAATCCGCAAAATAGACTAACTCTGGACTTTTTGTTAAATCAATTAGTATGTTACAGGGCTGGACTAACAGTTCATTTAAATGAAAAGGTGCACATTTAGTTGTAAAATGAATAGTCTGTGTTTCTACACTAGCATTAAGTTGTAAACCCTCCTTAGGGACTTTTGAAGTAGAGTTGGCTGTTGGTGGAGGGTGAGTCTTGTCCCCCTGCCTGCACATAAAGGTTTCGTTTGTTGGTATAAGTTTTTAATCGTGTAAACTGCCGCTTTGAGGATTAAGAACTGCCAAAGGGGACTTGTTTTGGAGCAACGTCTCTGCTGCTGTGCTCAGGCTGGTGGTGGCCGGTGGAGCTGGAGGCTGATGCATGTGCAGAGCTCCGTCCCGCGCCCCCCCGGTTAGTGCTGACATCATGCATGTGTCTGCATTTTGGAGTCGGGAGGCGAGATGTGTTGACTCTCCTCGTCTCTCTGAAGCCTTTGCTCTGCAGAAGACCTGGTCTCTGGTGTAATCCCTGGGCGCTCTTGTCTTTACGACAGTGACCCGAGCTGTTTGTCATTTCACACACACGCACCCCTTCAAGGTCTCGTCCTGAGCAAGGACAGTCTGGAAATTTCTCAATGATTTCCAGTCATGGCTCTGATCGCCTTGTCCGGCTCAGAAGGGTGATGGCGGTTTGGGTGTGTTAGCACACGATGAGCCAGATGATGTAGTGCTCTGTCAGGGGAAGATTTATCCAAACATTTATCCAGATGTGTCCTGGCACGTTATGGGCTGTTCACAATCACTGAATTTTTGCTGATTACAGCTCGCAGTTATCTTAATCACTGTTCGTCTTTGCGATTCATTCTCTCAATTAATTAGCTCGAGAATAGTGGAAATGTCTCAAGGTCCCAAGGTCAACTCCCCAGCTCTGTAAAACGCCTCCATTCCTCTTACTGTCTTTTTCGGTTAAATAGAAATGCATCAAACCCTGTTTAAGTCTCATTACTAATACCTGTCATGTCTTGTCTTCGTCAGGTTCCTGCGTCATTTGTTTTTGTGGTTTAGAGATAAAAAAAAGAAATCTGCATTAATGTGACATGACATAAACTGATAAAAGAGCTCCATGTGGTCAATGGTCAGTTAGTAATTAATCTGGCTTTACTTTCTTATAATAAGGTCACATAACCACAAGCCAATACCCTTTAACCACCTGCCTAATTTCTAAACCACTGGGATACGTTTAGAAAATAATGTCAAATGCAGCCACTGCGCTGCATTTACTGAGCCGGCCGCAGAGGAAAACGCTGAATTCCAGTGCTGATCAGGATCCCCTCCGTTAAATTCAGCAGTCTTGTACCGCCTGACACAGACAGTGAAGCCTCTCAGGCTTGTGGGTTCCTGATGGGGCCTAAATTGATTAAACTCGTTCTGCTGCATCCCAGAGATAATCTGTCAGATTGTCTCCTGGGGAGTTTGGAGGGCGGGCCTCTGCCTTCGGCTCTTTGGCGTGTCTCCTGAGGCTTTTCTGAGCAGTTTTTGTGGTGTTGCAGGGCGGATTAGCAGAAGGCCACACCTTTTGGGGTAAGGCACTGCAGCCCTATGCTGGGATGAGCAAAGTGTGTCAAAGTTTTAACAAACTCTTAACAGTATGTGGCAGGGCTCCGTTTTCTGCCACAGGATGAATCACAACCCTCATCATAAAACTAGCCTAGCACTCGCACACCTCTGGGTTATACCATATCAATTGAGAAAGAACTCATGTCTTTAAACCCCCCCTGTGTCTCCCAGGTGTGGGCGCTGGGCGCTTGCCAGACTGGGTGAAGTGAGACCCAAGAAGGACACCAGAGGAGGAAGAACCACCACCTGGGGCTGCTGAGGAGGACCTCTGCGCAGGTGAGGGCTGACAGAGAGGGGCACCAGCGCTATACCGGCCTCTGCTCCTCCTCTCACGCTTCCTCCACACCTGCTGTCTCTCCCTTGGGGTGTTGGAGGAGCGTACTCTATAGAGTACACAGTTCACAGAATGAACTGTGGCTCTTAAATGACTGAGATAGGAATTTGCATGTTGTTTCACTGTATCATGTCTGTGTGGTTTTACCTTGAAATGTCTTTGGAGGAGGAAACGAGACCACACAATGAGGAGAAATACACAGATGGTGTTGGAGCTTCCGATAACACACACCCTTTTCTGGAAGAATATCTGATCTAAAGCTGAAACACTTTCTGATTTGAGGTTTTTAAAAGGAAAAATGACCCAAAATTATTTTGCACAGCTTCCCAAAACATGTTGATTTGCACTAAAAGGTTGGACTGTTTCTTCATCAAAAAAGCAATTGTCATATTATGATACTGAAAATAATCTTGATAGAATTTTCTGTGGGGTACATTTCAAGCTCATATCTCTGGATCATGGCGTGCCGGTTAGCACCGTCCCCTCACAGCTTGTCGGCTCCCAGTGTCCAGTTTGCATGTTCTCCCTGTGCATGCACGGGTTCTCTCTGGGTCCTCCGGCTTCCTCCCAAAGTCCAAAAACATGCATGTTAGGTTAACTGGGCACTTTAAATCCCCCGCAGGAGTAACTGTGAGTGGCTGCGTGTCTCATAGTGTCTGTGCTGCCCTGAGATGGACTGGCAGCCAGTCCAGGTGTAGCCCACCTCTTGCCCAATGACAGCTGGGACGCGGGGGATATTTTACAAACGTTGTAAGAGTTGAAGAGGGCGGTTTTCAGACCACGGAGACTAAAGCTGGTCCTGACGACAAGCTCCTCTCGCTTCTAGGTTCACAAGGCCGTCGGCAGAGTGGAGCTCTCTGACTCATGGAGAATTATTTCCAGGCCGAGGCCTTCAACCTGGACAAGGTGCTGGACGAGTTTGAGCAAAACGAAGGTGAGCTCCGCACAGAAAACAGGAGCAAATAGCCATAGGTAATGTCGTAGGGTGGAATTTGCTGCCTGTTAATTGATTAGTAAATAAAGAAGGTGTCACGCAATTGGCCTCCACTCAGAGAGTTTACAGGAGGTGATCGAGGACAGGCAGGGGGTGAATGTGACTAATGGGATTTTCTGTTGCCTGTGGGCTTTTCTAAATACGTGTAATTGGTGCATGATCAGAGTTTTTCCTTCTTATTTCACCCTCAATGGACAGAATAAGAAAGTGTCTCAGTGAGTTTATTTTTAGTCACTGTAACCACTGCAATACTGAGCTCTGCATGTGCAGATTTAGGTTTGCTATTGTAGAGGAAACTCAAACTCTTGTTCTGCCTTTTACAGATTTAACCTCCCTTGAAAAAAAAGAAGCAAGTTGAGGATTTACACACACATGACTGTTCAGTGTGTATTAAGGCTGTGAGTGATTATCTGTGTCCCCTGCCAGAGATCCAGCTTGGCAGATTATCTGCGAATGTGAGAATGTGTGTGTGCTGGAATGCTAAAACAGCTTAGCATTTATTCATACAGAGGGAGAAGAGGCCTGCATAGTGGCTGACATGGCTGTATGAGAAGCTATTTCAAATGCACGTTAGAAGAATTTCCACTCGTATTGCACAACATGAATGTGTCAGCTTGTTGGTTTGATTGATTTCTCTCAGGGGCTAGCGAGCCGTTTGGCCCACTTTCTCCAAATTTCTCTGTTCATCGGCACACGAATTCTCCTCTCCATGCCAACCTCATTTCTCAATTTGTCCTGTGGTTTGTTCAGGCCAGTTTTAGTTCTGACAACCTGGGAGCTCGTATCTTACTATCTTTGTTGCTGTTCGTGATCTCTAAACCAGCTGCCACCTTCTCTCAATTTATATTTCTTTAATATGATTTTTCTTGAAAGGGTTCAGAAATTAGGTCATTTTGGTCAATATTTTTTAGAACTTTAAATTTTGAACCTTAAGTTGGACGACAAGCCCTTTTAACACACTTTAATAGTTCATGTTGCTTATGTCTTATCTGTGAAATGAAACTCATTCAAAATCAATTCTGTTTTCATAAAAAGTGGCGAACTGTTCTTATCTCTGCAGATGAGACCGACACTCCAATTCTCTCTGATGCCAAGTGGACTCAGATCTTGGCCCCGCCGGCCCACATGCTCTCTTTGAACCCCGCGCTGGCCCACGCAGACCTCAGCCCCCGGGAGAGTCCTCTTCCCTTTAAGACCCTCCCCGACTCCTCCACCAGTGCCTCTCCAGTAGCTGACCCTAAAAGACACCCTGGCCCCGAACGGCCTGAGGAGAGGCCGGCAGATGTCCACAGCCCCCCCCTCCCTCAGCCTAACATCGGCAAGCTGGTGGGCACCGACGACCTGTCGCCTGCCCCCGTCCCGGCCTGCAGTGCCGTGGAGAACGGCTGCCCCGGTCAGCCGAGCAGTCCTCCGGCCGACACCCGCCCGGCTCCCTCTGATCATGAGCCCAAACCGGGAGAGACGCCTCCCCCAGTCGGAGACGAATCTTCCACGGTCACTCACTCCCACTTTTCCTTTGAAGTGGATTTAGGACTGAAACAAAGCCCCTCTGAAAGTATCACTTCAGATTCGGCACTCTCGACGCAAAACAGGGGAAACGTTAAAGAAGAGAGCGGTGAAGCAGTTTTACAGGACTTAAGTTCACAGATACAAAATATAGAAGAAGAGCAGGGGGAAAGTGTGAATGTGAAAATTGTTCAGGTTGCGTGTGATTTGGAAGAGAATGGTGTGTCCATCTCTGGTTTGGTCCGATTAGTGGAAAAGGAAAGGGAATGTGTCCCAGAGGGACAGGAAGAGCAGCCTCTGAGCAAAAGCAGCCTTCCTAATGGTTTGGAGGAGGGGAGTGGGAGCAGCTCTAACCTTCAGGAGAAGAATGAGGAGGAGGACCTCTCCCCCTCTCCTGTCCCCTCCAAGGAGGATTCTGTGACTGAGGAGAAAGAAATGGAGGAGAGCAAGCAGGAGATGAGTGACGGCGGAGCAGTGGGGTCCAGTACCGTCCAGCCAAAACTCAACAACCGCCTTCAGCCGGTCAGCGTTCCCTACGGAGGGGCCCGACCGAAACAACCAGTCAGCCTCAAGCTCCAGATCCCACAGCTGCTGTCCGGCCAGGTCCAGAACCAGCTCGGCCCGGCCGCGGCCAGCAAGAACAAGAACCTGGAGAACCACAGCCGGAGAGGCACGCCTTCCGACCCGTCCCCCGGTGGGGCCGAGCCGGCCGCGGTCAGCGTGAACGGGGACCGGTCTCCTCTGAGGGCCTCGCAAAGCCCGGACAACGACCTCCAGGCGGGGCAGCTGGGCGCCCTGTCCAGGAAGGCCAGCAGCTCGCTGGGAGAGGTGGCCCCCGTGTGGGTGCCCGACTCTCAGGCCCCCGTCTGCATGAAATGTGATGTCAAGTTCACCTTCACCAAGAGGAGGCACCACTGCAGGGCCTGTGGCAAGGTCAGTGACGCGCCGGGGCCGCTTCAGTAACGCCACTGAAGCGGGGAAAAAGCGGCGATGACCCGCATTTCAGGGGCAGCTCGGGGGCGTCTGGCTTTACGAGCCGACCCAAAAGCAAAGATGGGATTTGAAGCACAGTATGTTTGGAAAGACCCAGTTTACAGATTTTGCCGCCACACAGTGCCAGCCCTCCTGAACACAGGGTAAAAAAAAAAAAAACTGTCAGTGAAAGTGGGATATGTCCTCCAGTCACCATCAGGTAGACTGTCTGTGTGCTGGAGCTTTGTAGTGAAACTGCTGGTTTAAATAAATTGCACGTTTCATACAAAAGGTAAAGCAAACCATAAACAAACCTGCGCAATTTCAAGTGCATCGATCAGGACTGTGATTCCTCGAGGCTTTTAATGAGGCTTTGCCGTAGTGCTTTTTCTTTACCCGCTTGTTTCCGTGTGGACTCAGCGGATGTGCAGATAGCTTCCCGGCTTTACGGCCGCCCACACACGGCAGGACGCTGTGAGTGGAAGATGGGGTCGCTGACACTGCACTGGAAAATCGCCGGACTGCCGCTTAATTTCCCATGGTGGTAAACAAACACTCTCACGCTGCCACTCGAGCTGGGAGGAGCTGGCACTGCAGTAATATTAACACCTGCTCTGGGACCAGAACAAAAGACGCAGCGCCCGCCGATCCACCTGGCAGTTAGGCCCTGATGTGTTTGGGAGCTGAAATGAAAAGGATCCACTCTTAATACGTCCGTCTGAGTGTGATTAACGAGGTGCTGAAACACTAAAAATTGCAGCCTTGTCAAAGTTCAGGAATTCAGTCTTTGTGAAGGGGGATGTTTTTATTTGGAATCTGTGGATGATGTGAGACGGGTTGGGCATTCTTTTCACCTGCAGGACTGCTGCACCAGTGATGCATCTCTGTGTCTGCCTTATTTTGAAGGTGTTCTGTGCAGCGTGCTGCAGTTTGAAGTGTAAGCTGGAGTACATGGACAGGAAGGAGGCCCGTGTCTGTGTCACCTGTCATTCTGCCCTGACAAGTGGTGAGCGTCATTAAGCAGAAACTCTCTGCTTCTTCTCATAAATGATCAGTTTTTATTTCCATTATGTCATATATGTCCATGTTAGACATACATACTCAAAACCCATGAAGAAGTCAGTGCTACATTGATTCTTAGAAGCCATTGTCCTCAAAAAATTGTTTCACCAGCATGAATAAACCATTTGAAACATCAGCCATCGTGACAAGACTGAGCAAATTAATACTAACCAGGCTGTGTTTCACTCAGACTGTAACGAGTCTGAACGCCAGCCCTGGAAAAGTCCATTAAAACTGAGACAACAGTTACAGAGGACAGCCTGTGTTTTCCTGATTCACGCGTAAATGATGTCTCATAATATTGACTTGATATTGTTTCTGCCACTGACAGCTCAATCGTGGGAGACACCAACAACTGCAAGCAATCAGAGTCCAAACCCCAACAATCCAGCAGAGTACTGCTCCACCATCCCCCCTCTGCAGCAGGCCCAGGCCTCCGGGGTGCTCAGCTCTCCCCCTCCCACCGTCATGGTGCCCGTGGGAGTCCTGAAGCAGCCCGGGAATGAGGGTACAACCTTCACCAAGACTATAAGACACTCCTAAAACTGTATTTTTTGCCATTATACAACGACTCTTTATCCAGTTACAGCAGTTATTTATTTATTGTCTAACTGCAGTTTTGTCTCTTCAGTTATTTTAACCCTGTGGACTGATGGTGGGTTTTTACACTTTTTCATTCAGGGTCCCTCTCACGAGAGCAGAGGAGGGTGTGGTTCGCCGATGGGGTCCTACCCAACGGGGACACGGCAGAGTCCTCCAAGCCTCCAGCCGCCAGCCCAGCTCCTTCTCAGTCACAGAGAGTGTCTGCAAATTCAAATAAAACCGCCGCCTCCGAATCCTCAGAGGTGAGCCCAGGAAAAGCTTTCAGGCTCAACTGATGCTAGTAGGTTGGCTTGTGGGGCCACTTTAGCAAATGGATGAAGGAGCTCTTCTGTTGGATTCGTGGTGCTTGCTGATTTCAGTACCGTAAACAGAGTTTAAAGGTAGCCTTAACGGTGGCTTAATCAGAATCGGACTTAGTATTAGAATGAAATTCTTGACGGGAAGAGTGACTCACGTGTTACAGCTTTCGTCACAACAAGTAACAGAATAGCAAATGGATGTTTGTTGTTTTTGTGGTTGTGGCGTGTTGTCACTGATGGCAGCTGTCAGGGTGACTCGTGGCCGTTGGATCCAGTAGCTGTTTGAAATGGCTCAGTCTCAGATGGGCTCATTAAGTTCTGCTGACAAGATTCGAGAGGGGACTCACAGTATATCATGTGAAAGTGAATGTGATATTTCTCATTCAAAATGCTGTAATATTGCCCCCCTTTTATGTTAATTTATGGGTAAAGAGGGGATCAAATGGCTGGAATTTATGCTGTAACCATCTCTGGACAGTAATGAAGTCCTTTGAGGCTTTTTCATGGGTGGTTGCTCGTTTTAGGACCACTGATCCTAAAAGATGAGGTCAAAAATCCACTGATGGTCCTGTTGCCATACAGCCATGAGTGTCCCATTGTGCTGTCTCTGTATTGTGACACCTCCCTGTGTCTTATAACCTACAGTACATCTAACCCCACCCCCCTCCGCCCCTCCTCTCCACTCCTCAGGCGGCCCAGACCCCGACTGCCCCGGTGGGCAGCCCCGTGGGCAGCTCGCTCAGTCTGATCCCGGAGGACGGGCTCCCTCCCATCCTCATCTCCACCGGAGTCAAAGGAGGTACGGGAGGCCACATCACAGGTGCTTGCCTTCATCCTCACCATTCTGCCGCCTCCCCATTGCTGCCGTTTGTTTTTGTTTAGTGCGTTGCTCATGTGCTTTTAGTCACCGCTCATGTTTGATCACCCACTGCCAACAAGGATAGCAGCAATGTTTTGGTCCAATATAAATAATGAGCTGGATTTCCAGTTGTTTAAATGTCTTTTGGTAGCTATTTTCTTAATCTGCCTCACTGAAATCTCCTCCACCACCATCATTCCCCCCTCCCTTCTCTTACATTTCTGCGTGTCATCCACTGCTCTTTCCTTCTTTCACCCACTTTTACGTTGACTCTTCCCTCCTCCTGCCTCTCCCTCTGCTCTTCAACCCGCCCGCAGATTACGCGGTGGAGGAAAGGCCGTCAGAGATCGTCCTCATGCAGCAGCTGGAGGAGGGGGGGCCAGACCCGCTGGTCTTCGTGCTCAATGCTAACCTGCTCGCCATGGTCAAGCTGGTGAACTGTGAGTTGTGTTGGTGGCACAAAGAGCACCGATTTGGGGGCACAACATTATTGTCCTGATAGAAAGGAGCTCATAAGATGCTCATTTATTGGTAGAGACAAAAAGTTTCACCCATTTACTTTCATGCCAAGGTCCCAGTATTAGAACACTTTATGGGATTTGTAGTACCAGTGGCGCACATACAAACTACCCACGGGACAGCTCTAACAGATAGACAACATTATCTTTTGGGCCAGATGCAATTTGCCTTTATGTGGCCCAGGGGCCTTGACTTTGACAATGTTAATCCTCCTGTGAGCAGAAAAAAAGGGGACCTTGTAAACAAATGACCAAAATAAAATCTTTAGTCGTTTACTGTCAGACACCGTCTTAATGGGAGAACTCTGTAATGCATGTTGAGTTATTTAGGACTTAGTTTAGCTTCTTATTGGAGCATCCTTAAAGCTTGTGTCTGTTCCCTGACTTGATTGTTGTTGCCGGTATATTAGAGGATTAAAAATGGACCAGAAAAAAGAGGGTGTATTTCAACTATGGACCGTTTAACTCTCCGTGTGCACAGAAGAGGATTCCTGGTCTGCATATGTAGTAGATATCCTCCCAAACTGAAGCAGAATACTTTCAGAGCGATTGAGATTGAGTTTCTCTTTGAAATGAAAGGTCCACAGACATGCCTTTGATGTCTATACAGAGTTTAAGTGTTACAAATGTGTTTTTCAGTCCGACCCGTTTAGACGTCTGCTTTCTATGTAAAACTGTCACTGAGGATGACTCATGTAAAACGACCGTGAAACGCACAGCGTGTGAGTCTCCGGTGGGAGGTGGCGTCTAAGCCCTCTCTCGCTTTCTCTCTCCCTCTGTGGACAGACGTCAACAGGAAGTGCTGGTATGTGACGACAAAGGGCATGCACGCCGTGGGCCAGGCGGAGGTGGTCGTCCTGCTCCAGTGTCTGCCTGACGAGAAGACCGTCCCCAAGGACGTGTTCACTCACTTTGTGCAGCTCTACCAGGAGGCCCTCAGTGGTGAGAACAAATCGCTCAGCTCCGCCAGGGGAGCCGCTCCGAAACTAATCCACCGTGGGCCATTTTCAGAGACAGCGGCTCATTAGTAGTTCTGTCTGGAGGTCCGCGGGGTCAGGCCCCTTGGTTTCATTCAGCCGCTGCACACAAAATTTCAGAAGCCATGAATAATAATACGCCGGGAAACTGTCTGAGCTGTACTTTTCCACAGAGACAAACCGGCTTTATTTGGAAACCAGGTTACTGCCGCCCGCCACCGCGTCTGCTCCGTGAAAAATAGTCCAAACATTAGCGTCCCGCTGCCAGGGCGCCACCCTCCCCGCGTGACACCACCTCCATATGCCGCAGAGCAGAGACCCGTATTATCTCCTGACTGTGATGGCTGGCTCCCTTCAGGCCTTTCCTCATTTCACATTCACACCGGGACGCTTTCATGCCGGTGGAAGGCGGCCATATTGCGCCTGTCGTTCTTGATTAAGTTGGGGTTTGTCAGGCCGTGGGGAGAAGTGCTGGCTCTAGCATGTCCAAAGCTCAGAGCGTTTTTACCTGCCGTTTGGTTTCATTTGTTTGTGCTGTCTGAAGCCACGGCTCTGCCGGCCGACAATGACAACCCCCTTTGGGTTTCATCACGTCCTTGCAGAACATAACAAAATCTGAACAGGAGTCTCGATTCACAATATTGGGTGATAGCAGGAAAACCTTGGATTACTTGTGATTTCCATCTCCTTTTTCTATCAGTGCTGCTCATTTGTTCAAATTCCACTCTTTCATGTCATCATTTTAAAGTGTAATTTCCGTCACATAATTGTATCTATGTTCCTGAAAACAGATTAGATCACAGCTTTCCTCCTCACCAGCCCTCTGCCGCACATTTCTTCTGTAATTACAAAATCCTCCTCGTCTCCTCCTGGTCACTTCTCCTCTATTACATCTGTATGACTATTTATCTGTATGTATATGTTCCTCTACTCTCCTCCTCTACAGGCAATGTGCTGAGCCACCTGAGCCACTCCTTCTTCACGCAGAGCTTCCTGGGCAGCAAAGAGCACGGTGGCTTCCTCTACATCAGCCCTTCCTTCCAGTCGCTGCAGGACCTGCTGCTGCCCAACCCGCCCTACCTCTTCGGCATCCTCATTCAGAAGTGGGAGACGCCGTGGGCGAAGGTCTTCCCCATTCGGCTCATGCTGCGGCTCGGAGCAGAGTACCGATGTGAGTCACACGGGCAGTTCAATTTGGTGTCCTCATAACGGAGACACAAGAAGACATTTTGGGGGAAGACGGAGTACACCGGAGCCCCGATTTTTGTCAAAAGATATGGAGGGGTCAGACCAGATGTGAGCCAATGTAAAGAAAAAAACAAGAAGATAATTATGATTATGTGGATTTAATTTATGTGCTCTGTGAATCTGCAGCTCTTCAGGAACTTGTTTCCATCTTGAAAAGCACAAAAAGAAAAAGCGCCATAAAACCAAAAATCACCCTAAATCAAAGCAGAGAGGCCTAGGGCTAAACACCCAAAGCAAAAAGCCGATTTTCAGGTTGTGGCCGAGAGCTGCAAAACACATTTCAGGAGTTCTGCGCTTTGTATTTCACTGCTCAGTTTAATCTTTTCCTGTTTAGCCTTTATGGGTTTCCCGCTGTGTTTTGAGGAGTAAATTGGGTCAAACGTCAACAAAATATTTCTTTGAACATAAGGATTTATTGAGGTAAAGTTCCAGTCTGCTTTACGGAGCTTATCTGAGCTCTTTCATAGAAAGGCTGAAGATATCACAGCAGCCCGCTCTCATATTTGTCCCCCTGCGTGACACATTAATCAGGAAGTCTTGTGTGCAGATTTATCAGAGGCGCTTCTCCACCAAATCCTTCACAGCCAGAGCTGCCAGCGCTGCCTGGCTAGCCTAATCCTCTTGCCTTCATCCAGCAAGTATGGATCGAATACATTAACAAAGACATTCTTTCAGAGCTTTTCGACACAAAAATGTTAGCTTTACCATGAAAGGAGTCCGCCACAGAAACTGCACACCCACACCTCTTCCAAAGAGACCTGTGCTCGTGGTCAGCTCCTGAGGGGCAAAAAGAAGCCGGGAAGTTTTTTTATTTTTAGTCTTAATGGGAGTTAGACCCAATCCCCACCCCCATCCACCCCACTGGTGGCTTAGATAAGGTTAAAAATAGGCAGCAGCCATGTTTCTCATGTGTGGTTTTCTTCCTTAACCTGGCAAACACAGTTTCATGTCCTCTGGCTCATTTCTTCTGCTGTTTTTTAATGAAGAGAAGCGTCAAAACGGACATGAGCTTGTAAAAAGGGAAAATATCTTAAAGACCCTGAAAATCCCAAAGCTCCCGTTCAGCCAACAAACAGAGCGGCGGCTGAGCAGCGCCTTAGCGATAACCGTGTTCTGTTTGCAGTTTACCCGTGTCCGCTGTTCAGCGTCCGCTTCCGGAAGCCTCTCTTCGGGGAGACGGGCCACACCATCATGAATCTGCTCGCAGTAAGTGCCCTTTGGCCTCGTCCTCTTCTCGGCCAGAACATGTTTAAGTTGGGACGCTGTCGTCTAACGGGAGGTTTTTAAATGGCGTCACAGGACTTCCGTAACTACCAGTACACTCTGCCGGTGGTGAAAGGGCTGGTCGTGGACATGGAGGTGAGGAAGACCAGCATCAAGATCCCCAGCAACCGCTATGATGAGGTGAGGGTCTGCCATCACACATCACACCGTTTAAAAAAACTAAAAAACACTACGCTGAGATAAGCTCTGAGGGAAAGCTTCACTTGCACATTCAGGAAACGCACAAAAGCAACAACAATGAGGAAAAACACCTGGCACATCTGAACCGATCAAAGAACAAAGGAGTCGGAGCGGCTGGAAGTTCATTCATGAGCTTTTGGGAGTTTTTAAGTCTGCAGCTTAAAAAAAAAACAGTTCTTATGTTTTGTGCGGTGACACTGAGAGCAAAGCGATGGGTTTAAGTGTCAGCTTTAGTCAGCTTTCGGCGTTTCTTCTCCATCATGACGGGTTTATGATCAACACGGCGAGCGGTTTAAGCCCTCCAGATTCTGCGTTTTTAGTCCTGACGTGCACAGGACGCCTTCACAGAGGAGACGGGAGACTAAGCGGTCCAGAAAATGACTGGCCAGGCAGACGGATCTCTCAGCTGCCCCGTTTAGCCTGAGTCCCAGACCCATAAGCCCACTGCCATTAGGCCTAAGCAGGCAGCCTCTTCCTGCCCACCGTCCCAGTTCCCCCCCGAAAGGCCCACCCACTCAGTCCCGCTGTGTCTCGCTTGTTTGCAGCTGATGAAGGCCATGAACAAGTCCAACGAGCACGTGCTGGCCATGGGGGCGGGCTTCAACGACCGGGCTGACTCCCACTTGGTGTGTGTCCAGAACGACGACGGGAACTACCAGACCCAGGCCATCAGCATCCACCACCAGCCGCGCAAAGGTGCCCACACCAGCACACTCCTCACACCCACGGCCACTGGGCCTCCTGTCAGTGGGTAGTTTTATGCCCAGCGGGCTGTCTGCAAGGCTCCTTCCTGCTGAGGGTCACTCTGTTTGTTTTGTCTGTTTGCCAGAAAAACAAACCTCCTGAGGTGGTTGTGTGAAAATTATGATTTTTTTAAAAATAACTCTCGTCTGTTTCCTCAGTCACTGGAGCCTGTTTCTTTGTGTTCAGCGGTGCTTTGAAAGCCTCGTCCGGCTATTTGGCCAAAACCAGCATCGTGGAAGGTGAGGACGTTCGTGCTACGTGAAGAAAAAAATGAGGAAGTTTTCTGTTTTTCGTCCAGAAAGAAGTTCTGTCCTGTAGAATTTTCGTCCCGTACACAACACAAAAAGATGTGGAGAAAGAGTCTTCAGCTGCTCGCAGCTTGAATCCAAACACAGAACGTTTACAATTAGCTGCCCTTTTGTCCTTTATTTCCTGCATGTCCATAAAACCCAGAGCCAATGTGATATTATTTAATTCAACATGAGCAAATCGAATTTTGACAGACTACCACATGCAGTTAAATTCGACCTAAGTGAATGAACCCATGTAGGAGATCCAGTGAATGAGGTGCTCGTATGAATGATCTGATCAAGTTGAATGAGCCAATCCAGCCTCCTGACGATTAAACTGATCTTAGTTTGGTATTTTTAATGAAATCCCCCGCTGTGGTTTTTAGGCTGACGCCGTTTTTCAGCTTTAACCACGATGATGCTTTTACACTTTAAAGACGGTGTGATGATCCAGATCACAGCCGAGACCATGGACTCTCTACGGCAAGCCCTGAGGGACATGAAAGACTTCACCATCACGTGCGGCAAGGCCGACCAGGAGGAGAACCAGGAGCTCGTCCACATCCAGTGGACGGAGGACGACCATAACTTCAACAAGGGGTGAGGCGGAGCGCGCCTATTGGACGACTGATTACTGGACACTGTGGGGCCACCAGGCCAATGCCTTTGAGTTCCAGCAGTCTGATGGTTTAAATGTGACTGACATCCTTCATTTACATCTAATTAAATTGTTTCTGTATCGGCCGTCTGCAGCCATCTTTCCATTTTTTTTTTTATGTTTATATATGTGCCGGTTCCAGTTAGGGTCATCTGTCTGGACTGACCAGCTGTGTTTGTAACATTTCCCCCCCCCCTCTCCTCAGCGTCATCAGCCCGATCGACGGGAAATCCATGGAGTCCATCACCAGCGTGAAGATCTTCCACGGCTCGGAGTTCAAAGCGAATGGCAAAGTCATCCGCTGGACCGAGGTACTCGCTCTGCTCCGTTTAGAGATCAGGAAGAAAAGCAGGCCGCCCGGGCCTCACAGGACCCCCCGCTGGGAGCTGTTGACCCCCCTCCCACCAGGCGGCAGCTCTATTAACCGGAGCGGCCCACAGCACGACCCAGTCGCTGATTACTGAGAATCAGCTTTCTTTTCTTGTCCTTTGGCTCCAGTCTGACACCCTGTGGGCTTATTGTGGTTTCTGCTAGGTATTACTTTTAGTCGGGTTTTATTGGACCCGATTATTTACCTGATCAAACACAGTGCGCTTATCCCGTTTTAAGCACTGTGTAGTGTCCAAACTAGTGATGTCCCCATCCAGCTTTTTGCACTTCCGATCCAAACCCGGCCTATCAGAGGATGTATTAAAGTTTAAAGTTATTTAGCCTACTTACTTAGTCAGACTCATGTTGAACAGGGATTTACTCTTATAACAACTTAATGGTTAGGACACAGACCTGTGGGTTTGGAGATGCTAACGCCCATGCAGGATCAGATTTTAAAAAAAAAACTGGATCAGGAGTCTGGATCTGCATTTTCTCATGCTGGCCGATACGCATTTTTTTGAGAATATCGGCGAACGATCCGATCCAAATATCGGATCGAGCCTAGTCCAAACAACCTGCTGTTTTCACTCCCCCCGCTCAGTCCCAGATGTTCAGAGGAGTGTTCCTCTGCTTCCCTCAGGTGTTCTTCCTCCAGAGCGAGGACCAGCCCGGCGGCCTGAGCGACCCGGCCGACCACAGCCGGCTGACGGAGAACGTGGCCAGAGCTTTCTGCATGGCGCTGTGCCCCCACCTCAAGCTGCTGAAGGAGGACGGCATGGCCAAGCTGGGCCTGCGGGTCACCCTGGACTCTGACCAGGTAGAGCGCCGCCTAGTTTCCCGGCCCCGAGCCTCACCGGGGGGGTCAGGTCGGCGTGTGTAACCCGTGTGTCTGTGACAGGTGGGTTACCTGGCGGGCAGCAACGGCCAGCCCCTGCTGCCGCAGTACCTGAGCGACCTGGACAGCGCCCTGATCCCCGTCATCCACGGCGGCGCCTGCCAGCTGAGCGAAGGGCCCGTGGTCATGGAGCTGGTCTTCTACATCCTGGAGATCATCTCCTAAAAGCGCGTCCCGACCCCCGACAACCACTCGCTCCCACGTCCGCCCCCTCCAGCATCTCCCTCTCCGACCATTTCCACCTCAAAAAGAGCCCGAAAACTGTGCCGCGCCGGGCGGGGTAGCTCCTCAAGTCAAACCTATGCATCTGCCCACTGTCTGTCCAGCCGGATACCGGGGCCCGCGGGGGCCGGCCACGTCCCCCGATACCCACACCGGCGACACGCCCGCCCACAGCCAGACCAGTTTAAAAGCATCGGACACAACATCCGAGGGGCCGGATTCAGCTAAAAACGGAGGGCTCAAAAGCGGGAGTGTGGGTATCTGGACGGACCCGTCGGCTTCCCGGCCTCTCATTGGACGTCACTCTCATATCACTGTGGCAGCAGGAGGCCCCGAAGCTATGAACTCTGGGTAAAAGTTGCCTCTGTGTAGCATGGATGCCGTTGCAAAGGAGGTGCACATCCATCAGCGGGAGGTTGGATTTAATGTTGGAGGGGGGGAAAAAACACCCTCTGATCAGAAGAGGAGGGAGACGCCTCCGTGTGGAGATTTAGGGTTTTGTTCAGTGCCTGCAGCAGAGAATCATCAATGAAGAAGAAAAAAAAAAACTCTTGGCTTCACTTCTTGAGCTTTACTCATCAAACACCAAATGCTTTACGTCTCGGGCCGCCGCATCGACCTGTAAATAGTTTTCTAAGCAGAACGGTTATTCTTCATATCGAGAGTCATCTGTAGCCAGATCTCCCAGTTTTTCCCGCCCGCTCCGACTGACGCCCTGTGAAATAAACACCACTCACTCTGACCGTTAGGGGGGGGAAAGGTTCCAATGCTTTATGAAAATCTCCAAACAGTCCAAACATAAAGCTGTGAAAACGGGAAAAAGGGAAATCGGTTCTGAAGTCTTCTGTTTCCTCGGCAGCATCTCGTCCTAGTTTGGTCCTCATCACACAGAGAGAAGAACTGTGGTGTAGATGTATAAATATATACAGTATATATAATGACATTGCAGACGCCGTGCACTGGATTCTAAGCCATTTACGGGAGCGGAGGCGAGCTGTTCCTGCAGCAGCACGGAGGCGGCCAGCGTCTGTGGAGCCGGGGCTGAATGTAACTCGTCGCACGTTTCCTGCACCCTTCCAAAGCCCTTAAACACGGACTCTGACGATGCGTTTGAGGAGCCTCAGCTGGTAGAGTAAATGTGCCCGCTCGGGACCTCGCCCTCCGTCAGCAACATGGACCTGGAGAAGAAACCAACGAATGTATTCCTGTCGCAACATTAAAAAAACAAAAACAAAAAAATAATAGAAATATATATATATATATAAGTATATATATCACCCATCATGTCAAAAAGCTCTGTACAGACCTTTACGCTGACGTCTTCATCTCTAATCGTGCAAACAGAAGCCTGAGAGGTCTCGTCACAGGAAACAATCTTATCTAAAGTTGGGATCTGACAATCACACAAACGCTGCAGAAGAGCCGACGCTTCCACCTTAAATCAGACCTGTAGGCAGTTTCTGTTTGTTTATTTCGCAGCCTCGACCACCGACAGAGCTCCTGTAGCAAAGCCAGGCTCAGCGCGGGGTCAAAGGTCAGCGCCTCCGGGGCGGATTACTGTGATCGTTCCACGGACGTCGTCACTGTGACCCCGGTGTGATGTCGCCCGCAGCCAGCACCAAAAGACCCGTTTGTTTTTATTCCTCTGACTCCGGCTTTTCTGTCTCGTTTTGGCATCGTCTTACATGTGCAATATATCTGAAGTCCAAAAACAAAACAAAAAAAAGCAAAACGGTGCAATTAGTCAGATAAAGTAGCCTTTGTTTTGTACTCAGCTGACGACTGAGACTGAGAGACGCAGCTCCTCTGTGTCGGGGACACGTGCTCTTCGACTGGCTTTTGTCTTTTTTTTGTTTCTTTTCAAAATTGTTTGAAAAGCCAAAAAAAAAGTATGTTTTTGTTTACCTTTACACTACAAATGTCATGACATGGGTCTTTATTCCAAAAAACTCAACAAAACTGTAGTATATGTAAAATAAAGACTTATAGAAAACGGAGATGACTTCAGTTTCAGTTTTTTCTTTTCATGAACAGAAACTGACCGTGAAGAAAACCTCTTTAATTTTAAGCATGATCAGCAGGTTCAGTGTTACACGTCATTTTGGAGCTTAGATTTTCTTTGAATATTAACATCAAGGATTCTTGTAAACATGATCCAAACAGATTAATTGAGGGGTAAAAAGGTGATTTTTACTTTAATCTGGACTAAAAGTCGTACACAAAACTAACAGTCGCTTTTCTTTAGCTCAGAGAAAACTAAAACAGAAATGTCATGACCAGAGTGGCGAGTGCTGAGGGTGGGATTCACACATTAGGGCTCTAAAGACTCAGTTCACTCAAAGGCTTTAAAACAAGCTGCAAACACGTTCATCACCTTTACTTTAACGATGAGCCAAACTTGGCCTGGGAAGCTTATTTTCTTGTCTTTTGGGTGAACTGGCCCTTTAAAACACGGATGCATAGTTTGACACGTCTTTGCACGTTCCTGCTGAGACCGTTTCAGCAGCAGTCTGAACGGAGCGCCCCCCCCCCACACAGGCGGCTTCAGAGTGGGACAATAGTTGAGAATCGTTCAGAACACGTAAACGTTTTGTGCCAAATATTAAAAGCTGTGAGCCTGATGGACCCCACCGCCTTCCACCCAAAAGCTCAGCTACCTGCAGGATTCCCGGGGGGGGGGGGGGGGCATCAAAAGGGAGAACAGTCACCCGGTCCCACCGCGTGCAGCATCATCATTTCTCGGCTTCCGCCTGTAAAACGTCTACCTGAAAGCAGTGAAAACTCTGAGCACGTACAGGCGGGCCTCTGGGTGGTTTATGGGTTTGGCAGCTAAAGGCGGTTTCAGATGAACGGGATCTTACAGCCACTGGGATTACTTTGGTGTTAGTGCATAGGTGCGGGTCGGGCCGTACAGCAGGAGGGAGCTCCACACGTTGGCTGATATATTATCTAAAGTTAAGGCCTGCAGCAGACCGGGGGGGGGCTCCGCTCTGAGCCCCTCCTCATGAGCAGAGGCCACTGCTGTCCTCCAGGAGCCCGCCGGCCCCCCGCTGACCCCCACTGCTCCTCCGACTGGGCCCAAAGTGAAATGTCTCCTCCTGGTGGACGCGTGTCGTGCAAATGTGCAAAAGTCTTAACGGATCAAAGTCGGCTTCAGTTTGGGACGGACCCCAAACTTCCTCGGCCTCTTGAGTGTTTCTGATTGAGGCGTCTGGAAACGGGAAGAAGGAATCAGCCAGAAAAGCATCGGCTTTCTTCCACGTGGAAAACTTACAGAGGGAAGACGGTCTGCTACCTTTTCCTTGTGATCCATGCTTCATTTGGCAGAATAATCTAAAGGAGACCCTTTAAAGGAGGACGGGACAGAACAGATAATCAGACACTTCCTCCTCTTCTGGCGGGGGGGGGGGGCTCGGCTCACCTGTGACGGGTCGATGACCAGCCAGCGCTCGGAGCAGGTCTGGACGTCCTGACCGCTCAGGGGCTCCCGCAGCCGCACCTTCACCTCCACGCGGCCCCCCGTGGGCTTCCGGCCGTCCATCACCTGAAACACAGTGAAACACAGGCCGTCACACGCCCGGGTCTCCGGCCGCTCGCCCCCCCGCTCTGCCCGCCGCTGACCTCCACGATCTCCCGGATTTCGCTCTGCGACTCCAGCTTCTCCAGCTTCACCAGCGCCGTCCCCACCGGCTTGTCGCTCCGCAGGAAACCCCTGAGGGACAGCGGGGGACATCAGAACGGCTTCAGAAAAGCAGCTCAGTTCAGTTTAGTCTTTTTCATTCCGCTGGTGAGGGAACCGTTTTGACCTTTTCAAAGACTCCTCCTGAATATTTAAGGGACAGAGCCAGAGACCCTTCGTGGGTCTCCTGGTGGCAGCAAACAGCCCCTGAACGCACCGCAGGGACGGCCTTGTGTGTTTTACAGAAACAAAAGGTGCTTAAACAGCTTTGTGTTGGTTTTTCCAGACAGTCAGTCAACCCTCAGTCTCTTCTCTCCACTTTGGCCTGTTCTGGTAAAACTGATCCACATTAAAAATAAAAAAAATAAAGGGCACTCGGCCTGCCCCGGGCCCGTCTGGGGCCGGTCCGGGGCCCTGGGCTCACCCTTTGTGCAGCAGCTCCAGTTTGAGGCCTTTAGACGTCACCACCCTCCTGAAGCCCCGGTGGTTCCGGTTAATGGTCAGCGTGAAGCTCTGGTTGTACTCTGGAAAAACACACAGAGGGACTCATCGGGACTGGTTCACCCTCAGAAGCAGCCCTGAGGAGCCGGACACCTCCGTGGGGGGGTGGTGGTGGGGGGGCTCTCACCTGGGGAGTTGGTGTTCTTGATGACGGCTGTTTTGTGTCTCTGCGGCTGCTCCTGAACACAAACACAAAACGTCAGCGCTCTGAGTAACGGGCCCTGAAGCCCACGCGGGCCACAGACCAGGGTCTTACCGTGCTGGGGTAGGGGAACTCAAACTTGATGTAGGCATCCAGGTCGTTAGGTTGGATCCCTTCAAGAGGAAGTTCATCACAGAGAAGAAACAGAAACATTTTTTTCAGGTTTAAAGCCGAAACTCAAACTGGCTTAAAGGTATTTAAAGGCCGGCTTCTTACCACTGGGGGCCGGGAGGTTCATCCCTTTCACCACGATGACGACCATGTCGGTGCTGCTCAGGTCTGGAAATATTCTGGAGGGCAGAGGGAAAGAAACAGAGTTGCACGTTTTGGGGTCGTAAGCAGCACAGGACGGAAAGCCAGAAGGTGAAGTCGTAGAAAATGCAGTTTGTTTTAGTCCCAGAGAGGATTTTTCCCTACGTTCTTCAAAATAATGAGGTCCGCAGTTTGGTGAAGAAAATAAAGATTTCACATTATAACAAACACATTTTCCAACAGGAAAAAGGTCCAACCTGACGGTGCGGAAGCTCCTCTCCTCAAAGTGGTGCTTGGGTGGGGGCAGAGCTCTGGACTGGGCCAGCTTCAGCACCTCCATGCTCTTCTTACAGCTTTCTGCCATTTTCTCAAACCTGAAACAAACGGGTGGGGGGGGGGGGCGCTCTGGTGAAAAGCACCGGCGCCTTTTAAAGTGGGAGCGGGGGGAGGACGCCTACTTTGTTGTTTCTGCGACGTTGCCCAGATGTGTGAACTGCTTGGAATAAGTCAAACATTTCTGAAAGGAAAAGTCAGAGGGAGACGGACAACACAGAAAGTCAGATTCCTCCGCATTGCCTCTCAGATTTAATCAAATATTTTTAAAAATGAGCGTGGGGCCTATGTTCTGACATTGGAGGCCCGGCCTCCAGCTCTGCTGGTTTACCTCGTGCTGCTCCTTCAGGATCTTTGCCAGCTGCGTGTAAACCTGCTCGGCTTTCTCGGAGAGCTGCACGTCGCTGTGGTGGACCAGGATGAAGTCGTCCTCCTCGTCTCCGGGGGGCGACGGCATCTTGGTGCAGAGAAGAGGTCAAAGGTCAGCCGCTGCTCGGTTTTTCCGGCGGCGGCGTGCGGCCGGGCTCACCGTGCTGATGTCCACCGCCTTCCCGCTGCGCGCGGCCTCGATCAGGGGCTCCAGGCCCTTGGCGGTGCGCAGCAGCGCCTTGGCCTGCTCCACATCGTTCTTCTGCTTGGCCTGCAGGGCCGCCTTCAGGTACTGCTTCTTCCGAGCCTCCAGGAGCTCCAGCTGCTGAAGCGCTGCGTGTGGAGGGAGATAAAGCTGATGCTACGACCCCTGAAACCTTTAGCTCAGCTTCTAGAAAACATTTTTAACATGAGCCATCCGCAGCTGAAGTTATTCAGCTGTAGAAAAATAAACCGATTTGCGCCAGCCGTGACACAAGATTCCTTCTAAACGAGGCCTTTAATGTGTCACCATTATTAACGTCCTGAGAACCACACACAGGTGAATGAGGCCCGGCTGAGAACTGGAGGACCAGCAGAGGACCACTGTGGTGCCTCAGGTAGGCTGTGACTGGTTTCAGGCTGACCTGCTGGTGAGAGCTGCTCCCTCTGGGCTGCTCTGTCCGGCGAGGCTGAGGGAGACCTCTTACGGCCTGGACCCGCGCTGGGAGCGTCCAGCAGGGGCTTCTTCGGCTTTTCCGGAGCAGCGGGCTTCGACAAGCAAAAGACGAATTGCGTCAGCAACTTCTCCACTTGAACGTGAACGAGATGTTACGATTAGCTGGTGGCCCACCTCTTCCTCTTTCTCCTCCTCTTCGTCACCGCCTCCCTCCGCCGTGTCGGCGGCGGCCAGCTCGCTGGCCGTCTCCAGGGCGGCGATGAAGCCCCGCTCGGCCGCCGCCGCCGTCTGACCGGGGATGGGGGGAAAGCCTGGAGGGGGAAACCGCCAAGCGTGAACTCTGGGGCTGGGCGACACGCAAACACAGGCCTGAGACGCTGGCGCGCGGTCCTCACCGGGAGGGACGGGCAGCTCGTCGAATTGGACGGCTTTCCCCGCTTTGTGCGCTCGGATGGCGCCCTGGTACTGCTGCAGGAGAGGGTCGAAGAGGCTTTAGCTCTCAGCCATTCCCCTCCGCGTAAACCCCGAACAGACAGCCGGTCTCTCAGCTCCCGGCGTGTCGTACCTTGGCGATGCGGTCGTGCATGCGGGCCTTGCGGTCGTCCCCGGCGGCTCTGGCCTGAGCCGACGCCTCCGCGTACTTGGCCCGCCTCTGCTCAAGGGCCTCCAGCACGTCTTTGGGGGCCGAAGGGGCTGCGGGGCCTGAAAGGAGGGAAAAGAAAACGTATTTGACGCGTGCTTATAGTAGGATCTGCTGATGATGACATCAAATGTTTAATAAGCAACACAACTTCAGAAGTACAGAAAAGCGTCAGGCTGTGGGACGCAGCATCCACTCGCTGATTAGACAAACAGACCAATGAGAGGGGACCTACGCAGTCAGACAAAACGTTGCATGCTGTGTTCTTTCTGTTTGTGAGGCTGAAAAAGGATGAACTGGTTTCTACCTGGAGCTGCAGCCGTGGGCGAGGTGACCGGCGTGTTCTGTCCGGAGGACGAGTCGCTCCCTGCAGCGTAAAAACCAGCGTTGGCTCAAACAGGAAGCAAAGGCAACATGAAGTGACTCCTTTTACTACGTTTGGTGGTGGAGAAATACCAAAATACTTCAGAAACCTCCCATGGCTGATGGACCTAGAAGAGGCCGTTACCATGACAATAAACTGAGCTGCCCACCAAAACATCCGCCTGAAAAGGGTTTAAAAACAGAAACTGCAGCTAGAGAAAGGTCCCAGTTTGGATTCTCCCTCTCGATATCAGCCCTCAGCACCATTTACCAAAGAAAGGAAAATGTGAGAAGTTTCCAGAACATGACACCTCTTTTCAGCTTTTCAGTCTGTTCCTGGTTGGCAATTCTGAGACGGCCATTTGTTCAGACAACAGTTAAAGTGAGACTTCTTATTTGCGGTGTTCAGTTATTTTCTCAAACATTTTATTGAAAACTAGTTTGAAAAATCTTTTGACTCATTTGTTGTTAGGGGGTGAAGTTTTGTCTTTTGTTTTGGGGTCAGGGATAGACGTAGGATGGGCTTCTGTGTGCATGTTTTACTGTCTTTATGCATAAATATGTGTTCTGCATTGCATGCTGATGTTTCCAGTCGAACACAAACTAAAAAGTGTCATTCCATTTCACTGTTCCTGACCCTGATCTGGAGGTGGGGGAAGGCCACTGAGGTCGACGTCTTGCCCTTTCTCCAAAGCCTCGATCACCGCATCGAACCGCTGCACACAATGAAAAATACACAGAGAAAAAAAACAGCTAGAATGATGCTCTTGTCAGCATCTGCATGCCGGGCATGTTTCACATTCCTCTGAGAGGAATCCCTCTGCCAGAAGACGCAGAAACATGCCCAAAACAGACCAACAAATAAGGACAAGCCAACATCTTTAACCTGAATATCAAATGAATTCCTAAGTCCCACTCAGCAGTGTCTGTATAAAAACTAACCATTAGGAGAAAAACTGAGCTGAATATCACATGTTTCCAAACCCTGTGCTGAAAAGACGAGAAAACACCAAAAAACAGACTTATCTTCAAAGAGGCAGCCCGGGGACACAGTTTTAACTCACCTTGCTGGTCTTAAAGAAAAGCTTTGCTCGCTCCATGTCCCCCGTCTTCTTTGCGGCCAGAGCAGCCTGCTTGTACTCCTTCTGCTTCTCCAACAGCATCGTCCTGGTCGCCTCCCTCGCTGTGGGTTTCCAGGACAAAACAAGCAACAATTATCCCAGTGAAAGGCCTCTTTCATCAGGTATGAGAGGCTGGAATACGCCCACTTAGCCTCCAATAAAAAAAAAATAAAAAAACAGAACGAGGAGAAAAAAACTCAGAGGAGTGTGCTGAAATGTAAGAAAAATACGTTTAGATGAATAATGCTGTGGGTGATTGTTTTTCTATTGTCTCTGACTGAATTCAGTATTTGATCATGAAACTCTGATGGAAAAAATGTAAAAACCACTGCTCTCTGCTGGACATATTTATATAATCATTTGGAAAGCGCAAACAGCTCATCAGGATCTAGATCCAAAGATTTAAACCATTTCAGGCCAACATTTCTGTCACTGTGCTGGAGAACAGGTAAAGGATGCTCCCAGACCAATCAGCTTATCTAATTAATACGAAAAAGCTAATTAAGGTATTGTCACGTCCTAAAGAATCATCCTTCTATTTTTCCCATTAAAGTTGATGAAATGCTGGCCTTTCCTTTTGGAAACAGCACTAACAAACCAGCTGGGAGGCTTTTCTGACGACGCTGTGGTTTCATCTGTGCTGTAAATCACGTGTTTGAGTGCCGTTTTAGTCTTTGAGGACAGAAATCAGCTAGCAGCATCTGTGTTTGCTTCTCCTGAATGTGGCTGCCGACTCCAGTGTGTACAGCACACACACACGTAGAATGTGAGGGGGAGTACCCAGACAGTCAAACGTCTCAGTGTCTGTTTTTAAGGATTTGATTTGGTTTGTCAGCCAATTTTCCACAATGGAGTTAATCTCTCCAAAACGTTGTTTTATATCTTGAGTCTTCAGTCTTTGGTAAAATAAAATAAGGTATACGGTTTCTCTGAGTCTAGAGAAAAGCTGGAGGCAGCAAGCTTCAAACCGTTACCATAGCTACAACAATAAGCTACGAATAAATGTGAAATGAACCTAAATGTGCCTTTAACTGTTTAATGATTACCTGGGTGTCTTTGTGTAGTCAGTAACTTATTGAGGAGCTCTTAGTATCGGCTTTCTGAGCTGTGGAGGAAACTCGCTTCCATAAAATGTGTCTGTCCTGAGGCAATCCGTCTGATCGCTGGTTAAACTCACCTTCTGGTCGGCTGTTTTGAGAGAGGTCAGCAGGGGGAGGTGGCCCCTCTTCGCTGCAGGGTGTGAGGATCTCAGGCACAGCGGGCGGCATGACCTCCGGCTGAGAGGGTTCAGGGGGCGAGGGCACGGGAGGAGCAGGCCGCGGGGGGACGGCGGGCCGAGGGGCAGCACTGGGGGCTCCGGTGGCGACAGGTGGGGGGATCTCCGCCTCATTTACAGGCTTGCCTTTTTTCACAGCTGCTACCATCGACTCCAGTGTCTGTAGAGAGTTTAAGGCAGTTTGTGACACAATTATTCAGGAGCTTGACAAATATGTGGGGCAGTGAAATAAGATCTCCTACAAATCACAGTCTGTATCAGGGAAAGTCTGTAAAACTACATAAATCTGGGATTTATTCCTGATAGGGGCTAAACATTTACTGGATTCCCATTGGATTGTGTTGCTTAAGTTTAGCAGTTTAGTGGCTGTAACCCAGAAGGAGTTGTTCATAAAACAAAACCAAATGTTTAGACTTTTCTTCCCCAATTTCCTCATTAATATCCTCTAAATGCACAACTTTCAACAGAAAGGAGGATGATTACGTGCATGAGAAGGGACTCATTAAATTAATATATCTGTACATATGTGATTCTTGACTTGCAAACTGTACAGACCTGTTTGGTAGAAATAGCTAAATTCAAATGAGCCCACTATCCACCAGCACTTAAACACACCATGTGGGCAAAGAGTCTCAAAACCCCTTGTGTATTTGTAAACTGATCTGTGCGCAAATGCAGTTTAATTAAGAAACTAAATAGGCAAAACAGAGGACCTGTTCGTATTTTAATGCCTGGGGATCAGCAGTCAGTCTCTTTGGAGGCCATTAATAGCCGGTTTTTCCTAAATGTAAATAATTTGCCCATCGTATGATTGTATCATCTGAAATCCCGTTCATAGTCCCAAACTGTTAGGATTACGGCGAAAAGGAACACAACCTTCAGGCCGCGGTCGTATCTCCTGGCTTTGGACGTCTCCCCTGCAGTCTTGGCGTTCTGCAGGGCCGTCTTATACATGGCGGCTCGCTCCTCCAGGGTGTGCTGGAGGCTGCCGGGGGCTGCTGAGGACAGCTTCACTTCCTGCTGCTTGACACACAAAGACGACACAGGCAAACACTCAACCTGCGGTGAAGGAATTACACCCAAAAAACATGCAAAATAAAAAGAAAAAAAGCAGTGTTTTGAGGACACAACCCCCCTGTAGAGGAGGAGAAAACTCACTTTAAGCTCTCTAAATCTTTCTATCTTTTTTTTCAAATGTAAGGCATGCCAAACATTCAGGAAACATGCCAGCAGGAATGTCTTCAGGAGTACCAGAAAGTATGGGAACAATTTAGCTCCAGAGCATCCACTCCAACACAAACACTGTCAGGTTAAAACTACTGTCTGGATGATAATAATAACAATAATTATAATATTAGGGTAGCTATTAACTCGAGCAAGAAGCAGGTAGGTGGACGAAAATATCTGTGCCTCTCTATTACCGGGAACAGACATACATTTCAGCCATTTGGCAGGCGGAGGCGGGCGGAGGCTGGCGGGGAGCAGCTTGTTTTGTTACCTGCACCTCCGGGGACGCCGGTGTCTGAGCTTGAGAAGATTCAGGGGTGGCAGACGACGTGGAGGAAACAGTTACCGCATCCTCGCTTTCCTCATCACCCACCACTTCCTGTAGCTCTGCCTGTCGGATAAAGACAGAGAGCACAACAGAACTGGCAACAGAACTGACAACAAATCTAACAACAGAACTTTGGCTGCTTTGGCTGCTCGGACACAACGACGACTATAAAAAGGGGATGACAGAGGCGAGTTGGACTGACCAACGTGGAGATGAAAATTAAAACTGTTTCATCTTTAGTCAGGAGGAGGGTTAGTGTAACATTTACACCTGCCAAAAGAAGCAGGTCTGTACAGCAGTGACTTAAAGGTTTTAGGGTTAATTGTCGTTTTGGACACAAGTCACTAAAAGATTAGAGTAATCCATTCAGTGCCAAAAAACTGAAAATGGCACCTACCAACAGATCCTCATCATCTTCAATATTGTCATCCTCCTCATCCTCATCGACATCTTTCATGCACTCGTCAGCCATTCTTGCGATGTCGTCCATTGGCAGAGGGCCTACACAAACATGAGCTCATGTGGTCACATGATTAACAGCAACAATCACACGACAGTGAAAATGTTGTCAGCTGTGCTGTGTTTGGGTTAGAATAAACTAATAACCTCTAAATACTAGAAAATCTGATCTCTTGAGGGAGATAAAAATATTTGATTCTGATTGATGGGAAACACATTTTGTATGCATCTTGTTTGTTTATTTATAAACAGTTAAATATGGTTTCTACTTATTCTTATTCTAACATAACCAAATGTTAGTGTCAAATTTCAATGCTCCTTTCAGGGCTACTCTGAACAGCCGTTATTTGGGAGAGAGCTGTAAATGCTGCTCATGTTTCACACCCGTGTAGGACCATGTAACAGGTACTGTAACTGGGTCACATGGACATTGGGCCAGAGTTTCTCTAGTAATTCAAGTATCTTTTTACTGGCTGTTTAAATAAAAATCCCTCCATTACAAAGATGCATGAAACTATAGGCATAAACCTGAGGAAATTACAAAGAGACACAAAGGAAGATCAAAACTATGAAAACAAGATGCAAAAAAAATGCAAAGCAGGTAGAAAAACCTGTATTACAATGTTGTGATCTCATTTCAGTGTAATGCAACACTTATCTAGTACAAAACTAAACCCATCAACAGGTGAAGAAAATATGTATCACTATTGAGATATCCCCTTGTTTTGACCCACTAGGTTAAATATTCATCACAGGAATGACACACTGGCTGAAGGTGTTGACGAAGTCTCCGACTAAAAGCGACTCAATCAACTAGTCAAGTCCAATCCCAAGAGGCTGAGCCCTCAACATCCAGAGCAAAATGAAAACCCTGTTCACCCCCCGCCCCAATAGACCCACAGCATAAAAATTCAGATCTGTTTCAGCAACACAAAGGAGGTCTAAAGCTCCCGGGCTGGTTGGAGCACTGAGCAAACAAAAGCTCCACCTGTTAAAAGGCTGTTAAAGTCAAAGATTATCATAAAGCAAACAAAAGGCACGCTGAGTGCTCATTGGTGAATTATTTCCACCAACTTGTGTGGAGACAGTAAAATAGCAAAAAATATTATGAACTGAAAGTTAGATAATCTACTGGGGGACCGTCCAAGGGTACCCCACTTCCCGCCCCACGGGATAGGCCCCCGGCCCCCCCCCCCCGTGACCCCATTAGGGAATAAGCAGTAACGAAAATGGATGGATGGAAGATAGGTAATCTGATGTTTAGTAATAATGCTGGTAAATGGCCCTTGGGAATAAAGGTTTGTGTCTGTATTAAACATCAGAGATGTGGCGATAAATCCTAACCACTGGACTCACTCTTCCCCTTCTGCTTGGCCCCCCCTCCAGCAGAAGATGGATTTCCAGTAATAGCAGCAAGTTCTGCTTCCAGGTCCGGGTCGTTCAGATTCTCCTCCATTCCCATCATCATCTCCTCGGGGCTCAGCTCTACAAACAGACCCATCTGGGGGAAAAACACACACACACACACATACACTCGGGGTTAAAGTATACCTCCAAAAGGCGCGAGGCTTCCCGGCTTGACCCCGGCCTCGGACGTTACCTGCTTGGCCGCAGCGGCGCCCTGCCCTTTGGGCATCGGTGCCCTCTTCTTTTTACCAAACATGCTGTTTCCGAGGCACCCTGCTGGTCACAGCTACACCTATAAACAAAACAAAAAACGCATGATAAAACCCGTCTTGCTGCTGTCTGCGGTCCGGCAGCGGTAAATTGAAGTCATGTGAGGCGGTTGTCAGGTGGCTCCCAACACTCAGGCTGACAACGAGCTGCCAACTGTCGCTGCTAGCTAGCTGCTAGCTAACCCTGTTTTTTCCCCTTCAACTCTAAAAGTTGGTCAGTGAGCAATATGACGCTCGTTCTTGTTACCGTTAGCGAGTAATTGCGAGGGGCTAATACAATGCGGGAATTGCGCGCGTCTCACCTGCTCGCTCACAACTTCATGAGGTAGTTTTTCTCCAGAGGACCAGTTTCGTTTCACTGGTTTGACATCGCTTCTTTGAATACGCATGCGCAGAGCGACACGGTGGTCAACGGTCCTTTAACTCACAATTGCGTCGAACCCTGAATTTAGTCCGACGGACAGAAACTTACGGTTTGTGACATAATTGAATCCAGCATTCTTATAAATAAATTAGATCCACAGTTCAGTCGCAAGTTTTTATTAATATTTGTATAGTAAACGCCATAAATCCACCAAAGGCCATTACTGATATGAAAAGATAGGTAAATAAACATAACAAGGAAACTGTGTATCATCAAGCCATAACTGTAAACATAATGTTACACATTGCATAGAGACTATTTTTGTACACAATTTACTGGATCTTAACAACGAAGCAGGAAATATGGGTTGGTTACATTTATTTCGGCAGGCATTATAAATTCAAAACAATATTCATCGGTGCCAACAGAACTGTGCACGACCTTGCACCCTTGCATATTTTCTCCAGCTTTTGGAATTTTGGTTTCTTGATAGAGCTGCTATGGAAGTGACATTATTGTTTTCAGTAATACTTCAAATGAGATTTAGAACTGCCTGATTGATTTGGACTTTTGACAGAAACTTACAAAACTAGATATTAAAACCATTCCTTTAACTTCTGCATTCATAAAAAATAACCTGGCAAATTACACATTTCTCTGGTGGGACAAAACAAATAAGTAACAATAACAACAATCAATAAATGCAGTCTGCATTATCATTCAAGATAAGGTTTAGCAATAGTTTATACTTTTAGTGCAATGACAAGTACCTCCTCCAGGTAGGTTTTACGATTATATCGAACAAAAAGAAAAGTTTAATGAAAACATCGGCCTTGTTACGCGACAGCTGGGAGCTCAGTGGGCTGTAAATTTACAAATCCCTGTTGTTGCTGCTGAGCAGTTTGGGGTAGGAGGTGCCAATGGATCGGCCCTGCCGATAGACAACCAGCTCCAGCATGTACTCATCCACCTTCACCTTCACGGAGCTCATCTTCTCAGTCGACAGGAGGAAGATGATGGTAAAAACAGCGACCTCGAACTCTGGACTGACGCCAATGAAGGATCCCCCGATCGGCTTCACCAGCCCCTTCCAGCTGAACTGCAGGTTCAGCACGTGGTCGTCCTCATCGGGCTTTTAAACAAGTGAGAAACAAAAAGCTTGAAATGTGGTGATGAACATGGTGGAGGGAGCTGATGCGGCGGCACACAGGGATAATTACCGTGTCTTTGTTGTCTCTTGCTTTGTAGCCCTTGTAGTCGATGTGGCCGTGCTTTTCCTGCAGGTAGAACTGGACCCAGTTGTGGAGGCCTGTGATCTCGTGGCCGTATTTTGTCTCTCCGACAAACACGTGCTCAAATCCACAGGAATCCTCGCTGTAAGGCAACACAAAATAACTGTCCAAAAGCACAATTCACTGCAATGTGTCAGATCACTGAAAGTGTCACAGCCTTTGACTCTTTAAATGCCGAATATTAGAAACATTGATGACAAGTCAGACTTAAAATGCATCACTTAAAATAACAAAAATCTGAGCTACAAATGCTTAAAAACATTGATTCACATCAGTTCCTCAGGAATGATTGATCGGGATCTTTAAATCTTGGGGGGGTGGAAACAGTCTTTAGGAGTTTGACTTGAGCCACTGGTTCAGAGGATGGTTGCCTCTCCCCTGCCAGCCTTTGCGGTGGCTCCCCCTGGTGACACTCACCCTCCACTCCTGTCCCTGTGGTAGAGGCGGAACCAGATGTCATACAGCTGCCTCTTGAACTGTGCCGGGTCGGACGGCGACTGGCCTTTCTTCACCAGATAGTCGTGAGCACACTGCAAATCAAACCAGGACACTTCGGATTAACCTGTTCAAACAAATGGACCAGTGATCCGAATCCACTTTGGGAATACTGGTCCTAAGGATCCGTGCTGGAAGATGTTGTTGTGTGATAAAACCTCCCTACCTTCATGACATCAGTCTCCATGATGGCATCAATGAAGAGCCTGTTCTCTTTGAGCTCCTCGGACGTGACGGTCTCCGACACGCCGGTGGACATTTCATAGTTGTCCAGCAGGTTGATGAAGTCTGCATTTAAAACGGTTTGTTGAACTCATGAAAAGCCTTCAAGCGGAACCAAAGCGTGGAGGCAGAAAGCAAACGCAGCAGAGGAGCTGCTACTTACGTGCGTATGTCTCTATACTCTTCAGTTTCTCTTCGTTGACGTACTTGAAGAGAGGAGCGCTGGCCCGATCTCTGGCATAGTTACTGCCCTGAGCCACATAACCTGCCCTCCCCTGAAAAAAAAACACACAAGAAACCAACTGAGCAGGGATCAGTCATCAACATCCATCCATTAACGTAACCATTAATTCCGTAATGGGGGGACTGGAGCATATCCCAGTAGTCAGCAGTCCATCACAGGCTCACAGAGACACACAACCACGCACCCACTCCTAAGGGCAATTTGGAATGTCCAGTCATCCTAACATACAGGTTTTTGGATGGTGGGAGCAAGCTGGAGAACCCAGAGAGAAGCCAAGCAGACACAGAAAAAACATGCACACTCCACACAGAAAGGTCCTGGTTCCCCCGGGGACTCGAACCCAGAACCTTCTTGCTGTAAGGCGATGGTGCTAACCACCACGCCCATCAGTCATCAACAGTCACAGTATTTTGCCATGAAACTCTCCCGACCGTTTTGTCCCAGGACCAAACACAACAGTGTTTTCTCACAACACGCGTTCATATTTGGCATCAAAACTGTTAGTTTACTGGCAGAAATTCAGATTTTTCACCCTAAAATACTCCCATTCCCTTCGTTAGGCTACAAAACACCAGTAATGTGACTTTTCTGCCCGGGCGCATCAACATTTCTGTCAGAATCTAACATACACTGTGATTATTTTTGCCTTTAAACACTAATTTTTCTTTCTCTCACTTGTTCCAGAGCGCCAACATATCTTCTGTTTTCAAATAAAACACCTGGGGTTTGACAGGATTCCCACGGGCTTTTTTACCATCAACGAGACATCAGCGGTCCTTTGCATTATGTCTCAAGTCTCTTAGTTTCCTCTCCTCCTCCACTTCTGTTTGTGCTGTTTGTGATAAGCTCTGTTTGATTTTAGCCCTGTCCAGTTCGGACCTGGGGTCAGGAGCCTCTGAACTCTCTCTGTAGACTCCTATGTCTGCAGGTCTTATCACTCTGCTCTTGAGCAGATAAAGCGGCTCCTGACCCAGACTGCTTTGCATCCATTGCAAATGCAGCGAGGCCGCGGCGGTGGACCTACCTGGAGGGAAATGATGTAATCCGCGCCTGGTTTGAGACGGTTGGTATCCAGACGCCAGAGCTGATCAAACACCTCGGCGAGCTCCCGGTTAGAATGTTGACTGAGGAAGAGGAAAGCAAACCCATTCAACAATCAATAAATGCTGTTCAGTAAGTCCCCTCTTCATCCGGAGCCTCCATTTGATTCATTCATCCAGATAACAGTAAAAACCTGGACCCTGCTGTAGATATACTCAGAATACAACTTGCCCAGCACAACCAGCAGAGAACAGCTGATCGGTATGTTTAACACAGATGTTTAAAAATCTGAGGTGTAAAATACTTTCTGCCAAAGCCATTAGGATTCAGTTTCAAAATGCATTTGAGAAGCTCTGCAAACAAAGCCCATATACACCCTGTTTTAAATAAGTGTGAAACATTTCAAACTGCATTAAGAAAGGGCACATCAGTCGTTTTCTTAGTGCAGATAATACCACATAGTTAAGTCAAGGAACTTTAATCTTTACAATAAACCAAAAGAGCGATCTGAGATGATCTGCTTTGCCTCCAAGCAGTTCAGTTTACGAGTTGGAGTATTTTTCTTGAATCTGTGGGCGGCTGGAGTATGTGTTGCTTTTATACTTCTCATTCCCAAGCGCTCATATTACGGGAGGTGTCCTCTCCTCGTAATTTTGTCCTTTTCGGCGACATAATAGCAGCAGGTTTAACCACTGGTCCACAGGGAAACCTTTAGCTCAAAAAGCCCCCCCCACCCAACTTCCATCAATGAGTTACCAAAAATATTTTTATGCATGTCGTGTAAAAAGAGATGAAACTTTCAGATGCTTTCTGGTGTCACAAGTCTCGTCTTTACAATGTGGCATCTTCAAAAAGCTGCCAAACAATTCAAGTGTATTCAAATTGCAACACATTAACTGTTATGCAAACTCAACAGATGGTGAGTAAGAGGCAGATGACAGGAATGGGGAAAAACTCAGACAGAAACTTCTCTGTTCTTAACTTAGCCCGGACACAGCAGTGAACACCTCAGAGGAGAAACGTTTTATTGCAGCAGAGACGGTATCAACTCCACTATATCCTGTTTGTTCTGTTGTATAACAGCCCTCTAATTACTCCCAGACGCTCAAGATATCCGTTATTCAAGCCTGCAATCTGCTCTGAGAACAGCTGTTTGAACCGCTGGAAGAACCAGGAAAACAAGTAATAAACACAGAAGAGGAGGTCACTTCGATGTAACAGTCCAGAAGAATCAGGAAGGGTGTGTGCACTGATGCTGTTTGGATCATCAAGACCTTTCTTCTCTAATGGACACAATCTGTTGTAAGATTATCTCGGAGGAAGCTCGAAGTTTTTGCTCTGCTAATTGAAACTGAAATAAAACTTTTAAGCGTGAGGAAAAAATGGTAAAAACGGCTCTCTGTTACGCTGCGTACGGGACTTACCCCCTTGCCATGGTTCCCCTCTGTGCACACTGACTTCTCACATCCGAAAAATTGCGAAGGCATGCAAAAAGTTATCCGAGATTTCACTCATGACGTGTACTGACAATTCAGCCAATCGCAGGACTGTAAAGGGAACACGTCCCACCCCATCTTGGAATACTTGATCTGGGTTTATGCTGTGCCTGAAAGCACATTTTTATTCCAACAATTTTACCCCAGTCTGGGCTCATGTTGTGGTTGAAATAAGATTAAGGTAGCATAGTTATTGAAATGTTTACAAATGTGCTGCAATAAACATTAAGGTTTGAATATGTTCATCAAGTCAGACTTAACCCAGTCATTTTATATTTCTTCCTTTAAACTTAAAGATAAATGATCTCTTTAAAAACATATTATATCTTAATTTGAATAGGGTATTCTGATTTGTCTATTTGTTATCAACAGAAACTATGTTAAAGATTGTTAAAGGATCTCCTTTCAAACTGGACTTTGGTTAAAAAAAAAACTAAATAAATAAAAGATAAATCAAAAGAGGTGTTAATCTCCAGATTTTTTGTCATACATGTCTGATAAGTCATCATTAGAGATTGTTCTGTAAGAAATATATATGTTTTTAATATTCCTATTAAAATTCTCTGCATGGCAAAAAGAAGTGGGTGGTGGGACATTGGTTAATAAATCAAAATACATTTTTTTGTCTCAGGCTTCATAATGAGATTCTGGGGAGCCAGTAAGCCTGTAAAGTCTTTAATCAAAGAGGAGCAGCGTGTGGCTAAAATAGGTGACAGTTCAAGTTTCCCAAAATTCTTTTGAAGATTTATTGGAGCCACTCCAACAAGAAAAATCAAACATTATATCTCTGTTACTGAAGCAGTGGGTTCTACCAAAATCCATTTGATTAGGGTAAAGATACGGGAATAAACAGCAGACTAATGGTGGATAACTGAGGCTGTTGTTGTCGTTTGGCTACCGCTGGATGGCGAACGAGGCTCGTCCTGCTGAAATAAACGAAGAAGAAGAGAACGTGCGCGCATGCGCAACTGCTCCCCACGTTATTTTGATTGTAGCCAAATTTAGCAAAGATTTTTACTTACCATTATGAATGAGTAGGACAACTGCATGGTCGTTTTTTTACCGCACTTTTCACGTAAAAATCTGTTTGAATTGTTAGTATTTTCTGTTGTAGTTAGTTGACAAATATTGACAGGATAAAATAAGTTTGAATATCTATAGTTAGCCAGCTAAAGAAGCATGGCAGCTGTAGTGGGACTCATTGCTGGGAGCTACGAGCAGATCACCTTTGGATACTTAGTGAAACCTGGAGAAAATGTGAGTTGGACTGTTTGTATGTGTTGGTAGATAAAAATGTCCCGTCATGACATGCCGTGTCTTGTATGTAATAACGCGTCATGTTATTTTCTTTGTAAATAATATCTTCAGAGCTTCCTTTCTTTCCCTTTTCTACTTTTAATGTAAAGACTTAAAGTGGATTGTTTTTATGTTACATAAAGCAGTCTTCGTATTCGCTTTTTGTAAGACAAGATGTTGTGGAACTTCCTGACTAATTTTTTAAATATCTGTTACAATTTATTAAACTTTTTAAAATCTGAGTTAATTAACATTCATATTGTTAAGGTGCCTTTTCCCCCTGTTTTCCTTTTCTTCATTACATAGGGGTGGACAGCCGAGCCTGACTTCACACATCATGCACACACAGCCTCAGTATCCGTGGTGGCTGCAAGCGAGAGGTTTGTGGTCACTGGAAGCAAAGACGAGACCATCCAGGTGTACGACATGAAGAAGAAAACAGATCACGGGGCTTTGCTTCATCATGACGGTACAGTTGTCTTATCTTTACTGATTAGACCGACATACTGGGAGAGGAGGATGTCTCTCGTGTTTTGTATTTTTATTTCAGACGTCTGGAATTGCATCTGAAATGTCATCAAACATCACAAGTATCCTGTTGTCTTCTCCACACAGGTACGGTCACATGTCTTGAGTTTTATGGGACGACTCACTTACTGAGCGGAGGAGAAGACGGACTCCTGTGTGTGTGGGGCACAAAGAAGTGGGAATGTCTAAAATCCATCAAAGCTCACAAGTAAGCGCAGCAAAGGTTCCTGCAGTTTGCTGCCAAGAAGGTTGCTGAGTGTGACGAGCCAGTAAAACTCCTCTTTTAATCCTCTCGTTTTTCTCAGGGGTCATGTCACCTCGCTGTCCGTCCATCCTTCTGGAAAACTTGCACTGTCAGTCGGAACAGATAAGACTCTGAGGTAAAACTCACTGCTCTCCCAACAAGTCAAGTTAGGCTGATGATTCATCAAAAAAAGTAAGAAAAGAGACTCTTTTTAAATTTCTCTTAAATCTTTTCAGAACATGGAATCTCATTAATGGAAGATCAGCTTTTATTAAAAACATCAAACTGAGTAAGTTTTCCTTAAACCCGGTGAATACTTTAAAAACAAACTTTTTAAATGTGTACATATGACATGACCCGGCTTTTCTTTCCACCTCAAACAGACGCGCACATTGTCAGATGGTCTCCAGATGGAGATCGATACGTGGTTGTGGCAAATGACAAGCTGGATATCTACAAGCTGGAGACGGCCTCTGTGGAGGGAACGCTCACAAACCCAAAGAGGATCTCATCTGTGAAGTTCCTAAATGTGAGTTCTTTGAACTGCAATCAATAACCTGAATTAGTTTGAGGTGGTTCATGTCCAATCACAACAATAAGACGTCATTAACCTGTTGGGCTTTCAGAACTCCATCCTGGCTGTCGCAGGAGACGATGAGACTGTGAGGATCTGTGATGTGGGGAAATTAAAGTGGGTGTGTGAGTTCAAGGCTCACGAAACCAGGTGAGTTTGTCTGGCCGCGGCCCCTCATTATGCCTCTCTTAATCTGAGTAATGTGCTTTGGTCTAAACGGCATTTTGTGATTTCAGAGTGAAGGCGGTTGATAGTTTGATGGTGGAGGATAACTGCGTGGTGGTGACTGCTTCAAATGATGGCTTCATCAAACTGTGGAAAATTCTCCTTAAAGAGGCAAGTCTCGTGCTACCATTTCCCTTCAGCCAAAACTGCAGTTCATGTTCATATTCCTCTCAAAAAGTAACTTCTGCCTACGTTTTAAAGCAAATTAACTCATTGACTGCCAGCCATTTTCAGAACAGAGAGTCGCTCACTGCCAGTTTTTTGAGAATTTTGACTGATTTTTCAAGAGCCACAGAATAGTTTGTGCTATGACTATGTAAACACCGAACACACCAAAAGAAAGAGTAGACTCTCTTCTTTCATCAGGAAAAAAGATTTTGTTTCTACCTTATTCCGTTCTTCTTCGACGTGCGTCTCACCAGCGACATGTTCTCTCATAGCGAACCATTGCGTTTGTTTTTATTTGCCTACAGTCCATGCTAATCTCCCATCAAAAGTGGCACAGCTACCTAGAGGGTAAATTTGTGACTACATACTCTGTCTAGAAGCCGATATTTACGGAAAAACTTTCGCCGATCGTCCCCCAAGCCACTCGCATTGAAAAACATAAAAGACGTCTATAGACGTCTTTGGCAGTCAGCGGTTGGATTTGAAAAGACGTCTATAGACGTCTTTGGCAGCGAATGAGTTAATGTGAAAAATATTGTTTTCACTTTAAAGATGCCGTGTATTTAAAAATCCTTATTTTGGAGATCTCCTGATGTTTCTGCTGCCTAACAGGAGCTGGAGAGTCCCACCCTTCTGGGGGAAGTTAACACAACAGCAAGGCTGACGTGCCTGGCTTTGTGGAAACCTTCAACAGTGCAGGAGATCGCTGAGAAACCAGCGCCCGAGGCAACAACGTCAGCAGGTGGAGCCATTCAGAACCTTCCATTACTTTCATTTCACTCAGTCTGCTGGCCCTTTTCCAGTACATCCTACTCATCCCTACTTGTCTGTAACGTACACATTTTTATGCATTTCCATTTCCAACAGTTACTATTTTAGCACCTACTTGCCGAATAGAGACGAGTGGTAACATGTATTTTAAAATCACAGCAGGAACAGATTTCATAACTTCTCTGTCATTGTCATATATGTCTAATAAATGAACCAACTGTGAGGATCAGCTGCTATTTTGGCCAGACAGTGACCTGCATTGTCACTGTTAATAGGGATAGCATTAAAATTATCTCAATTTAAAACAATTCTATTCCAAATATGTGATGAATATTTGATGTGTTAAAAATGCAGACGCATTCAAACACTCATCTTTCCTATTTTCCCAACAGAAATTTTACAAGAGCTTACACGGAAGAAGAGAGTCCAAATCACAGGAGAAAAGGTCATTCTGGAGGATGAGAGTAAACCCAAAAAGAAGAAAACGGACCGAGGAAAATAGACTTCAGATCTCTACTAAAAACAATACATGTTTTATCATGAATTAACTCTAGTATTTCATCTGTTTATAAAACTGCCTTGTTTTCCTCACTAGCTCAATTGTATTTTAAAATAAAGACATAAAGGTGTTTGTAAAAGAAGACGAGTTATTGTCTTTTTTCTTCCTATCTTTAATAAATGACAGTTTGCTTTAAATAAAATAATAGAAAATAAATACGGAGGCATGCACCGGAAGTTGCATGTTTCGCGTTTCCGGTTTTTTCGGAAGTTGCTTAAAGAAAACAAAGTTGTGTCGACTTGGATTTGTGTGAAGTGTAATGTTTTTTATTCAATGTTTTTAATTTGATCACTTAGGGGTTAGTTTGTCTCTAGAAATCCGCGCTTGGTACCGTCAATTATAACTATACCTTCCGGGTTGGTGCGTAACCAGGTTAGCGTCTGGTTCTGGTTCCGCCTGGATAAACTGATCTGAGGTCTGTCCTCTGGTTCCGACGTGCTGGTTGTGGTTATGGACTGGATTGGGTTCGGTTATGCGGCTCTGGTGTCAGCTGGAGGAGTCATTGGTTATCTGAAAGCAGGTATGACACCTGGCTACTTCAGGTTTGCACCTAAGACGGTTTTAATAGCTTAAATGTGTCTAAACTAAAGGCTACAATCTAAGTCCCACTGGAAGGGGCTTTAATGAGCTATTAATTGGGTTAAAAAAAGTATGTGTTTGCACTTTTGGGGGGCAGCAAAGCAGTTGCAGATAAGCTATAGCTACTATATATATATATATATTTATATATATATACACAGAGAGAAAGAGAATCATAATCATAATTAAGCAGCTTGAATCCTTTCCCATAATACAGAAAAACACAAAAGGTTAATATGATTTCATAAGTTTAATAAAAATGTATTTAGTACAGTGTGATAATGAGTTTTTATCTGATGTGTTTTCCCTTTAAAAAGGCATTCTGATAGATCTAGACGGCTGTTTTTTTATTCAGAGGTGAAGCCAAACGTGACATCTGCTGCCCCTCTCCACAGGCAGCGTTACCTCCCTGGTGGCTGGGCTCCTATTTGGCTTTTTGGCTGCTGTCGGCGCTTATCTGACATCTCAGAATCCCAAGAATGTGTGGCTTTCTTTAGGTGAGTGAGTTCAGATGCTCTGTATCGCTACGCCGGAAGCTCCCGCAAACACAAACGCCTCCCATCCTCTCTGAAATGCAGGTACTGCAGGAACTTTGGTCGTAGTCATGGGACTGCGGTTTCTCAGCTCCTGGAAGTTCATGCCAGCTGGTTTAATGACTTTAGCCAGGTAATGCTGATCTTTGTTTCCCTACACATGGTGTTACCCTTTTTTAAAAAACATTTTGTCCTCTGCCTTCAGTGCGCTGATGCTGGCGAAGCTCATCAGAGGAATGCTGAAGACAAGCCCACACAAATCCTGAACAAATCCAGAAAAATCGTTTCAATGTGTCTGCAAATACTATAAATATAAGTATTTCCAGGTGTATAATTTCTAGTTAGGATGTGTTAAAAATGATTTTTTTTGCTACTTTTTTTCTATTGAATAAAACAATCCTACAAATAACAAAACAATACAATTGTGTAAAACTGATTCATATTTAATAGTATAACAAATATGAATATTGTAGCATCTGGAGCCCCTCCCATCAGTCGCTGGAGGGGTAGAGCTGGCTGTTGAGCTACCGGTGGCCTCCGTATTTGGCGCTCCAGTCCACTCGTCCGTGCAGAGGCTGGACGCTCGTGTTCCTGGTGACGGTTGACCTCGCTACGGAGCTGGTGCCCGCTCCAGAGATGTGAGGATTCAGAGATCTGCTCGTCCATCCTTCGAGGTCTGATTTCCAGGAGAAACAAAAAAGAAGAAACAAAAAGTAAAAGTGGCATCTTCATTTTCAATAAACTGTGTTTTCTAGTCACAGCTGACAGCCCTTACCTTCATTTGAGGGTGTCAGCTGTTTTAGGGAGGTCTTGCTTTTGGATGTTTTGATTTTAGCCTCAGATCTCGGATCAGTAAAAGATGAAAGATCCACTAAAAGTAGAAGAGTTACAAGAAAACATTTCAGAAAAACAGCTACATTCCTCTCAGAGAAGACCTTTAGTGCTCAGGGGGGTGGGAGGGGGCTAATACCAGTCCACTATCCAGGTTAAAGCCTTCAAAACCTGCCAAATCACCACTCGTAAAAAACTTTTTGGTATCATTTGAATGCAGATGACTCAAGAAAAACAAAGCCAGAGAGTGGGGCTTCACCGGCTGAGGGGCCTCTGATGGGGGCCAGGATGATCCTTTGTCTGCCTGCTCCTGTTTTGACCTTCTGGAGGGGTAGCAGGAAACTCTCTATGCTGCTCTGGAGAGAGTCTGGAAAGACAAAAACTTAAATATTTCAACTTTCATTGGAATTCCAGAAAAAGAATTCCTTTCATTTCCAACTTAGAGAGATACCTTTGGAAAGACTGAGGTCCACAGGCGCCTTTTCTTTAAGTGGCTGCTTATCTGTTATTTTCTGAAGACTGACGTCTAAAACCACATGACAGCAGTGACAGACATAAAGCAAAATAAAATCTTTTTCTCCAGATAAAATCTCAGTGGGTAAATCCGTTTGAAGCAGCTGCACAGTAAGTGAAGCAACGTTTTTTCTTTTTTTAAATTCCAAGGTGGAAGTAACTAATTTACCTTAAACATTTTGATTAGTTAGCTCAATCCAGGCAGATCAGATAAAAAAATATTTTGAAAAATGTTTTACCAAATCAGCACAAACATTTAATATAGTCTGACACTGTGCACAGTGGGCAACAGGGGGGATACATTTTCCATCAAAACTTTCCTTTTCTTTTAAAGGGTGCAGGGCAGGAAGCCCCTGATCATTCTTACCTTGAGCTAGAGGAAAGCCCAAACCTCGTCCTCTGGTTGAACTCCAGCCACCCATCAGATCTTTGCTCCTCAGAGAGGAGCTTTTTGGTTGCACACCTGAAATAGACCGACAGCTCAGTGTGAACTTCATGTCCCAAACAATAAAGGCATCTCAGCTAATTCAAAGTAACCTATTTTTTATCCAACTGTGCTGTTTACTTTGTTTCATTCAATACAATTACACGTTTCTTAAACAACATAAACTCATATTGAGTAGTTATGCTACATAAGAGTCAGATTAGCTGAAAACCAACTGGAAAGATCATAGAGTCGGAACCATCAGCTTAAAAACGATTAAAAAGACTTAGCTTTAACTTAGCTGAAAGTGCTATTTTCATTATTTCTGGCTGTAAAGTTGCTCAGAATGTTTCATTTGCTCCCACCAGGAATGTATCTGGACTGTCGGAGATAGTGCTGCTTAGCAGACAGGATGGCAGACTCAGCTCTGTTCATTCCGCTGCTGTTCTTTGGTTCTGAGGATCTGCAAAGACAAAACCGCGTGAATGGATGGGATGGAATAAAAACGCAGATGGAAGCACTGGTAGATGGAAATGAAGTCCTCTAACTGAGGGCTGTGCTTATCCAGAGTCCGGTTCTTCAAGGATGTCATTGTGGGTTTTTTGGATATGGAGACTCCGTTGTCTGTATCATCCCCGTCGTCCCGGCTGACCGACCTGTACAAGGCCTGAACCCAACGACGGCGTGCCGTCCGAGCCCCTGACCCGCTGTTCTCTGCTCCGGTGGGGGCTCCTCGCTGTGTGTGTGGATGCAAAAGTGTTAGGCTGTAACTTTCTGAAATACTGCCCTGCACAGCTAACATTTAAGGTCTAAGATTTACAACTAGAAGTTTAAAACCAGGGGGTCAGCTGAATCCATATGATCATTATGTTTATGTTCATGTATTTAGCAGATGCTTTTATCCAAAGCGACTTACAAAGTGGACACAATGTTACAGTTATCAATATGACGATAAGTTCTCTAGAGGAAAATCCCTAATCACAATCAGTGGTGAAAGCAAAGAGATAGAGGGAAGTGTGGAGAGGTATGGGGAAAAGTTAGTCATTAGCCTTCTCTTTTTTGTTTTTTAGGTCGCATTTGGACTGTCTGTACCTGAGAGATGCTGACTCCTTGGGAGCTCCCAGACGCCCTGATCTTCACCAGGCTGATCGGCTCCTTCTGGCCCTCTGTCAGGGTGCGCGTGTCCTCCTGAGGCAGCAGGATCTGCTGGAGGGGCTGATGAACTGACTGGCTGCAGCTCTGCGTTTGGCTTTTGCCGAGCTCCGGCCGCTCTGGGTCCGTCCTGCAGAGGGACAGAGGCTTCGGCTTCGGCCCCGTCGCCGACTCGGGCTCCTTTTCTGGAGGCCTGTGCTGCTCTGAGAGCTTCAGAGGTGCACCGAGTGTGTGGCCAACACGAAAGTAGGGATGCTTCAACGCCTGCAACACACAGTTGATAAAAACCATCGAAGAAGATCTTCACATTTGAGATCACAATTTTTGTTCCTCTGAAATGAGAACCTATGCTGTCAGGTACAAAGCTCTGCTGTGTTTCATGACCCTGAACTGGAGTTAGGGATGGAGGTTTATGTCTGCTACCATGCAGAAAGACTCAGTTGGTGTTAAAAGTACCTGAGCAGCACTGGGTCTTTTCTCAGGGTCCCACTGGAGCATGCCTCTCATCAGCGTGATGGCCTCGTTGCTGGCGTTGGGAATCAGGGATCTGAGGCTGGCGGGAGCGCACTTGGGGAAGCGGAAGTTCATGGAGGCGGCCAAGCCGAAGCCTTCGGGCCAGTCGATCTGATGGAGCGAGCGTGGAAGTTAAAGCTTCTCTCTGGAAACGTGACCGAACAGTCCCACGTCCACAGAACGGCACGGATTATTTCGCGGGAAGCGTCGAACTCGGGAAGTTTTTTGGGACGGGTCCTCACCTTCTTCAGCGTTCCTAGCACCTGGCAGATCTTAAAGATCTCGTCCACCTCGCTGTTGCCAGGAAACAGGGGCCTGAGCGTGTACAGCTCCGCCATGATGCAGCCCACGGCCCAGATGTCGATGGGGGAGCTGTAAGAGGTGGACTTGAGCAGAACCTCTGGGGCTCTGTACCTGACATAACACCACAGAAGAGAAGATGGTTAAAACTTTATCTCTACCTATTGGGGGGAAAAAAAACAGCCTCATTGTTTCGACAGAATAATCCTTTTTGGCCAAATGTGAGGTGGTCTGCTGCAAACTAATGTACGTGTTAACAGGAAGCTTTGCATTTATGTTCCACTCAACTGTGTGTCAGTGCAGAATAAAGAGAATATACCAGTTTATGTGAATTCTGATGATCTTCTGTTCAATAAGTGGGCCTGAATGTTTACATCCTGACGCAGCTAAAATCAGTCTCACCATCTCGTGGACACATAATCTGTGTAAGGCGGCTGTGAGCGTATTTCCCTCGCTAGTCCAAAATCTGCAATCTTGACCAGCTCCGGGCCCATGCAGAGCAAGTTCTCGGGTTTCATATCACGATGGAAATATCCTAAAAAAAACACAACGGGTGTGTCATTCAACCTCCTGCTGAACGTCACGTGTGCAGAGATTGACATTTTTTTCTGCCGTTTCTACAAACTGAAGCGCCATCGCAACCACTTCTGCTAAATCTACCCCCAAACACGCCTCTCTGTTAATGCACATCACAGATCTTTGCTGGAAGCACAGCGTTAAGAGGACCAAACCTGATATTCAGGCCAGTCGCTTACACTGAATGGAAGGCAGAAGACAGAGGGACGAGTCTCTTACCATGCCTGTGCACAAATGCTAAACCAGATAAAACCTGGAACAGAATGTTCCTTATCTCATTTTCAGAAAACATCTTATCTTCCCTGGCAGGTGCATGGCGGTGAAGGAGAGAAGAGAGAAAGAGTTTAAAGGCAAACACTATGCAAACAATGAGGTGTGAAGTTTAAAGTAAAACACTATGCAAACAATGAGGTAGGAGTGACAGCAAACAAGCACAAGTGCTAATAAACAGTTGTTTTTCCTCCTGAGAGAGTAGAACTATGCTGAGTTCATCTTTGGTCCAGCTCACACGTGCACGCCCCCACAAAAAGTGCTATGAGGTCAGGTTTCAGGTAACATCTCTCATGATGACTCAATCACTGGTTTGTCCGGTTGAAACGCAGCAGAGGGAAAATGCTTGGTTTTCCCTCCGTGCGTGTCGCCTCCCATTTTTATGAATGACTAAATAATCATGTCTGAAATGTCAGGTTTCCGACGCCTGATGACGGAAGCTGACCTACATAAATCTTTCTCATTGCTGAATGTGATGAAAAAATAATAACAAATGTAAAGTCCGGTCTGGCCTTACCTTTCTCTCATGAGCTGGTAGAGGTTTTCTCTCATGTACTCAAATACAAAGTAGAGGTGGTCATGTTCCCTGATCACTTCTTTCAGTTTCACCACATTAGCATGGTTTAGCTTCTTCAGGGACTGAAACACACACAGTCATTGCTTTAATGCTAAGTGCATTTTTTTAAAAGGGGAAAATAGCATGTTTTCTGTCTTATTGTGAAATAAAATTGGAATAAATACTAGGTATAGACAGAAAATGTTCATAATTGTCATCTGTGACAAAATAGCAGAAAAATTACCTGTTTAGACTAAGAGATAACTTCAAACTTAAGCTATTCTTACCTTCACTTCTCGCAGATTTAAGCATTCGTCCCAGGAATAAAACTTCTTTTTCATCCTGTTGATAAAGACAGATGCTGGTGAGGCACTTAAACAATTTCCATGTTTTTTTTTCTTTCTGTTTCTTTGCTATAGAGGTCAGCTGCAATTTTGCTTAAAAATGTCTGTAAAATGAGGCTCTAGGGAGTTAAATAATACAGTTATTTTCATTTAAATGGTTTACACAACACTTTACATGCACTACGTTAAAAAATACAACTGAGATATTTAAAGCTCTAAACATTCTTGACAAATGGGTGGAAGCACTTACTTATGAGCCTCTTTCTTTGAAGTAAACCAAAGAGACCAGTAGGCTTTGACATGTCTGGTCACTGATCATCGAACAACACTTTTTAGAACCGACAAACTCAGGTTTGAAGAAATAAAACAACAACAATTTGATAGAAGTATGATTAACTGAGATGAATGAGGTACAAGGCCACTAACTAATGTGATATGTTTTAAAAACTTGCATCCGACCTATGACTTATAGAGGATGTAGAGTCGATCCTCAGAGCCCCTTGCAGCAGAAGCCACTCCCGGTTTAATCTACTTAATGCTCTGAGACTAAACAACATGTCTTCAGCGTTTCCGGAGCGGCTTTGCCCACCTCTTAATGGCCACCAGCTCGCCGGTCTCGTTGCTCTTGGCCAGCAGCACGCTGCCGTACGTGCCGTCCCCCAGCTGCTTGAGCATGGTGTATCGGTTCATGGTCCACACGGAGGCCCGCCCGTCCCTCAGCCGGGAGCCTTGACCGTCCCCGACACTCAGGCAGTTGGTCATTGTGAGCAGGGGAACATCACAACAACCCCGCCACTGCTTTCATGAGGCTACTGGAAGGCCTCTGCGGCAGAAACACACACTTGAAGCCCCCCCCTTCTTCTCCCTTTCTGTAGGTCAGTGAGGCGCCGTGGACGCTGGCCCGACTGTCTGAAAAGTGAAGCTGTCTGGATACCTGCCTGTTAAACGGCCACTAAGCCTCCACGGCGGCAGAGGAAGGGCGAGGCCCTGTGAGGGCAAGTGGATTACAGTCCATCATGTGATTAAGTGTATGTGTCAGGAAACGGATTCGACGGAGATCCCACAGATGAATGGAGCTCTAGTCCAGTGAGATTGAAAACAGGACCATGGTGACACATTTGTGTCAGGTCAAGTCCAGTTGGGTTATACGTTTCTCACTGGGTGATTAACCATCTGACCAGGAGCTAACGGAACATAACAGGTTTTCTCAAACACCCAGTATTCAGTTACTTTTGCACAAATTAAGTCATTAAGTTCACGCACTACATCCTGAAAAAAAATGTATTGTACAGATTATGAGTGGGACTGTTTCTTACTGATCAGATTTTTTTTTTCATCCATCCTTTTCTTTTGTGAAGTGAGATGTCATCAAAAAGTTTCCTCTCAATTAACTCTGGTCTCAAGCAAATTTGACTAAAGAAGGAAAATGGACCAAATTAGATCTGAAATTGAAATAAATGTAAAAATGTGAATGTAAAATGACACCAGGATAATGCTACACTGAATGGTTAGGGGCCCAATGAAAAAATATATATTGGTACGCAATTACTGATCAATTCTGCTCAAAAGGTTTAATAAAATGGTCTAAAATAGAATGAGAAATGCTGAGATAGAGCGTGAAAACACTGCTGTCATACGGAGCTTTGTTTGGCAAGGTAAATAAGGAAAGAGGCCGTCTGCTTTTCAAAGAGTTCCCCCTGTGGCGCTTTCTCTGCCTTGCCCTCATTCTCAGTCGTGTTTCCATGACTGGATTTTACAAGTGCCCCATCTAATGGCTAACCCCCATCCCTGCATCCTCTGCTGACTCTGGCCCAGTTAGCTGCCTGATCCCAGCATCCTCATACTTTAGCTCATGTCACTAATACTCCGGATTATTTGACCTCATGTGATCAACAGCAGGATAATAAAAAAAAGCATGACAAAACAGACAATGAGACAAAAAGAAAAATCACCCCCACATACTTTTGTCTGACTCAGGTCTAATTCTCTATTGAAATACCTTCAGTGAAATGACGGCAGAAATAATGGGGTGAACACTTGATAAAGTTTGGGTAAACCGATATATTTACGCGTGTCTATGTCTAATTTTAGGCCTGAGACGTTTAACTCCACAGTGCGCACACACTGTCACCAAACCGTTTGGACTAATAACCACGCTGGAGGGTTGAACCTGATTATTAGTGGACTTGAAATAACACGGTTAGAAATAATGCTTAATGAGCTGCGGTGCCAAATAAAGCAACCCCCCCCCCCCCCTCCTCCTCCTCCTCCTCCTCCTCCTCCGTGTTTGTGTTCGTGTTCCAACCAAAAGCAGGTTCACGGAGCGGCGGACGCCCGCCGCCTGAGACACGCAGGCGTGAAATGCGAGGAATGAAAATCATGACCAGCATTCTCGAAATGGCCATGCTGTAGTAATATGACGTGCCGTGCATTGCACCTAACATCGGAGCAGTCAGATTACCGAGTGTGCGCGCGGCGGATGGACGCGCTTTTTCTCCAAGGCTGTGCTTTTGGTTACTTACGGTAAGGTGGACCCGCAGTGTCCACTAAAAGGGATCAGGTGATCCACTAACTACGAAGCGGAGGCTGACTGGGGAAAATGCAAAATGACATATAGCAAATGTCGGAGCGCTATTCATTCAGGTTTGGGCTCGGATTCGGACTTGGATCGCGACGCGGGGAGCTCCGCTGTGACGATGGCTCGCTAGGGCTGGCCGGCGCCATCCGCGGTGTTTTGGACCTTTTTTAATTTAATGAGAAATCACATTCACGGACAGATATTGCTTTCAACATGGGGCTGTGCTACAGCTTGCGTCCCCGGCTCTTCGGGGACCTGAGCGGCTCGATCTCCAACGCCACCTCGGACTCGGACCAGCCTCCCGACGCCGCCGTGCCGACTCGGGCCGGGGGAGCTCGCCCGGAGGACTCCGGGGGATGCGGGGAGACTTCGTCGCTGCGCGGCGGCGGCGGTGGAGGAGGAGGAGGAGGAGGAGGAGGAGGAGGAGGAGGAGGCCCGGTGCGCCCCGGGGACCCGGCCAGGCTCCCGGCTGAGGCGCACCGCTGCGGAGTCACCGGGACCGACGGTGTGCTCATCCAAAACGGAGGTGGTGGTGGCGGAGGAGGAGGAGGAGGTGGTGGAGGAGGTGGTGGTGGAGGAGGAGGTGGAGGAGGAGGAGGAGGAGGAGGCGGCAGCGCTAAGGGCTCGGGAAAGGACCGCAGAGGACGGTTACAGCTGCTGCCAAAGACGAGCGCCCAAAAGCAGAAAAACTGGGACAAATTGCCGGTGGAGGAGAGGGAGGCCGAGAAGGAGGCGAAGAGAGTCAGTCAGACCATCGACAGGGAGCTGAGGGCGCTCAAACGGCAGTACAAACAGACGCATCGGCTGCTGCTGCTCGGTAGGTTTGTTTGCCCCCTCTCTCGGTTATTGTCCAACCGAAGGGGAAGTGTGTGGTAGTATAACAAACAAAAACGCACTCGTCCGTCCAGAAAAATGTTGCCACTGCCCTGGCAGGGCCTGTCGGCCACATCTGAGGGCTTGGCTGGGAAGATTATCCCCTGTCTCTGCCACCCAGCAAAGGATGAAGATGAGCTCTGGTGGCTTTGTCTCCTTCTTATTCTCACATTTAGTCATTTTACACAACTCACTAATGAAGGGGCTGTGAAACCGGACCAGCCAACACCGGTATACACACACGCACACACACACACACACACACACACTCACACATGCAGGCAGACCTCATAGCTGGGGGCTACTTAGCCATGTCTTCCCCTCAACTACTATCAGAGTATTATGTAAGGGTGTGACATCTGTTCAGGGACAAAAAACATAAAAATAGAAACCAAAGATGATTGGATTCAGTGGCATATTGTAGTAAGAGCAGACAGAGAAGGCCCATCAGTGCCAGCGTTGGGCCGTGTGTGAGGGGCCGCTTCTGCCTGAGCTGTGGATCACTCACAGTCAGGTTTCTTTTTCATTCTTGCAATAAGTCATCCCCCAATGTGGCAGAAGGGAGGCCCCAATACAGTTGTGCTGAATATTGTAACATCAAGTCTGTGCAGTACACTGTGTACTCTGCATCCAGACGCTGCCAGCAGGAAGACTTTTTGGACAGTCCACGTTACACGGTACCCCTGTGAACTTTTGACTTTTTCACGGTTTCCTGCCCAAAGCAGAGACTGTGAGCTCTGTCCACAAGCGACAGAAACAGACAGTAGTTTGATTTACTGTGGCGGCCTTTTCTCCAGGCGTAAATCTTCCCCGTGTGACATTGTATAGTTTAACAGCTTTCGTAACGTACAGAGACACCAACTGGCTTCTGAGACAGGTTATAGAATAATAATCAATCATATCGTAATAGATAAGAAAAATGGCGGTTTGGGTGTTTCGGGCTCATGGTAACCAGTCAGTAAAGGTGTGCTGGGCTTTACAAAACAGTGTAGTTGTGGACAGTGAGAGAGAGAGAGACACACACACACACGTCTGTGTGTGTGTAGGAATGACAAAAATATGTTTGGAAAGTGTATCGGAGTGACCTGGTAATGTTAATACCAATAACTTCATAAAGAATCCCTAGGATTAGAAAGCACAGTGATTCGCTGATAGGAAAAACACCAGTAAAAGTGGTAGTGGAAGTGGTGATTGTTACCACAAGTTAATTGGATTTGATGCCTATTGTTTTAGTTTATGTGCATTTTGCTATTTAAATGTGGGCATTTCCATAGCACTTCCATTTAAAGTGCCATGTGAATATAGTTTCCGTACTCATTTGCTTAGTATTGTAACGCGTGACACAACAAAGAGTCTCAGAGTGGAGGTAATGAAAACTTTGTTGTGATTCAGGTTTGACATTGACAGAAATCCGGTGAGTTAGAGCTGAGATAAGTGCTCCGCTGTAGAATATGTGTAACAGGTGTTGGCACAGAGGCTTTTTATCTGTTGGGTTTTATAGCGCCTGCTTACGTAATGCTGAATAATTCTGACACTGAAGTGAGTCTCAGTAATAAGACGTGTGTGTTTTTTGGAGCACAGTTTGAAGCCATAAATTAAAATGTGGGTGTTTGTGTGCTTTTACCGATCCCTTGTTCCTGTCGGCCTCGACTATTTCTTGCATCGTCCTTATCAGTTGGACTGTGTCCATAGAAAGGGCAGGACTCCTATCAGTTTCATGTGATCAATTCTTATGGCTGACCCTCCCATAGTTTATATAAGACTCTCTAAATATTACTAGCATTCCAGTGTCTTCAGGTGGTAATATGATGTCCAGCTCTCTATGCTTTTGTCACACCAAAATTATGTCAGAACTTTTTTTTAATCCAAGCTACAAGGCTAAATCCAACCCCAGTCCTTTAATTCATCTCCCCAGCTGCTTTTGCCTGTTTACATAGGAACGGTTTAGTCTGTGTAGTAATAATTTATACTCACAGAGTTTGTAAGTTGTGTACTTTTTGCCGCACGTTCGGCGATCCATTATGCAACAGAGCTGGAAATGGGGAGAGGGGTGGGGACAAAACATATGTGCTTATCTTTCAGTGGAGAAAAGGGCGACTGTAGTGGGACGCTGCGGTGTCGTCACGGCCGCTCACAGAAAGGTGACGTGTAAATATCCATGCATTTACAGTGAAAACAGGACTCCCTTTCTTTTGCGGCGCTTGATAACGCGCTGCGGGCGTCTGCTTTACAACAAAAAAAAAGAAAAAAGTGCAGGCCTTCTTTTTCTCTGTATAATAAATGGCCACCAGTTTAATTTCCTGGGTAAACAGCTCCCACTAATTACGCAGGAAGAAATGGCTCATCGTAATGAAGTCACTGAGGGAACTGCCATACATTCTTCCATGAGCTGCGCCCGAACGCCACTGTACACGTATGACCTGTGTTAGCGTGTCACCGCGTGCTTTAAAGGCTTTTTGTGCGGCTCTCTCGGCCTTTGTGGAGTCCCACTTAATATGGTGCGCCTCCACACGGGCCGCGGGCCACTTCTGGTCGCTCTTTAGAGGCCTTCAGGACTCCATGCCCTGCAGGACTCCTGTTGCACGCCAGAGAACCGAAGTGGTTTGTGTTCCTCTGAAAATGGACACCTTTCAAATAGTGTTACATTTCAAGGCAACGTATGCTGGCTAATCTGGGTCACTTTATCTGCTCGTATCTGTCACGACGGCTATAGGGAGCAAATCTCTATCCAAAGTAAGCGGCCATTTCCAGTTGAATCTCATTTTGCGTAATTTATCAGCGTTATTTTTAAAAGTTTGACCATCGTGCACATGGAGACATGTAATATTTAGGGGGTCACGGTGAGTCACAACAATGATCCACACATTGACCTCATGACACTGCACAAAGGTGGGGAAGGGGGGGAACACCCCTACACCCACACAGCTCTGAGAGGAGCTAAGCATCTCTTTACGTTTTCAAAACTTGCTGGCTGATATCAACCAAACCCTGTTTTGGTGCTAAATAATATCTGGTCATAAACTATAAAATGTTAAAGGTTTGATATTGATTAGCTGTTAGTGTTAGCAGAACAACAATGTTTGCCTCATGATGCTTTGAGCTAATCATTATTTTTATACATAAAATCACTGACCTATTGCCCAGTCTATTTAAAAAATTAGATGCAGGAAAGGAGCTATATTTAACTTTTAATCATTCAGAGTGAAGTGGGAGTCGGCAGATTATTTTCTTTGCTTTGTAAAACATCGCGTTAGAATGTCAAACAGTTTGATTAGACGGAAAACAGCCGAAATGATCAGATGATGTCGTGATCAAGCATTGCTCAACTCATCTGATTGCATCATATTTGATGTACGGTGGTGTGTATTATTAGGATGGATTTCCAAACAAAATAAGGGTCTCTGGCTCTAGACACGTATCACCTTACCTGTTTCGTTTTCCAGGTTATCGATCGATTTATCGATCATTTGCTGCACTCCTGATTTATAACAGCAGACAGTTTACTGGAACGTCCCAAACTTGAGTGAACATCACTTCAGTAGTGACTGTGGTTTGCTGTTGGGGGTTTTATTATTATATCTAGACCCAGCTGCAAGTCAGAGGAGTTGAGATGCCTTAAAATGCATTGTGTAACTTAGCATGACGTTTTGGGGGGGCCTTGGACCTGACGTATTTTGAGTTAAAACTCAAACGTCCATCATCATTGAGTTGTGAGACGGGCTCCTGGGAACACAGTAGAAGTTTTTAAGTACATTAATAAGTTAACCTGGAATAGCAAACCTGTTACTGAACACGTTTGAGCAGATGGGAACCGAGATTATTTAGATTCTTTTCATAGAGTTCCCGTGGGCCTTATAGTTGACTAGAGGAATAGAAACATGGGAACTGGAAAGCCCATTCCTATTACCTCTCGGAGAGGAAGTTACGTTATTGTCAGGCCTTTTGGATCAGATTCTGGGCTGCCCTGTGATAGTATCTGCCTCAACTTTCCTAGAAGTCTTTAACGAGCCATTTCATATCTCGGTCTTATCACCTCCGTGAGCCTGAACAACAGGCTGCATGCCATGTCGCATGTTTGACAAAACATGCAGAAATGAGGCAGCGGACGGGGCCAGCCAATAGCCGGCTGGAAGTCGGCACTAACTGTCATGTACTGTTTTATTGTTTGTTTGTTTTGGAGCCGCCGTCCTGCATGTGAAACCACAATTCGGAAACTCTTACTCATCTACAGAGGCACGCAGTTCGGGCCCGCTGCCCTTCCTCCTCGAGTGCGAGTTGAGTCTGGTGAACTTTGCTTCGGCCTAAATGAGTTTTATCATTGACCATGGCTGAACTTTGCTACTCGCAGAGTTCCCGGTTAATGCAATCACCACCAAGAGCCACTGGGACATGAGTTACTGTCATATTTATGATACTGATAGCAACGAATGGTCCTGGTACTTGTATCAAAGGTAACCACGCCAGACACTGGTTTGGACTTGTTGTCCAAGTTAGCTCACTGGGTGGTTTATGTTTTATCAAGGGCTTCGGACCCTGCAGAGTGCTGTAAAAGTTCTGTCCTGCTTAAGGAAAAACATTTCAAGGGGGCTAAATTTAGCTCGATATCATTTGGATGCGTGCCTTGTTTGTACAGCACAAGCTTCAGCTATATCCTGGTCCAGTAAATAGGTGCCGAAGATTTGTATTCAGTAAAGAACTCTTTCCAGTGTAATTTATTATTAGATTTGCTGGAACAGTACGCAGCAGGTGATCATCTTTACCCAGCTAGAGAGCCTGAGTTTGAGTGTGTCCAACGCGCAAATTAGCGGTGAAAGACCACTACACTACCACTGAAACCACTACCCCCGTCTCAAAAACCAGCTGTGATGCTGAGTCGACAAAACAAAAACAGAATTCAAGCCTGTATCTGAGTGACCACAGGACAAAGACAACATAGTAGTTTTT